ATTTCAAACATTTCTATGCCTGTTTGAAACTTGTTTTGCATCATCCAAAAAAGTGACGTGGGCACATATTTGAATAGGAAAAAAAATCTAATTTGCAATAATGTACAAAAAAAAACGAAAAACGAAAAACAGTCACTATAGTAGAAACTGTTAACCGTTCAAGTTACCAATAATAACAGCGGAAATAAAACAAACAACTTGGAAAAAAACAACAGAATCAGAATCAAGAGACACACACACACAAGAGATTAGAATCAACTGAAACTGATGATTCTATCTTGATTTGTTTTTCATCTCTGTGTCTCTCTGTGTGTTTGTGTTACGGATGTTGGTTTTATTACAATCAAAAAAAAAAAAAAAAAATTGTCATCAACGACCACCTACGACTGTGTGTTTTTTGTTTTGTTTTGTTTTGTTTTCGTTCCATTTCATTAGGTTTGTATTTTTTTTCTCATTCAAATTTTTTCCCGAATGACAGAGATTTATTCTCAATTTCATTTGAGATGGCAATGGTAAAATTCTGAACTAATTCAAAATATTCAAAAAAAAGAATTTTCAATGTTTATGCTGATGATTATGGATCTCTCGTTTATCACCATTCATGGTGATCATCATGATTTCTTTCTTTTGGATTTTTTTCTGCATATTCTCATCTCATGGGAAATATTTTATTGCTGAAAATAATCGAAAACTATTTTTCCATGATGGAAATTTTGTTTCTAAATCTGAAAGAATTTTTCTATATTTTTTCGTTTTGTTCATCATTATCATTCACATTATGAATCCGATTCCGGTTATCATGTAAATGTGTATATGTGGTCATTGCATTCAATATATTCTATAGATTCTATAGATGACAACCCGAAGCAAATTTTCTATATTCCATCTATTTTAGATTGTGAAATGTTGTTTGAATTAGTGTTAAATTTTTCATCATTTTCTCTTTCGTTTACACGCACACACACACAAACACTCGATTCTTTTATCTACGATATCATTGTTTCATGCATTTATTCATTCATTCATTCATTCATTCAAGCCAACTTGAGTTTTATTCCATGTTTTTCTTTCGGCATCTTTACAATGTTTTTGTGTTGTTTTTGTTGTTGTTGTTGTTAATGCACAAATTGAGCTTGAAAGAAAAGTAGAAAGAAAAAAAAATAACCACTGAAATCAAAATTGAATGCTAAAACATGTGAATAAAATACATTCAAGATAGATGGATAGATAGATAATCAAAATCGTTGGCAAACAAAAAAAGAAAAGAAAATTCAGTGAAAAGAAGAAAAAAAAATTTGTTCACTAAACATATATAACTATCTCTCTATCTTTTAGTTTTGAAACATTTTTTTTTTTCAGAACTTTGAACACACACACACCATTTTTCGATTTTTGTATTCACATTCTGGTATGTGTGTGTGTTTTTTTCTTCACAAGAATAAAATGTTTCTAGAGCTTGAGCTTCTTTTTTTTATCATAGTTTTCATTTTGGTTTTGAATCATCGATTTTTCTTCCACGCAAACACACACACTATTTGTACAGAGACAATGTTTTTGTTTTTCCGTACAATATAATTCTTGTGCGGAATTGTCCTTGGTATGGATATAATATCATTGCTTAAAATGTATAATACACACACAGTCGATTGGTTGTCGACAATTGAGGTGGTTCTGGTTTGGTTCCCATAGATACAACAACAACAACCAAACAAACAAATAGACAAACAAACAACAAAAACAACTTAGTAATAAAATCATATCCGTTTTCACACACACACACACACACACACACACGCATTTGTACTTTATCCGTTTACATTTGTGAATGTTTTTTTTTTTTTTGGTTTGGTTTGTCAAAGTAAAAAAAAGAAAGAAAATTTGTATTTACCGTTTATGATGATGATGATGATAATGTTGCAATTGTCATTTTTAGAGTTTATTTTCTTTTTAGAATTTGATATTTGAATATTTTTTTTTTCTCTTTTATTGATTCACATAATATTCTCAATTGGTTTATCGATAAGAATCCGTTATCATTAATGATGCTGGTGATGGTTATGATGATGATGATAAAATAATGACAGAATAATAAAGAAAAAAAAAGTAAATTAGTTTTGTCTCCCATGAACAATGTATGTGTGTGTGTGTGTGTGTAATCATTATTTTCTAGTTTAATTTGAACGTTTGGCCATTATTTTTTTTTTTTTTTTTTTTTAGTGGATATAAAACCATTCATAGTCAGTCTGTTTTTTTTGTGCTCCAGAAATGATGATTACTTTCAATTGATAGTAAGAATTTAATTCATGATGAAATAAATACTCACAAATAACAATAGAATAGAATAGAATGATGACGATGATAGTGGGGAAAAAAGCAGAATTTTGTCCACTAATCACGCAATTGCGGTTGTTATAATGCATTTTGTTTCTTTTTTTTTATTGTATGGATTTTGTGATTCAGGAAATTAGAAACGAACAACAACAACAACAAGGACAAAAATATAACATAAGTTCAGGTAGCTACTACTACTACTGCTGCCACCACCACCACTTTTATTGGAGAATTTTTTTTCTGAACTGAAATTCTGAAAAAAAGTCATAAAATTCATAATTTTATAAATTTTTTTTTGGGATTCCAGAAATAGAATGTGAACTCTTTTTTTTCCATTTGATTTGATAAATTTATTATTTTGCATGAATATTCATTTATCATCATCATCAAATGAATAATTAATTGTTTTTGATTGATAAAATGAATATGGTTCTCTAGAGTCTAGAGTTAAAGGGAAAAAAATTATTTCTAGTTACAAATTATCGATTAATAATGTATATGATGATGATGATGATGATGATGAATATATCCGGTAACACCCATTCACAAAAACAAGACAAGAAAAATTGAAAACTAAAATGATGATGATGATGGTGATGGTGATTATTATTATCACCTCGATGTTGAAAATTGAATAAAATATTTTTCCATTGAAATTTTTTTTTCTTTGCAAATATATATAAAAAAAAGTACGAATGGTAGGCGGAGAAAGTGATAAATGAGCAAAAACGAAAAAAGTGGAGAATCGATCATGGTCATGATCCAAGAAGAATCGAAAATTTTTCCATCACATTATCATTATAATGATTATGATGATGTGGATGAACTTGTGATTTTCAATAATTGATTCATTCATCATGGTCACTTGTAATATATAAGAATATTAATACTACTGCCATTAACTATGCACGAATTTGAATGAATTATGAGAAAGAAAGAAAGAAAGAAAATGGAAAAAAAATCGAAAAACATGGCCGGAAACTCAATAAATAAATTCCATATACAAATTAAATATGAATATATGATTAACGGAAACAGAATCATCATCATTTTTATGTTTATTTTGCTTAAAGGGAAAAAAATTTTCATTTTCATTTCATCCAAATTCATGTTTGTTTGTTTGTTTGTTATTGTGACATTTATTCAATTCAAATAGCAATATGCAAAATTGTAGGAACAAAAAAAAAAAATGAACGCAAAAGTTTCCGTATTCCATAAAAAGAAAATCCAATGCAATGATGAAGTTTCTTCTACTTTTTTTTCCATTCATACATTACTTATTTCCGTTCTTACTGCTCTGATATTATGAATTTTCTTGGGATTATATTTTTTTTTTTTGGTTAATCATCAAAAACACACACAAACAAAATGTCGGTCGTCATCCCATGTTGAAATTGTTTTCACATTTTCACCATTTATTTATCGATCAATATTCAAAGAATTCATTGTTTTTTTTTCTCACTGCATTTGAATCTTTTTCATTCATTCATTCATTAAATCAATCAAACAAACACCTACGCACACAGACACTGCAGAATTAACTAACACCCACACACACACACACGCGCGCGCGTTTATTACAACATTTGTAATTAACATTTAAATTCTATGAATTTTATTTTTTCGACAGTTTGAAAATTTAGCCATACAACTCGATGAAAAAAAAATTCGATTCAAAGTTGATAATATAATGGATTATTATTATTAAATGAAACAAAATTAAGAGAGAGAGAGAAAGAGAAAAAAAACAGTAATTAAGTCTACGTGAAATGAAAATTAAATTTTCCATATTACTATCCAATGTCTATCCAATTCATTTGTCTGTTTCGCGATCGCTTCTTCGATTCTGTAAACAAAATTTCATATGTCTTTCTCTCTCTCTCTCTCTCACTTACTCGGTGTTTTTATTCTTTAGTTAATGTTTTACCAGATTTACGTAGAATTATTATTAATTACATTATTTTTTTTCTGTTGCATCTGTTTTCTATCATCCACCACAAACGATTTTTACTCAATAAAAATAAATCCATGTACAATAATAATAATAAAATGAAAATGATGATCATTGATTTATTATATAAAAATTGAATATTCAATTAAATGAATAATGATGATGATGATGATGATCAATATCAAATATTGCGTGCAAAACATTTATTTTTTTTTCATTTATTTATTAACTAATTTTTTTTTGCTGATTAAAATTATTATTATTCTTTTTCTTTTTTTTTTTTTTTTTTTTTTCACTACCGATTCACTACCGATAGATGTCAATGTTGTCGTTTTTACAAAACAATAATTCTGATGATGATGATATGAATTCTTCATGTATGATTATTATTATCAAAATAATAATAATAATAATAATAATAATAACGACGATAAAAATCACCAATGATCCATCCAAATTTGGTACAGCAACAAGATGGCAATAATGATGATGCAGAAGATGAAGATGACGATGATGATGATGATGATGATGATAAATGTCATCGATATAATAACTGTCATTCATTCGACAATTGCAGACATTCGAATCAGTATCCATCAACAAGATTATCAACGACAATAAATTCAAATATAATCCCAGTGGAATATTATTATTATCAACAACAACAACAAAACGATCATTCACCTTTATTATTATCGTCATCATCATCATCATCTTTCTCTTCATCTTTTTCTTCATGTTCATCATCATCATCATCATCATTATTAGCAATTGAACCACCGCAAGCATTCCAAGATTATGGCAATGATAATATTACGCCAATAATATCTTCAACAATTGATACTCAGACACCATCAATGCTTTATCCGGTTATTGATGATGATGATAATGATGACGGTGATGATGAAGATGGCGATGTGGATGCTGATTGTATCAATCAACAGCCAATCAATGATTTTATCGTCACACATGAATCATCATCATCATCACCATTAGTAATATTTCCTTATGAATCACATCCAACGGTTTCAACTGTTCATATGCTCAACAATAATGATGATTTGTTGAATTCTTTATCGTCTGCTAATAATCATCAAACATCATTATCATCATCACCATTATTGCCGTTGAATACATTAATTGCTAACAACACTAATAATAATAATGATGACGACATAACGATTGCATTATATAAAAATAATCAACAACAATATCAACCATGTACAGAATTCGGTATTAATAATAATCATAATTATACACAATTACAACGACCAACATCACACCAACATTTATCACAAACACAATTACAAACAGCCATATCGAATCAATTATTATTGAATGCGACACAATATCGATTATATCGTCGTTTTATTCAACAACAACAAATGAATCAAGAATCAACGATAGCCACAATGATCAATCATTCAAATGTTGATAATGATGCCAACAATGTTGTTGGTACAAATACTAACTGTATGAATAACAAGAATCGTAATAATGTGAATATAAACGAAATAACAACAACAACAACAACAACAACATCATCATCATCATCAACGGCAGTATCGGCAGCTGTAGCAAAAGTAACAACATCATCCATTATCGATTCATCATTATTATCATCATCATCATTGATGGAAATGAATCCTCATTCTCATCATCATCAACAATATTTTTTTTATTCAACACCACCACCGCCACCATCATCGCCATTAATATTGGCCAACACTAGTACAATTGCTGCTAATAATGTAATTCCCGATATTGATAAAAATATTGTTGTTGGTGTTGTTAATAACAGTGATAATGGTGGTAATGGTGATTGTGTAACTGGTTCATTGAATAATTTACCAAATATTTGTTATGATTCATCACCAACATTATCTACCTATCATCATTATCCACATCATCAACAACATTATTATAATCATCATCATCAACAGCAGCAGCAACAACAACATCATAGACAACATTATCAATATCGACCGCCACATCATCGATTACATCCACATCAATTGGAACGTTATGGAAGCTCAAGTTCGCTCAATCATCGTAATGGTTCCGGTATAATGAACAATGTTAATAATGCAAACATTAATGGCAGTCATCATCATCATCATCACCATCATCATCATTTGATGATGAACAATGCCCATCTATATCATACACAACAACCACTACTACAATCACCTCAGCAAGCACATCGATCATTTAATACCGGTAATGGAATTGTTGATGATGGTGATGGTGGTAGTAATGATGAAGTTATTGCTAATTCTGATTATCGTTCATCATCACTTCCGTCCAATAATCATACAAAAGTTTTGATACATCATCAATGTTCTGCTGCTATAACGCCTCCATCATATACACCACCATTATTATCGATGCATCGAATACGTTCATCAATTGATAATACAAATTGTAGTGTAAAAAGTTTACCAATCGAACATAATCATCAGATGAATATCGTAAATGGATCAATAGGTAATAGTGATGAAACTTATTGTCATGATATTGGTGAAACAACATTAGCAGCAGCAGCAGCAGCGGGAACAACAATAACAACAATGTCAAATTGTCGGACACAATCAACAAGTCCACGACCACCAAGTTCAACAACAACAACAAAACCATCATCATTAGGAAAACCGGAACCACTGGCATCGTCAGTTCAATTTAGTGAAGAACAAGCAATGGTATTGGCTATGGTAGAAGAACAAGCTAAACAAGAGGCACAATTACGTGAATTAAAAGGTTATGAAGCATCAGCAAAATATCAACCACCATTAATTGATGGTGCTGTTGCAGCTGCATTATTAACACAATCCGGTACAATAATACCGGATAATCAAAATCAACATAAACGTTCATGCTCTGAATGGCGTATGACATTATTTGTATTCTATTGGATCATATGGATTGTTTTTCTTATCGGTGTTGTGATTATTGTTGCTGCCAATACACGTACCGAATAATTTCCATTTAATTCAACAAAATCGAAACAGAAAAATGAAAATATTGAAATTTCATTAAAAAAAAAAATTACAAACGAAATCTTCCTTAAATTGCGCCTTGTTTTCTTCTCTCTCACACATACTTTCTCTTTCAAGTTCTTTTCTCATATAAAAAACACACGCATTTATTTATCAAATCAATGTTATCATGAATTTATGAAATGAAAAATTCTACAATTATTCTTGAATGAATTAAATTATCAAGAATTATAATAAAAATGATGATGACATGAAAAACAACAATTTAAAAAAAAAAGTTTTTTTTTCTTATCTGTGATCCATAATAATACAATGTGTTTTATTTTCCATTTTTTTCGATTGAATTGTTGTTTGACGTTTCTCTATCGGTCTGGTAAATGAAAAAAAAATCGACAACATTAGCACCAAAAAAAACGTATCATTTGATTGTTATCACTAATCCTAAATCCTTTCTTTCCCAAATTATCTTGAATCAATCACAAAATGAAATTGACTAAATTTGAAAACACACACACATACGCACACGCACACCCGTATTTAGATTTGATGATATGTGAATTTCCTTTCAACATTATATAGCCAGCAATCATACACGTTTATTTTATTTTATTTTTGTTGTTGTGTGATTTAATCATTGAAAAACAAAACCAAATAAAATGAGCAAATAAATTTGAAATCAATTAATAATGTGGTTTAGATGAATCATGAATCCATTGTAAATAGGGAAATACATCGGTAAATATCATTGGATTATCTGTTGTACAATTTGTACAATGTGATGCAATACCTAATAGAATGGAACCTTTTGCATCGGTATTAGATGTGAATAATGGGCCACCAATATCACCTTCACATTGTTGTTCGGACATTGTTCCTGTTTCTGTCATTTGATCAATTTCTTGTGAAACACAGAATTCATTTTTGTTACGCGGTTGATCGGCTGGACAATCAACAATTTGTACTGGTTGAATTTGAAGTTTTTTACGCAGAATTGTACCATCAATACCAGCACCCCAACCAGAAATGAATAATTTTTCATCACTTTCCACATGATTTACTGGAACATTTGGCATACAAATGTTTGAAATATTTCCATCGGTTTTAGCAAAATCAAATGGCATTGCTAAACGTAAAACAGCCAGATTATTTGCCAATGTTTTTTTATCGAAATTTGGATGAACTTTTACAGATTCAATAAAAGCTTGTGTTGGTTCCGATTGTCCGGCACCTTTTTTGAAAAAACCACCTTTTGGTAATTCAATAATACCGGCTTCAGCTCGATTCATACCGGAGAATTGCCTGCGATTTAATTTTTGCACAATTAAAATTTAAATAATTTTAAAACAAAAAAAAAAAAAACAAATCAACTTCTTACCCATCCACACAGGAAGCGGCCGTTAGTACTGCTTGTGGAGTGATTACTGCACCACCACAGGAAATTTTCCAAACTCCACCAATCAATCCTTTCGATTCAACAGCTACATGCCAAACAACTTGACCTAATTGGGCTGTGATTGTTTCATTCATTTCGGAATCCAATGGAATCGGGCTAATACCGCATGGAGCCGGTGGTGTAGTCACAGCATCAGCAGCAGCACTACCATCTGCTGATTCGGCTTTAATCAATTTATTCGTTGAAAATGGTAGGAAATTGCTATAATCAAAATTATAACAATCAACATTGGCTATCAATTGATGACCAATGATCATGGCTGATAAAAATAATGAAATTGTCTTCATTTTTTTTCACAAAAAAATATTGATTAATTTTGGAACACAAAAGTGGATTCAGTTGTTGTTTTTTTGGTTTGTCGAAAAATGATTCTTTCCAAAACTTTCCATTACAAGCCTTTTTTATAAGCAGAAATTTTTTTTTTTTGGTTCCAAATCTATTATTATTGCCAATGTACCATGAAATAAATGGTAGAAAAGCTGTTTATCCGGAGAAAAAAAAACAAGACCATAAACTCGAATAGGGAAATAGTAAATTTTTTTTTTAATATTTACCACAAATAGATCCAATATAATAAACATTTACAATACACGTGATGTTGTTGATGATGGATCCAGTAATTGGACGATAACCTTGTAATCCCATATAAACAGAAAATACCCTGATGATGGTAGTGATGAAACTTTGGTTCATCATAATGGATAATAAAAAATCATCATTGACATTCATGATAACTTGATTATTGCACCATTTTTTATATCATAAATTTTTCTTTATATATCCGTTTTTTGGATATATCAATCTTCCAGTACGTTTTATAGATGAAATTAATTTTATGGTTTTTGATTGAAATAAAAAATAAAGTAAGATTCCGACCAACGGTTGAATTGAAGAACTTTATTTGTCAACTAATCAAAGGTTAAAACACAACAAGTGTGTGTCCTGTGTGTTTGTGTGTGTGTGACATTAGTAGTAGTAGTACATGTGTGTGTGTTTATGATTTTTGATTGAAATAAAAAATTGGAAAAAAAATATTCCACTTCATCCACACACCACATCAATGAGTGGTGGTATACGTGTATGTATGTGTGTCTGCCAGGTTTCGATCCTGGGACTTTCTGCGTGTTCTTTTTCTTGTCATTATGTGAAGCAGATATGCAACCACTACATCACAGACACACGTAGTGGAATAATTTATGGAAAGAATTCAATTGTCAGCCAATTTGACTAACATGAATCAAGCTGAACAAAGTTACACCCATTATAACCTATGTAGCTTTTGGTCAATGATTCAAATTCTGGGTTTATAGATTGTGATTTTTTAATTCAAAAAAAATCAATCCACTAAGATATAATGAAATTAACATCAAATGATTGAATAGAAATAAGAAAAAGGAATCTCAATCACTATTTCAACAGTGATCATGTCTTTGTGTGTGTTGAATATTGCTCATGTGTTACGAAATATTGTGCACGCCCATTTCACAAATATATTGAGAATACAAAGTTTCAATGATGATTTTCCATATCATGTTTTATTACAAGGATATGCAAACAACAATGATCACATCATAATTGTCAGACGCTTTTGATGATATTTGGCTTGTTGCCACACACTTATGCACAATTTCCATTCTTCAATATTATAAATGTCTGTGATCAAATCATCATTTGATTTATGATCGATCGATCAGTTTTTATTTGAAAGCTTGTTAATTTTTTTTTGACTGATTTTGATTATTACATTACATCGAAATTAAAAATGTTCTCCAACCGTATATTGATTGTTGATCGGATTTTTATGCGTACCATGGCCACAATGCCAGTGGATATGCCGAAAAAATCCTATGAACTTGTCATTGTTGGTGGTGGAGCCGGTGGCCTGGCCATTGCATCTCGTTTCGTTCGTTATTTTCGTGCAATGAAACGACCATCAAATTCAATCGCAGTGATTGAACCACGAAATGTATGAAATTCAATTGGATTTTTTTGATTAATAAATAAATTTTCTTTGTTCTTGTTCATAGACTCATTTCTATCAACCATATTGGACGTTGGTTGGTGCCGGACTAAAAGATCTATCAGCATCAGGTAGGCCAATGGCACAGGTTATGCCAAATGGTGTCGATTGGATTAAAGAAACATGTTCGGGTATCGATCCCAAATCCAATAATGTCATGTTAACCGGCGCAACTGGAACCGTTAATTATCGATATTTAGTGTTAGCTGCTGGTATTCACATTGATTGGGATAAAATCGAAGGTTTATTACCAGCATTAGAAGAACCAAATAACGGTGTATGTTCAAATTATTCAGATAGTTTCGTCACAAAAACATGGAAAACATTACAACAATTTCAAGGTGGTAATGCAATATTTACGTTTCCAAATACACCGATAAAATGTGCTGGAGCACCACAGAAAATCATGTATTTGACAGATGCATATCTTCGCCAAAAAGGTGTCCGAGATCAAACGAAAATCGCCTATTTCACATCATTACCAATAATTTTTGCTGCAAAACATTATGCAAAATCATTAATGGAATTATGTCGACAGCGCGATTTAAATGTTACAGTTCGACATAATCTTGTTCGTGTTGACATGAAAAAACGATTGGCCTATTTTGAGAATCTAGATCGACCGGATGATCCATTATTGAAAGTGAAATACGACATGCTTCATGCAGTGCCACCAATGAGTGCCCCTAAATTTCTTAAATCATTGGCCAATAATACAAGTAATGGATACGTTGCTGTTGATCCGAAAACACTTCAACACGTTGAACATGAGAATATATTTGCATTAGGTGATTGTTCATCATTACCAACATCAAAAACGGCCGCAGCTATTGCATCGCAAAATTCTATTCTAGCCAAGAATTTGTTACAATTCATACAATATAAGGATAGCGATCATGTTGATGGAATTAAAATTAATTTCAAATCAAACTATGATGGTTATACATCCTGCCCGATTGTTACGGGTAATAATCGATGTATTATGGCTGAATTTGATTATCAATTACAACCATTGGAAACATTTCCGTTCAATCAATCAAAAGAACGTCGAATGATGTTTTATGTGAAAAAATACATGCTACCATTCGTCTATTGGAATGGTATGCTCAAGTAAGTTTGCTTTTATATTCAATCGATTGATTGATTGACATGTTTACATTTACATTGATTCTAATGTTGTATTCATTTTGATCTTTCAGAGGTTATTGGAGTGGGCCATCAATATTTCGAAAGCTAATTCATTTTGGATTTAAGTGAATTTTTGATTAAATCTGGCACATGGATTGAAAAATTCGGATTTTTTTAATTCAAAATTCTATAAATTCATCTCGATCAACACCAAACATGGATGATGATGAAATCATTTAATTCAGTTCCATTTAGGAAAATATGATTTGAATGCACCATCTTCACTTCCTTGTTTTAGTTTTATAATCTGATTTGGTTGAAATTTACGGCCACTTTTATCCTCTTGTATAAAACGTTGGGCTACTTTATCAACATGTGCTTCATCGGCTATACGTTCAGCAAATTGGTTACCAATCCAAACATAAATCTTATCCATAACATCTTTTTTTGGAAATGAAATGAAAAAAAAAATCAGATTGTTATAATTTTATCAAATTTATTAACCCGTTGATTATTATTATTATTATTTTGATGTTGTTATTAGAAAATTAAAATACACATACCCAAAATCATGATATTATCCTCTTCCAAATCATCTGGTTCATAATTGGCAACCTGTTTAAAGATACCATTTCGTGAAACACGAAACAATCGTGCACTGGTAATTTTTTCCTGTTCGCTCATTTGCCATGATTCAAATAATGATTTGAATTCAACACTTTCATCACCTTCCAATACTTTGGTTACCGGTGTATTATTTGGATATTTTTTCTTATTAATCAATTCCATTGCATATTTAATGGCCGATTGTCGTTCTTTTTGTGTGGCTTTCTTACCAACCCATACCCATAAACCTTCGGAACCATTTTCAACAATGAATGTATCCTATTATGAAATAAATTTCAATTCATAATTAGTAATAATAATTTTAAAATATTACAGGAAAACATACATTTGTATCGAGATCAGCACGGCTTAACGGTCCATTTTTGACAAACGAAATATCAATCGTTTCAGTACCTTCGAAACATTTATACAATGTAACGAATGAACGTTCATGTGATTCAAAAGATTTATCACTGGCAGCATAATCATAGCCTTTTGGCATTTGTTTAAGATCAATATCTTTTTTATCCAATGATAATGCTTTATTGAATGCATCATATTCAGCACCGGATGTTTGTTCAACTTCTTTACCATCTTCCAAGATGACTGATGATAATTTAAAACGATTCAATTCAGATTTCAAATCATTAGCCACACGAATAGCAGTAGTACGTTCCATACGATTTGAATGTTTACCGGTCCAAACGAAAACAAAATTCGGTACAAGCAAAATGAATACATCACCATTATTCATAACTTTCCAGCTAATCTCAGCACATTCATAAACGATTGGACGTTTTTTGCCTTTAACATGCAACAATGATGGCTTCAATTCATCAATCATTTTGGTAAAGCCGCTTTCGTAACCACCTTTTAAATAACTGAATCAAAAGATGTAAAAATATTTACATTTTAAAATGGGAAAAAAATATCAATACTCACATGATACCATTCTTAAAATATGAAGAAAATTGTCTGGATTCAAATTCTATTGATTGATTGCAAAAAAAAAAAAAATTGGAATAAATTTCGAGTTTGTTTATTCTTCTATACAAACCTTCAATTTCACGATGTTGTACCGGATAACCGCCAAGAAAATCATCCAATTCAACGGATTTGATTGCGGCAACACCAGCTTCATCTTTGGTTGATTCACTACCAATCCAGAAATGAATATGACAATAACCATGTCCATTTAGAATTGGTTTTGATTCCATTTTTGAATGACCACCGGTTGGATTTTCTGTACACTAAATAATTAAATAATGAGAAATGGTGAAAAAGAAATTTAAAAAAAAAATTCTATTCTCATTCGGTACACTTACACAAGCGACAATATAACAATCTCCTTTGTAAAATTTGCCATAATCTTCTTTTGGCACTGGAACCAATTCAAATTGCTAGGATCAAATGATTTAAATGATTAATTATGATTAATGATTCAAAATGAATTCGTGATATTTGATCATTATATATCATCAACGACATTAAAATTACAATTACAATGATAACAAACCTTTATACGCCAAATAAAGAAAAAGGTGTGACCGATTGGAATTACATCGAAATTTTTATCATGTGCAGCCATTGTTTATTGTGTAAAATTTTTTTTTTCGTTTGTTTTGTCAAAAGAACACTTGCAGGATAAGTTGAAATTTTCAAAGTTTTTTTTTGTGTGAAAAAAAAATTTCTTTTTTTTTGTCAATAGCACAAACACGAATTTGCCAAATGAATGAATTGAATTGAATTGAAATTGGAAAATAACAACAACTTCAACGCTGATAATTATGATGATGATGATGATGATGAAAACATTCTGAATCATAACAACTGTTACGCCTACTCAAAAGAATTTTTTGTTTCTGTCGTCGACCATTTTCTGAAGAATAAATCAGTTTTGGGCGTCGTAATCAAATCGTTGATTGTAATCAAGTCTATTTCGACTGACACGCTGTCACACACACACACACACACTCTTTTTCACTTTCAATGAATTGTTATGTAAGTTTTTTTTCTGTTTTGAATAAATGAATGAATGCATGAACAACGATAAAAATAGCTAGACCGAAACCACTAACATTTTATATTATGGAAACAAACAACCAAAACGAATTCGATTATAGATGAGGATAGATTCTTCATATGAATGTAACCGGTTTTTATTTTTCCACCACTGTTTGTTTTTTCGTTTCGTTTCAAATTACTTTGCAACCAGTAACAAAAAAATTGATGATGATGATGATGATGTTGGTTTGATGAAAGATGATTATAATAATCTTTCACACAGCATGAATTTATATAACAATCTGGAATCAACTAAATTTTTAAATCATCATGATGATGAAAAATATGGAAATCAAATCGTTCGCATCCGCTTACCATAGACATATATACATTATTATTATATTAGAACATAAATGCAATGTCATAAATATGAATGAATGATGTGATTTTTCTCTGAAAAGAAAAAAAAGGAAACAAATAAAATGATGATAACATTTTGCTACTGGTAACCATGGTGAATATCTCCTAGTAAAGTAGAGTAAAAAAAAAATCAAATGCATTGACAATTTTTAAACATATGAAAAAAAATATACAGATTTCCAATTAAATCCATATAATATCGTTGACAGATTGTGGGTGGGTGATTGTGTCATTCACATGTCATTGATGGAAAATAATAAAAAAAAAATTTCATGTTTGTTTTAATTTTTTTTTTTTAACATTTGTACAAAAATTTATCGTTAATGGCTCAAACCGGGTGGATCGAATCGTTTTTTTTATTGTTTTTTTTATTTCATCTCATACGACAATAAAATTGATTGGTTATTCAGTCGTAAAAAAATTTTTTTTTGAAAAAAAATTCATCAAAAATGATCCAAATCTTGAATTCTATTTTTGTGCAACAAACAACAACAAAAATATTCTTGTAGGCTCCATGTAATTTTAAAAAATTTGGCTTACAACATATATATGAGTTGCACAAATTTTAATACCAAATACCGTCAACAACAACAACAATAACAACAACAACAACAACAGTAAGAATAAAAATAAAATCATTGCATCTGTTGTTGCTATATGATTCTTGTTGTTGTTGTTGTTGTTAATTCTTGTCTTTCTCGCTAATAGACATCGAAATCTAGTCAATTTCGATTTGTTGGTTTCTGTGTTTAGTGAATAAGTGTGTGTGTGTGTCATTTAATGTTTGTCTTTATTTGATTAAGTCAAAGTTAAGTTAATAATTCTTTTTTTTTGCAACTCGACAGATGTGTAGATTATTTTTAGACCAAAAAAAAAATCATGAAATTTGTTTGTTTAGTTTCTTTCAGTATATTCGTCAGATTTTGATTGAAAACAAAATTCTTATGCAAAAACAAAAACACCAGTGAATCATCGATTTGAAATAAAATGATTTAATCAAAATTCAGAAAAAAAAATTCAAGGATAAAATTTATAAATGAAAGAATAGAAAAAAAAGACAGCCTAAAAAAATGACATTGATTTTGGATATGTGTCAATTTGGACAATATTTCATCTAACAATAATCATGATCAGGATGATGATGATGAATTATCATTGACATTGTCAACATCATCATCAATGCCACCACCACCACCATCATCATCATCATTAGATATCATTGGTTTAGTGACCTTTATAATGTCCATTTCGATTATAATACGTTGATGTTTGGGTAATTGTTCTGTTATTGACCTATTCATTTGATTTGAAAGCATTAAATTGGATTCATTTATTACTACTGAACTAATTGTTGTCGATGATATTGATGATGGCAAAGATTTGGCTTCAGAATATGGAATCAGATTCGAATCATTTATTTCTTGTCTTTCAGATATTGTCTGTGGTTGTTGAATTTCACGTTTTTTACTATTGTTGATCTTGTTATTGGTGTTATTGCTGGCGTTGGAGCTATCTGATAGTAATAAATTGTTTACCATTCTTAATGTTGGATTTGGCTCAACATTTTCATTGATAGATGATGATGATAATCTTGATGGTGATGATGATAATAGTGATGCCAAAATGATGGCACCATTTTGATGATGATGATTATTATCATTATTATTATTATTAGTATTGCCACTGTTGTTTTTCTCTTTGCTCCTATTATTATTGTTTGTAATCATCATTGAATTTATACGGTTCGATGTCATTGTTGTTGGAGATGATGATGCTGCCATATCCATCATTGTTGTTGTTCTTGTCGTAGTCGTAGATTTATTTGTTTCAACACGAATAAATACAGCAATAGCGACCAAAGATAAAAATAGGATTCCAATTAAAAATGATCCTAAGTGTAGTGAATAATGTGTTATTATTATTATCATTATTATCCATTATTCATCCATCCGAATGGATGGTAAATTCCCAGTCTTCTCCAGAATAGACTGTGAGAGAGAGAGACAAATATTCATATATACTTTGTATACATGAACAAGTCAAATTAGAAAAAAAATTCAGAATAAAAAGAATTAAATTCAAAACAACGCCCATCATCACAAAAACACAAAAACAGACAATGAAAAAAAAAGAAAAAATCTAAATTTAGAATAATTTTCACTTTACAACACTATACACAAGAACCAAATGTGAATGAATAAAAGAATTTTAACATACCAACAAGTTTGACGACACCAGCAGATTGTTCATCTTCATCATCATCATTATCATCAATATTTTTTGAAAATGATGGTTGAAAATTTGCCTGTTGCCATGGCCATACTGTAGATGTCCATATTGGTTGTAGTTTTAGTTTTAGTTGATGATCATTATGATTATTCAAAATTATATGCTTCATATGTGTTCCATCCATCATCAGAACCTATGTATGATGGAGAAAAGAGAATTTTTTTTTTAAAAATTGATAATTTAAAGAATATTACATATGATGTAATACAGATACACACAAACCTTATGATCTGGTTTTTGTCTTTGGCCATTCTGGCTGATATTTTTGTTGTTGGCACTTTTAAAATCATTATTATTATTATTATCATCATAGTTCATATTCGATTTCAATAAATGATTTTTATAAACATTTGGACAATGACATTTGATACGATTAAAACCAGACGACGAGGATGATGATGATGATGATCTAGATGATGATAATGATTCGGTACCCGATTGGAATAGAAAATTTGAATCAGAACAACAACAATTTTTCTTTCGTAATAATTGTTTTGATTGTTGGCTAGCCAATGATAATGGCGGTGATGATGATCGAGATGAATTTGATGATGATGATGAAATTAATGTTAATTGTGATAATGAAGAATTATCCAAATTCGGTGTTTTTGGATGAAATTTCTTGAATTGTTTATTCATCATCATTATAGATCATTATTATTGTTCATTGTTGATTCAAGAAAGAACGAAGTAAAAAAACTATCAAACCAGAAACGACAATATAATCAACAAATTGAAATCGGATTGAATTTCAATGGCAAATTTGATGATGATCAAATCATATTTTTTTTCCAAAATTTGATCCTATGATAAATGGAATGGTGATGGTAGTTTAGTGTTGGTATAATAACAAACAAAATAAAAAAAAATGTAGAAATTAAAAGTTGTTTTTCGAAATTTCAAATGCATACGATCCAAAAACAAAAACAGAAAAAAAACAGACAATCTATCATAATGAGAGAGAGAAAAGCTTTTTTTTAAAAAAAAATAAGAACAACTACAAATTAAGTTACTTGGCAATGATTATATGATTATGATGATGGTTATGGTGGTCGTGTTAGAAGGTCGGATGTAAACGATGTATATACTTGTGTGTGTGTGTGTGTGTATAATGACGACAAAATGATTGTTTGTAGGCGTGTTACAAACAAATGAAACAAAAGTTTTTCTGGAACAACAACTACACGGTCAAATTGAATTGATTCAAAAAGATCAAATTGTACCAATAATGTATGTATGGATGGATGGTTGGCTGGTTGGTTTGAACCAGAACAGTTTATGATTACGATGATGATTGACAACGAACAAAACAGCAGCAACAAGTGTTTTTTTTTGCCCATCAAAATTGTCCAATTTTTTTTACGTTATAATATAATTATTGGCAATTGTTGTTGTTGTTGTTGAACCAAAACTTTTTGTTTTGGCAATTTAACACTGTTATAACTACGGTAGTTTTCAGGTGTTTATTTTACAATCGATCACACACACACACACACACATATCGAATGGTCATTGACAAATGTAACAGGAACAAAATTAAAAAAAAATTAAAATTTGCCATTGATCATGATTGATAAGTAAAAAAAAAAAAAAATCCGAATTGATCGATCAATGTGTAAACACTTGTTTTGTATATGAAAAGGTCATACACTCACACACACACACACACACTTAAACACAAAACAATCACAAAACCATATCGGTTGTTTTTCTTTAATTCATTTAAAACAAATGTGTGTTTTTCAATCGATTATTATAAACAACCGGAAATCAGTCTATTAGAAAAAAAGAGAAGGAAAAAAATTAAGTATCACTGATCAATACAAGAGAGACATAGTTATTATCGATCGATTATTAACATCGAAATAGATTTGTTGTCAAAATAAAAAGACAATGACACATTGATGACGATGATGATGATGATGATGATGATTAAACTAGATATAAACAAGAATGGAAAAAGGAAAAGAAAATTCGAAAATTTGACAATCAATTTTTTTTATTTTGTTTTGTTCGGTGATTGATTAAATTTTTTTTTCAATCAATATAAAATCAATCATCAAATTGAATGCAGAGTTCGAATTGATCAAAAATATATACCTTTTGATCGATTGTGTCCTATACACAAATGACGATAAAAGCTTCTGTTTTGAATTCGAATAGTGTACTATACAGTACATACAATTTATAAGTTTGGAAAAAAAAATTAAAATCTCATTTTTTTTTGTCACTGTCATCATCATCATTCATTCATTCATTCATTCATTATTATTATTATGATTAAAACATATAAATCACTATTATGATCATCGACTTGTGGTCTATGAAAGTGTGTGTGTGTGTGTGTGTGTGTGTATGGTAAACAGTGAATTGAATGAAACATGTCAAAACATTAAGCATTAAACCATATATGATGATGATGATGATGATGATGATAATCATTATAATCATCCCATAATGATAATTACATCAACAATATTCTAATGGCCAATAACATATACAATCGATCACAACATACAACAACAGCAACATGAGATAAATGGCAATGAATTTGAATTCGATGATGTTGATGATGATGATGATGATGATTGTGTCATGCAATGACAATTCGTGTATATACGGCATTCCATTCGCATTTTTTTTCTACCAATGTATGTGTTGTTGTATTTTTTTCGGTATATATGATTATTAAAAGATTTACAAAAAAATTGAATAAAAGGGTAGAATTTTGTTGATTTTTTTTTCTCCACTGAAAACAATTACCAATCCAATGATTATTTAGTTGATTGGATCGTTCAATAGATTAAATTAAAGGTAAAAAAAACCCCTTAAGCTTTTAGTTTCAGTTATATTTTGTCAGTGAAAAAGAAACGAAAAAAAAACAGAAAATAAATTTTCAAAATTTTCAATGTCAACCTTCTATAGTCGATGTAGTCGTCCATTGGTGTGTATGTAGGGGGTGTGAGTTTAGATATTTAAAGTTTTTTTTTTAAAATTTAATACCGAATGTGAACAAAGCATTCGATTTTAATTGAATTCAATTTAATAATGATGATAATAAATTTTATGCCGTAGCAGCATATATTAAATCCTTCGACATTTTCTCTCTTTTTTTTTTTTTGTTTCATTTGACATTCCACAATGTATCTATGATTAATGATTGAAAATTGAATGATCAAATTTTAAAATTCATCAAATGACAATAACTTTACAATCAAATCATCGTTATTATTATTGATCGATTGATTGAATGATCGATTTTAAAATGATTTCATCATCCCATTATCCAGACGCCCAACTTCAAAATCACTTGTTTCATAATATCATTATAAATCTCAAACAACGAAAAAAAAAAAAATCTTTCTTCCTGGTTCGTTGTCATCATTGTCATATATACATGAAATTTATCTCTCTCCCCTTTGCAAGACGGCGGACATGTAAATATTTTCAGGGACATGTATGCATTCAGGTATTTAAAATGGAAATTTGATTTTTTGGCTTTAAATTGTTGAAACATCATTAAAAAATGTCGACGACATCTATCGATCAGATTTATAATCTAAATTTTATTTAATCTCTTGTCTTGAATATTAAATTTGATCATCATCATCAGTCAATTCAATATATACAATCATGTCGCTGATAAAGAAAATTTTCAAAAAATTTTTCGACCCCCATCATCCAGAATCGAATGAATTTCGTTGGAATTTTACATTATGGTTATATATCAATTATTCATGGCCAATCTATATGGGTATTGTTTGGATCTGTTTTCTATCACAATTTTTTCGTCCAGCAATTGTTTGTAATGGAAATAATTCAAACATCGATTATGAGATGGCCGAATCATTTTGTTTTCTTGAATCAAGTTTTTATCATTCTAAATTTTATGATGCTGACCACTATGATCAAAATGTTTATCATTTTAATCGTATTTATTATTGGTTAATACCAATTATGATTACAATGGTAAGTGATGATTGATTTTTATTTATTCAAAGTAACTAACTATAAAACAAATTTCACTACATTTCAGTGTTTAATGTTTACAATACCGAAAACAATATGGAATCGATCAAAAAATTGTCGCCGTTTACAATCGGTAATCAATGATTCAATTAAATCATATGGAAATCATGATCGTACGAAAACATTGAAAATAATTGCTACATTGTATCGAATTACCAAATCGAATCATCAGATGACAATTGTTATTCTATTTATACATCTATGGATATTGATTTCATTACCATTGATGATTGGAATGTTTGCATGGACAATGTTTGTACAATCATCAAAAAACACTGGATCCATATTGACATATGGTTGGGATTGGATCAAATTTCAATCATATGATAATAATAATAATAATAACGTTACAATGCAAGAAGATCCACTACAAAAGGTAATGATTTATTGAACAATTTGAAAAATTGTTCAATTCTCATAATATCAAATATCATCATCAACATATATTTATTATTATGTAGCTATTTCCAACCATAGTACCATGTACATATCGTTATTATGGACAAAGTGGTCAATTACAACGAACAGAACTATTATGTTCAATTAAATTCAATCTATTATTAGGACGAATCATGCTGTTTGTATGGTTTCATCTTTTAACATTGGCTTTGTTGATTATAATTGAATTGATAAAAATAACGTTGCTTTCTAGTCCAATGATACGTTCTTATTATATTCATTATAGATTTTTACAAAATTATCAATTTAAACATGTAAAACTTAGCTATCCAATGATGTTAATTATACGGATGGTATGTAAATAATTAATAATAGCAAGTAAAATTCTTGATTCTTTCATTTGTTTTTTTTCCCCACAGCTTCCAATCAATATTGGACATTTGAATACGATAAAATTATTGATTGAAATTCATGGTAAAAATGTTAAAATCAATGACAAACAATGATGGCCATGCACATTATTCTCTTTTTTTTTGTTTATCGATGACCCTATGAAATTTCTCTCAATTTTTTTGTTTGTTTCTTTGAATTTTTTTTTAATGATGATAATCACCAAATAAATTTAACATTGTCTGACCTGTTCATCATTGACTTGTTCATTCATGACAATCATGATGGAATTTTTTTTTATATTCTCAAGAAAAACAGATTCGCATGACAATACCTGTAATGATATTTACGGACCATTTAATCGAATCGTTTCTCTCAGGTTATTTATTTTTTTGGAGGGAGAAAAAAATTTCAAATTATTCTCATGACTATTTGGTTTTCTTCCGTCTCGACATGAAGACGATTAGTATAAAAGTCGTCGTCGTCGAATTCAATATTCAGCGACATCAACATTCCAATACAAAAATAATTTGACGGCCAGCAAAAAAAACTTTAATTTTTCAACAAAAAATTATGGCAACTTTATTCCGAGTGATTTGCTCGGCTAGCCTGACCATCATTGTTATTCATTGTTTTTCATTAATCACTTTGGTTGCTTGTAAATCATCTGGAATGTCTATCCGTAAGTTTTGTTTTTCACTCCAATCCAATTCCTTGAATCCATAATGACCTAATCACAATTATTATTGCAGAAATGATTGGTGGCGGTGGTGGTGCTGGTGGTGGTGGAAATTCTTATGGCGGTACTGGTGGTGATCCAATGCTAGTTCTTTCTGGTAAAGATGGCACGTAAGTTCATACAAAATTTATGGTTAATTTCCATTATTCATACGGTTTTTTTTGTCGCATTTATTTATTATGAAGAATGATCGCTGGTGGACCATGCAGTATGATACCGTTTTTAATGTCACCAAGTAAAAAAGCAAAAAAGAAAGGTGGTGATATGTAAGTGAATCGAATTTTATCTTAAATCTTAATCTAAATATATGTCATATCATAAATTATTCAGGATCATGATGCTTGGCAGTGGTTGTAATCGTCAACAAAGTTATTCATATCCACAACCAAAACATATTCAATTACATTTACATCCAATCATGATGAATTATGGTGGTGGATATCCTATGAGCGGTGGATATAATGGAGGTAATTACGGTGGTGGTGGTGGTGGTGGTCATTCATCTGGTGCGGATTATATGGGTGGTAGCTATGGAGAAAATGGTGGATATAATAGCGGGGGTAGTGGTGGTGGTTATAATGAGCGTAGCTATTGATATTCAATCAATACATTGATCAATTCATTCAAAATGTATCCATTTTTTGTTTAATCCATTTCTATCCTTTGAAAAAAAAACAAACGATGATCAACAAATTATTAGGGAAAAATCCTTATTAAATGGAAAATTAAAAAAATTTTTGCAACAAATTCATTCAATCCTTCATTTTTTTGGTAATAATAAATTTGTTTATTATCATAATAATTGCAATTAATTATCAATCAATTATACACAGCAAAACAAACAAAAAAAAAAAAAAGAAGAAAGAAAAAGAAAAAGAAAAACATTTATCAAGAACAATCGTTATCAAGTGTAAATTCAAATCTGTGTGTGTGTGTGTGTGTGTGTGTGTGTGTGTGTGTGTGTTGGTGTGTATGCGGGAAGAAGGGAGGTGTATGTGCGATTTGAAAATATGAAAATTTAAATTATCATCATCAAATGTTTTTTTTTGTTTTGTTTTATATCAATAGTCACCGACATTATTTTCAAAAAAGGATAAAATTGAACAACAACAAAAAAAAAAAAAAGAATGATAAAGAGTTATACACAAACAATGATCGCACAACACAGAAGACAATTGGTTAAATTTTTTTTTTCAATATTATAAATGAATTTATGAATTATACAATTGCACACATTAAGAAAAAAAAATGAAGAAATATCAATATATTGGTAATAATGGGCACAAACACACACACACACACACACACACACACACACATCAAAAAGAATGAAAAAGAGCAAGAGAAAAAAAGAATATAAATTATCAACAATTAATTGCATCAAGAATTAACAAGAAAAAAAATTGATCAAACACAAAAAAAAATTTAAACAAAAAAAATTAATGAATGAATGAGAAAGTGGAGTGATCATATAGTCAATATCACCGTTTGGGTGAGACAAAAAAAAGTGAAGAAAAAAGAGAGCAAATGTATGTGTGTGTGTGTGTGTGTGTTTGGTGTGTGGTAGAAATAATATGGGAAAATTATCATTCAAGTGGGTGTGATGCAATTTTTTAAATTTTTTTTTTGTATTTTATCATTTTTCTCGTGCCACAGAAAAAAAAGTAATGAAATATTAAATGGCAACTCATACACACACACACAGAAAAAATGAGAGTTAAATAATGACATTTGTAAACGATGTTATTTGTAAGTAGAGAAAAAGATTATTATAAGTGGAAAAAAAAGAAGTAATTAACACAATGAATAACACGAATTTGCACGTTGAAACACACATACAAACACAAAAACACGAGCGATTTTTTTTTGCAGAACTAAAAATCAAGACAATCGTTATCAGTGTAAATTCAAATGTGTGTGTGTGTGTGCACGGAGAGCAAATTTTACAAGTTCGATATGTAATCGAATTGGTTTGAATTTTTATGTTTGTTAAATGTATGTGAATGAGTGTGTGTGTGTGAGAGAGATGTTGTGATGGAAAAATGTTTTGTTTTGTTTAGATGTTACATTTCATTTCATAAATGCAGTCAATTCGTTGATTTTCGTTTGAATTTGTGATGAAGAATTTTTTTTTTGCAACAGAATAACGGACGTGCTTTGCAGAATTTGCTTCACTGAATCGGTAATATTTTTTTCGATGCAATGATCATGGTGTTGGATATTTGTTTATGAATATGTCCGAAGAATCAATGGTTCCATTTTCATTGTGGATTTGAAATACCAATTAATGAATCAAATGTCGTATGAACAAAGGAGAGAGAAGAAGAAGAAGAATTCAAAACAATACATATTTATTAGTCGAAATAATTTTCCAATATATATCACCGATATGGTTGCGGTGGTTTTATTGCGACAACGACATTGATTCTTAATGGTGATGGTCAAAATGCTAATTGATGACCAGATACTGTACGCATTGAACGATGTAGATGACAATTTTGCCATTTACCATCTTTACGTAACCATACTCTTGTCTCTTCCGATTGTTGAGTATGAGCAACGCCTTGTCTAATGAATAAAGAAAGAAAAAAAATTTTTTTGAATTACAAATCATATTCTCACAAATATATGTATCACAATCAAAACTTACTTGTCAACATATTGTGTCAAACGGATATAGGCGATACAGGCTATAATGAATGAATGAATGAATGATGTAGAAAAAAAATATCGGAAATTAGAAATTCGCAACAACAACAAATTGTCAGAAGCAAAAAAAAAAACTGACCGGCATCATCACCCAATAGATGAACCGATGGATTCAATATTGTTGAATTGATTGATTTACAATTCTTTCCAAATACTGTAGTAATTTGGGACCAGCAATTTTTGAAAGAAAAAAAAACGACAGAAAAAAATGTTACAGGAATCAGTTACTAATAAACAATTTTTGAAACAAAACAAAAAAAAATAACAATAAAACGGAAGCAACATTGAATCAAAAGGAAATAAACACATGAAGCGGAAATAATAAATGAATGAATAATTGAATTTGTGTGTGAATGTTTATTCAATGATCATGTAGTATTGATGATGATGATGAATAGAAAAAAAAGACCTAACTAATCTAATTTAATAGATCTTGGATAGAAAAACAGAAAGACCGATAAACAAAACAGAATCTATCCATATATGAGAATCTAAATTCTTCAGAGATTTTTCCAATGAAAAAAAAAACAATTTTAGATTCTAAATTATTCAACAACAATAACAAACAAACACGAATGAATGAACAAACAAACACGAATTCAATTTTCAAATCATCATCATCATCATCAACATCATCGATATTTGATGAAATGTTGATTATATTATCATCATCATCATCATCATCGAGCGACGATGAAATTTTCTTGACAGAATATAAAATCTCAACAGTAGTCATGTATCTCTAATTTTTTTCTTCATAATAAACAAATAATAGTAAAAATTGAACAAAAACAACAAAAAAAAAAGAATTCAATTATCAAAATCTAATTAGTGTGTTGTTTTTGTTCATCATCATCATCATCATCATTGAAGTCGTTCTAAGAAAAAGAACATCATCATCATCATCATCATCATCACAAGATGTTCGAGAGAAAAAAAAAATTCTCTAGAAGATTCCTATGATAATAACAACAATAATCTGTCTATATATCTATCTATCATAATTGGAATGATGATTTGAAAATAATGTAAAAAGCTTGACAAAAACAATGATCTAGATTCTAGAAAATTAAATCTTTACAAAAAAAAAAAATAAATTGTTTTTCCGAAGAAAAAACTGGGAATGTAGAAAATGAAATTTTAGAGGAAAAAAAATTATTTCGCGCTTTGAAATCTGATGTTTTTCGACAGTGTCCAATGTATTTATTTAGTGGTGAAACACAGTAACCTGATGTGATAATGGTTTTTTTTCTCAAGGGCAGAGGTAGCTTGCCGAAAAAAAAGAGAATCAAAAATTGGAAAAATTTTTTCGTCTCCCTATATCAAACAAAGAATAGGGTTCGATTCCTGATAACCATTAATATAATAGTAATCAATGTTGATGATCATCATCATCATTGATTCTATTATTATTTTTTCCTAAATTTTTTTTATATATAAATAGAAACATAATAATGTCTGTCTGTATGTTTGTGTGTGTGAGACCATTGTCAAAGTAGAACTTATGGAAGTCCACACCCTCCACTAGGTTTCCCAATGCTGCTGGTTCAAATGCCGTTATATTTGGATCGCATAATTTTGCATATGTATCATAATCGCCCGTATTGATGGCTTCCAATAATTGTTCCGTCACTTTGATCACTTCTTGTTTTCGTGCTGATTAAATTGATGAATTTTTTTTCATTTCATTGTTGTTGTTGTTGTTGTTGTTCATTTTCATTCGGTTCCAGCATTCGGTTTCAACAAACAAACACATAGCGACGATTATCGGAATCGATGTTGATCCACAGAATATGGGAAAAATAAAGAGAATAAAAAAACCAATTAATAAAATGAATAATAATAATAATAATCAAATAAAATTCGATTGATGAATATATAATATAATTAATTATATATGACCGACAAATGGACAAAAGAAAAAAATTCATGCATTCATGATTAATAAAATGAATTCAGAAAACAATTAACAACGTGTTCAATCATGTTATTATTATTATTATTATCAATTGGGGACAAATTAAATTCATTCGTGGGTGATGAAAGAAGAAAAAAAATTCACAAAATTTAAATTTGAGAAAAAAAAAAAATTCAATTCATGCATAACAGTTTTTTGTTTTCTAAATCAAAATAAAAAAAGCCAAAAATCAATGCCATGATCATTGCTAATCAAATCTATACTAATCATACAGAAATGGTCAAAAGCAGTGTGGTGGTGAGTGTGATTTTTTTGTTTTGTTGTTTTGTTTTTTGGTTTCATAAGCCATTTTTTCATCCCAAAATTATCATATTATAGTACTCCATTTTTTCAACCGTCTTGCTGAAATTTAGATTTAAAATTTGAAGCAATGGATGTTTTTTTTTTCATTGATTTTATCAAAATTCAGCAACAGTGAATGCAACATATCGTGAACAATATTACAGAGAACAGTACACAGTACAGTCATATACTTACGTTCGAATGATCCACCACCATTGGAAAGACGAGCTAATTTTTTTTGTTTGTTTGTTTGTTTACATTTTTTATAATCATTTTTAATGGGTAATAATCAATTCAAAAAAAAAAAATTGGGCCGTCCGTAATCAAAAAAAAAAAACAATTGATACGCGGGCCCAGAATTTTTTTTTTAAACAAAAAATCATCAGCGATAATTTAAAATTTCGGAGTCGATACGATTGTTTGTAATTGATTGATTGATTGATTGATCAAAAGGGTTTCGAAAGAGAAAATCAAAGAATGAAAGGGAAAGAGAAAAAAAAGAGAGAGAGAGAGAAAGAAAAAATTTTAGTGTTTAACGAATTTGTATTTTTTTTTTTGTCAATAAATAATCCGTGAATGTTTAGTTTCGTACCACTACTACTATGGTTATGGTGTTTGACACAATTGATGATCATCACTCTATTATAAACATCTAATATAATCACATTCTAAAGTTTTACATGTGTGTGCGTTTTATTTCTTTTTTTTTTTGATGAGACTTGAAAAATTTTATAATAATACCTTGTGATGAATCGGCCATAATTACTGTACGACTTCGTTCAACTCCGTGCTGATTTAGTAGACAATCTGTTTATGATTCATTGATTGATTTCAATGACGTTTATTATGGTGGTGGTGGTGGTCATCGTTGAATGATTCAAATGTTTGTTTTTTTTTGAAATTTTGTCATTTACAACATCATCATTGTTTCAAATTATTCAATTTTAATTGGTTTTTTTAGGTAATTTTCATAGGTAAATGAAGGAAAAAAGAAAGGAAAATAGAATAATGATAATAATGAAAAATGAATAGAAATCAATTATAGAATTTAGAATTTATACAGCAAAATAAAATTAAAAAAATGGAAAAAAAACTGAAAAATTTTTAAAATTTTCATAATGAAAAACAATGGACACACAAGTAGGTTGGTATGTTAGTGATTGTGGTGGTGTTGGGAATTTTTTTCTTTTTAAAGCTGAAGGCTGGCTGGTGGAAAATGAAAATAAAGTGATTGGTTAGGAAAAGGAAAACTGAAAAATTCATTCGAAATGCAGAAGAGAAAAAATTCTCGGAATTTTTTTTTTGCCCGTTCATTTTGTCTTTCAATTCTGTTTATGAACGGAATACCCAAAATACAAATAATCACGACGTATATATTATGATTTTATTATTATTAGTTTTTGTTTCTGTTGAAAAATGCATGCATTTCACGACCATTTTTTTCCCATTGGTTGTTGATTAAAGAGAAATTGTTAATCAATTTTACTTGCAAACAAATTATTAGTAAACGAATGAATGAATGAATTTTCAACTATTATTGGCTGAATTTTTTTTTGAATAATAAAAAATTTTTTTTCTCGTCAGTCAAAATTGAATTTTTTTTTTTGATTAGAAATCGGATGATCCTAATATGAATTCAGAAGTTGTAAATTACACACAAAAAAACATAGAAAGCAAGCAAGAAAAAAAAATGAAAATTTGCCGGTGCCATACAAACAGCAAGCACAAAATAAAATCAGCAAATTAAAAGTTATATATTAAAAAAAAAATCAAGCAAGTTACACCCTTTTTTGTGTATTGTCATTCATTACTATCAGGCCAATAAAAAAAATTGTGATTTTAAAAAAAAAAAAATTTTAAAAATTCACTTTGATAAAATGGTGGGAAACAACAACGAAAAAAAAAACAAAACCAACACACACAAATTTTAAATAAAAATATATTAACACAGTGGTGGTGAATAATGGGGAAAAAACATGGTTCATGATTGTAAATTTTTTTTTTTTATATATATCGTACACACCTTTAGTATCTTCGTCTTCTAACGTTGTGTTGGATGAATCGGTGCTTTCTTTTACTTGTGAACCATCACTTTTCTTATTGATGATCGATCGACCTTTTTTTTGTTTGTTTGTTTGTTTGTTTTGTCATTTTTGTTTCATCATCATCATCATCATCATTACATCACAAGCAAATAAAAATATGACACAAGGCAAAAAACACAGAAATGGGTAGAAAATTAAAAAGAAAAAAATGAAAACAAAAATGTGAGTTTTGTGCACAAAACATTGAAAAAGTATATAAAAAATTAATTATTGCGTGTATGATAAAATTAATTAAGCGAAATAAAAAAAAATGAAAATCAATCAATCAATGGAATGAATTTTTTGTTTTTTTTTTTTGTTCGATCGATTATCACATATTTGTATGAAAATGAATGAATGGAAAAAGAGAAAGAAAAAAAAAGAATCGATTTTTAATTGAAAATGTCATTGGTTAAATGGTGTTGTTGTTGGTGTTTTTGGTTTTTTGACAACGGGAAAAACGGGAAAACGGAAAAACAAAAAAAAAACGAAAAACAATAATCAAAATACTATGAACTGAAGCAATATATATTCTAATTAATTGAATGAATATAAGCGAGCATCAAGCTTGCTAAACATTTTTGTTGTTGTTGTTGTTGTTGTTGTCGTTTTGTTTGACCATTACTCGTTTTTTTTTCATACACAAAATCGTTCGTTATATTCACATGAATGTGAAGTTTTTTTTTTTCTATAACGGAGAAGCCTAATTCTGCATTTTTTTCCCTTTTGCTACTTATTCATTATTATTTATTATTATTCTTAAAAAGTTTCAAACTTGAAAACTTTTCACTAACAGGTAATCTATTTTTGTTTATAAATTATTTAGTCTTATTACTGTTGAAAAAGTATATATATTCTTTTATAAGTAACTAACCAGAAAAAAATGGGAAAAAAAACAAAGCCGAATAACACATAAAATAAACATGTGCATATATATATATGAAAAGGATAAAATTGGAATTAGCATAATGATAATAATGATGAACTTACTGGAAAAATTTCTAGTTGCTAACATAGTGGTCAATATAGCTCCTTTAAGCTTACGTCTTGCATTGAATTTTTTCAAACAATCCACTGTTTCTTGCCGATGTAAGGTACTAGCAACACGTTCACGTTGACATATCCAAGGATGTTTCAATGCTTCGGCTGCTGTTATACGTTTTGCTGGATTTACTGTTAGCATTGAATTTATTAAATTTTTTGCTTCCGGTGTTACTGTATCCCATTCAGGTGATGGATACTAATATTAAGAAGAGAAGATTATAAATAAATCAAAAGATGTGATTTATATATTCAAAAAAAATTCTCGTACATCATAGGCTCCGGCTTTGATCTGAGCATATAGACGATGTTGATCTTCATCCCAAAAGGGTGGATAGCCAACTAATAGAATGTATAAGATGACACCTGATATATAGTGAACGAAAAAAAACAGTATAAATAAATGAATGATTCATTTGAATTCAATTGACATTACCACAAGCCCAAATATCGACTGGTTTACCATAAGGATCTTTTTTTAGTACTTCAGGTGATAGATAACCAGGTGTACCGGCAAAACCATACCACGCTTGTTGTTCACCTTGAACTTCAATGGCCAGACCAAAATCAGCCAATTTAACGGCGGCACCTTTGGCTTTACTGGCCAATAATAAATTTTCCGGCTAAATGACACAGAAAAAAATATTTAGTTAAAAAAAGTAAACATCATTGTCATTATCACAAAAACCTTTAGATCTCTATGAACAACATTATTCATATGGCAATGATTAACCGATTCCAATATCTGTTGTATACAATGTGATGCATCGGCTTCGGAATAATATTCACGTGCAACAATATCTTCAAATAATTCACCACCGGTAACCAGATCAAAAATAAGATAATGAAATCCTTCTTCCTGGTATAGAATTTATTGACCATCCTACTTCATCTTCAATTTTCGACTAATTATCTTCGACCTCCATGGTTGACGCATTTGTTTGAATTCTATCTCTATAGAATTTATTGACCATCTCACTTCATCTTCACTTCGACTAATTATTCTTCGACCCTCCATGGCTGACGCATTTCGATGAATTCTACTTCAGAAATTTGCTGACCATCTCACTTCATCTTCAATATTCGACTAATCACTTCTTCGACCTCCATGGTTGACGCATTTCGATAAATTCCCATCTCTATAACTATTGACCATCCTTACTTCATCTCAAATATCTGACCTCAACAATCCCTTCACAAAACTGAATTGACACTTTCATCATATAAATTCTATTTAATCTATTGTATCTTCAATCGAATGATTTTATATCCACAAATAAATAAAATAAATTTATCGAACATTCATCCTTAATCGTTAAATACCCCTTGTTACAGAGGTTGGCGACTTATCATTCATTTCCAGTGTCATGAAAATCCCCATCAGCTGCACCCAACCTCTAGAACTTGCATTGAGGACATTCACAAATACAGTGAAATCTAGAAAGGATCTAGTACATGACAAGCCAACAGGATTGTGAAAATCATTTTCTCCCAACTTCCGCTAATAATTACTATCATCAACGATTTTCAATCAACCGTCACAACACAAAATATAATCATTATCATCACATCACAACAAAACATCCAATATCAACCACTACATTTTCCTTTCCTCGAAACAACATTATTCATTCTACCATTTTTTCTTTCAATCAACATTTTCACTATATAATCAAACATTTTATCCAATCCATCATATATCATATACAAACTAATCTCCACATAATACCATCTCCGTCAACTACCATCATCATCCATAACCGTTTCTGCACTCAGCAACACGACAAATCAGACAACATTTCAACATGACAGATACAAACAGTTCGCACAATCCACAAGAACTGACCGAACAACAAATACGCGAAATCAAAGATGAATTGGAACCTGGTCCGTCGCATGCTAGACCATAAAATAAAAGGTTTCCTCTCAAACAACCGGAAGACCCAACTTCGACGACGGCGGAAGCTAAATTGTTCAAAGAGATCATCGATCGTCACATGAAACACTATCCAGACGGAAGGCGGACAAACCCAAACCTTCCGCGAATTGAAACAAACGAAGCAATAAAAACAGCCCCGCTATACCGCAACGAAATACCCCAAAAGAAACAGACTGAAACCATTTGAAGCAGCTAGAGAAATACCAAATGGGAATCAATACTGCCTCTTTGGGAAAGGCCTAAAATAATGAGAGTCACTCTAACATGGGTCAGAATCAACAAGACAGTGGAGGACACATGCTTACATGTACCCAGCAATCAGAGTGATAAAGAAGTTCAGCGACCAATGCGACCATGGTACAGCATTTCGACGGATCGCTTTAAGAATCTCCCAGGAAAGTTTATCCACTTCAACACGTTCGTCGACAAAACAAAACGCATGACGACACGAAATTATGTTGTCAGAAAATTCCTCTTGATCCATTCCTCAAAAGCTATGATAGCAGGGATGAATAAATTTATGTGGAAAGCACTGCAATCTGCGACTACTATTCAAATCCATCCCTTATCAAGGAAGAAGTCATTAAGGATCCCAGAAAACTCGACATTCACGATTACCGACAGTAAAACAAAACAGACCCAGCCATTATCAGGACAAAATACAACCAACTGGGCATCAATCCCCGAACATCGATCATTTATGGAAAGAGAATTTTAGGATTGATATCCAGAAAATTCCCAGGAAGGCTGGCAAAATCAACACATCTAATTCGACTTTAACCGCGTATCCATACTTCATGACTGGCGCTGAGATATTTGTTGACAATTGGCAAGAGGATTTCCGCAACACGCGAGGCCGAATATTATTAATTCGGTATAATGAATCCGGGACCATCGCATCACCAGCCCGAAAGATATCCGCTACGATCGCCGCAACAACCGAAACTATTTCCACAATACCCAAAGAAAGACAACCAATGTCAAGACCACTCCAAAATCAAAACAACAGATTGAACTATGCTCCCTCAACAAAATCAACATGAACAAATGAAAATTCAAACCAAGCTCAAGCAAGAGCACCGTCCTGTGTGGCAGTGGTGAACATCCGCAAAGGGATTGCCAACTGAGGTGACTGAGGCGCAAATTTATTAGCAAGTGGAGATGCGAGCGGCGCTCCAACGTGGACACTGCCGACAAGATTGTCGGGCCAGACGTCCGACATGCCATCGCTGCGCGAGCACCTGTTTTGGTTATGCCCCCGTTTGGATCACAGCCAAACCAATACCAGCAATCAAAACAATCAACGACCCTCACCAACGGCCGTAAAGTAACGTCACCACCGCTCACACCTGATTTCAACCGCATCGCCATTCAAATTCAACAAAACACCATCAGCAGCTATGTTCGATACTGGAGCAACATACCGGCCATGAATGCAGCGGCACCAGTGCAACATTTGGACTGAAATTACAACCAGAAGGAGCTACCAATAAAACAGCCAATCAACAAACAAAGCACTGGCACAGTCGACGTCAACTGAAATAGGCGTGATCAAAATGGAAATCACACTTTCTAGTAATGCCGGATGCAAATTATTGTGTGCTAGAGTGGACGCTATCCGAAAATTCAAACTCGCGATCACCATACGGCAAGATCGACCAAATCATCGCGAGGAAGCATTAAAATCAAAACACGACAATGTCCAGAAAAGGAGGAGACGCAAACCAAATTGAAACACAGCGTGCCTGAAGCCCACAATAACTGTTGGATGATACCAAGAATCATTTGCTCAAACCGAAGGGAAGCAGGCCAAGTACGAAATGACAAGTGCTACATCAATTTGGAAAACAACATTCCCATTAACCAAAACCGTATTGCGCATCAGTGGTGACGAACAAAAGCGGTATGGACGCCCAGGTCAATGATACATTGGACAAAACCTATCACGGCATGATCAACGGATTATTCTGTGCCTGTGCTGCTCAAACAAAAAAGATGCAGGTGAAAATTTCGGCTGGCGGACTCGAACACTGAACTTCATGACCATCCCGGAAAGATACCCCCATGCCGAACATTAAAGATATCGACCGACTTTTAGGGGCAAAGATTTCGCCACCTTTAGATATATCATCGGGTTTTCTTTACCTGCCATACCGGTGGCCGAAGAGGACAGACGGAAAACAGCCTTTGCAGCCATAATGTACGCATCACTTTGGAATGGTCAATGTTATTCGGGCTGCAAACGCCCGTTACCGTATAAACAGGCATTAGTCAGACGAAACGGCCCCAACACCCGCCCATGTCGACATTATCTTCCAAAACGAAGACCCGTCCGTCCACGTTGAAAGGTGTTAGCAGCAGTGCAAAGAGAAAACTCTGAAGCTAAGCTGTCAAAGTCATTTCATGAAAAGCAAACCGTTACATATCTTGGTCATCATATTCTGAAAATCAAATTTGTCCATTAAACAAGCAATGTCGCGCTTATCAATGAATACCCACTGCCCATGGATAAGAAAGACACTACGTCGTTTTTGGGAAGATCAATTTTATCATCGCTTCATTCCTGATCGCACAAAACCCGGACCCGTTCTACGAATTATTAAAGAAGTTGATAAATCATTCGAGGGTCTGCAGGAAAAGCAATGCATTTATTCGAATCAAAGAAATCATCACATCTGGAGCTTCTTTGTACTACATTTTCGACCCAAATGAAGAAGACCATTCTCATCACGCATGCTTCGATAACGCATTGAGCTGTGCTAAACAAGAACATGACGGGTGAAGTACCAGTGGGATATTTTCACGAAAACTGCTAAAGCATCAAAGGAACTACGTGGTCACCGAAAGGAAGCTTTTAGCCATCATTGAAGCGGTGGAATACTGGCAATCACTATCTATACGGACGAAAATTCACCATCCGCACCGACTACAAACCACAAACAGCACACATGTACAAAAGGACCATAAATACCGCATGAACTGGGCCGCGCGGCTAAACCGAATACGAATTTGACATTGATACATAAAAAGGCGAGACAAACCAGGAAGCTGATTTCCCGTCCCGAAACCCGAATTTCGAGGTGAATGTCCCGTCACTCTGGACAGATTGGAAGTACTACACAGACCGTTGCGCCAAAATCCGCCGCGCGGTGTGCGTAAAGTACAATAACCATACGGTGAAGGTGCGTAAGGATGTACGAAGATATTATCTGCTCCAAACGTTACAAGAACTGCGGAGAATACATGAGGAAAAAGGACATCTTGAATGGTGAAGACTAACTGCAGCATTTTGGGTTCCTCAAATACTGCGCCAGCAAACAAAATGATCTGCTATGAAAACGTAACCGGGCGTGACATATGTAAACGCGCGAAGAAGCAGATACGAAAGTATGGGGAAATCGACAAGCTTGACCAGCCACCGAACCCTTTTTCTGGCACAAATTGCAGGCCACATTGATACGCAAAGGTGGATTTTTCCGAACCGCGGTAAAACCCGATATCTGGGCTAACATCGCTATTGATGCTTTCTCCCGTTTCACTGGATCCGTGCATCCTAACATCAAAATTCGCAAGATTATCTAAATCTTCTGCAGCAGATAGAGGAAGATGGGACACCGTCGAAAATCAGACGGACCGATGTTTTCAAATCGGATCGGTTCAGATTCGTATTGAGAACAAACCATTGTGCTGGTTCATACACCCACCGCCCATCCACAAAGCAATGGACTGGTCGAACGTGGGATGTCCGCGAGCAGAAACGCGAGCGCAAAAAGTGCTCATCGATGAAACGCGAAGCTGGTCCGCGTTGGTAAAAGAAGTAGCCGACGAATATAACGCCTCATCCACAGCAGTACCCAATTCACCCCAGCTTATCTTCTGGCTGGAAGAGATCCCACGAGATCTACCACGGCACGATTTGAACAATGACCGTAAGAGTTTCGGAGCACAGCCAGTCGGCTTCCACTAAAGGGAATTCAAACGTATTGTTCAAAACAAATCATGGAAACTGAAATTGGGGACATGGTATATACGACCCACAGATGAATTAAATGAAGAAAAAAATTGACCCAGTGTACCGGGGACCATTCAAAGTGATTAACACGGAGGTCATGTTCGAACAAAACACTAGATCGCACAGAGAAGGTACACATTGGTAAGTTAAAACCATTTGTCCCAGCCGTGGAATCGGTGAGAATGAATGATTCAAATGTCATCCACCCAATACTATTTATGTACCTATATTCCACGGCTAACCCCATTCTACTACGCCGACCAAAAATTTTCATCCAACAATTTTTTGTTTGTTCATCTAAACCGCGCGTACCCTCTTTTTTTTTTCTATGACCATCGAAAACTTTTTGTGATACTACCATTTGTGTTTCATCATACTCCCAGACAAATGTACTATTCGGGTATTTGCGGACGCAATAACTGACTACTACACAACACATTTATTTCGCATTTCGTGATGTGCAAACTTCAACATACTCGATAAGTGGAAGATCCCACTTGCAATAAATGGCAGCCATGTGGTGACGTTCCGCTGCCCCCCGGGTGTCAAGATAAGGCGGGGATGCCGTCTTTTGGCCTCACTACTGATTTATAACCGATCCCAAATCCGTGGAACCGCTCAACACTTTCTTAAGCAACAGATGGATCGTAAACAATGGAATGGTTGGCTATCATTCGACGCGGAGCAGTTAACCGTTCATTGTTCACGAGTCGATAGTACTAACCGACCAACACCCGGCTATAACGATAATCAATCAAAACGCATGGAAATGCCATGAAGTCTATTGTTAATGAGACCGTGAGATATTTCCATCCAACATATCTGCCAGGATTATCGACATCTGTTGATACCGGGACCCAGAGTCCCAGCTATAAATCAGTGAGAACAAGAGAGAGTCATCATCCTTAAACAATGCTGTCATGTAAACGAACTATATATATATATATGGCATAAAACACAAAAAATTAACATTTTTTGCGAAAATTTCAATTTGAAAACAAAAACTCACCAATATTAGGATGATTTAATTTACGACATATACGTGCTTCACGTTCGAGTTTTTGAAAATCTATTCAAAACGTGTATATATTCAGTATATAAAAATGAATAAATTTGAATTAAAATTTTGTTGTTGTTGTTGTTGAATGAGAGACAAACAAAGAAAAAATGGAAAAAAAAGAAAATGAAATTCCACACCATCAAAACAAAAAACGCTTACCTCGAGATGAAAGTTTTTTAGTGTTGATTATTTTGGCAGCAAATTCCAGGCATGTAGATTTTTGTACACATCGTCGTACAACAGAAAATGCTCCTCTATAAGACAGAAACAAATCAAGTGAAATCAGAATTAAAAATAAATAGAAAAAAAAATTCTTTGAAAATTTAAAAAAAACAAAAAAAATTCTGTCAAGTTTTGAATATACGATATATATGAATGAGTTGTATTTTTTTTGTGTGTGTTTCGAACTGTTTTTTGTTTTTGCTGTTTGCTTTTCAAATTACAATGGCCTACTAAATCAATTGATTTTTGTTTCATTCTTACGATCCATATGATGCACCAGGAAATCCGGCTAAATCCCCCAAAATTTTTTCATTCAATTGTAAATTATATTTATTCAATAATAAATCCACCAAACGATAATATTGTTGTTGATCACTTTCACATGATGATGATCTACGATTATCAATTCGTGGTGGTAAATGATCGATAACATTATTAATCAATAACGATGATGATAATGATAATTCTTTCCGAAGATGAAGATCATCATCATCATCATCCTGATCATTATTGTTAACGCATTCATCAACTTGTTTATCATCAACATGTTTATTACGTATGATAAACGAATGAATCACATGCCAAATATAATTGATACGATGGATTAATAAAACAATGATTATTATCACGATAAATGTTGTGAAAATTTGTTTGATCGAAAAAATATCATTATCACCACTATTATCAACATCATTTATTGTTACTGAATGGCTAAATTCCTGATAATAATCATTATTCTGTTGCTGCTGTTGTGGCCGTTGTTTTCTATTCGAATGTTGATTATCATGATTATTATTGGCTAAATAATGATGATGATTATTTTGTTGACGATGTTGATATGGATAATTTGAATCACTAATTGCCATTTAGGCACTTTAAACAAAAAAAAATAAAAATTCTCTACTACTACCACCATCAACCACCTTCAAACAATCAATCATTTAATTATCAAATATAACGTATAATGAATGACGTGCTCGATTAACGACGACAAATACAATAACAACAACAACAACAACAACATATAATAATGATGTAATGAAGATTTTGTTGTTTCTTATAACTTTTTTAAAATTTAAATCACAAGATATACATAAACACACACACACACACACACAAAACATGGAAAAGATCTAAAATTTTGATTTCTTTAAAATTTTTTATTGAGAATATAAAAAAAAGAAATCAAATGAACAAACAACAATCAACAACAACAACAACAACAACAAACGAGAAAAAGAAAAATAGTTCATTAAAATGAATATAAATATAGAAATGTCTAAAACCAAAAAAAAAAAAATATTGTTGTCGTTTTATAATGTGTGTTGTTTGAAAGTTTGTCAGAATTTCGATATATACGATCAAGTACCGGAATAACCTAGAATGGAATGTTTGTGTGTGTGTATATATACATTTAACGATCATTATACGATACGATATACAACGATAAAGATGTTGTTGTTGTTGTTGTGTATGCCAAAATAAAAACATGTACACACACACAGTGATAGTATGAAATTCAAGAGCAAAAAAATAAGAAGAATCGGAATAAGAATCACATCAACACAGTTTTCCAGTATAATATATTTTTTTCTATCATTTCATTTGAATGAATCAAGAAAAAAAAACTGGAAACATACTGAACATTTGGCATTAAATCTGATTTGAATCTGACTTGATTTTGATTTTATTCAAAAAAAAAAAAAAAAAAAAAAAAATAGCAAGAACATGAAAGAGTTAATAGAAAATAATGATGATGATGATGATGATCACATATTAACCATCATATTAGCCATTTGCACCATTATTATGGTGATAACACTCACACACACACAGAGAGAGATTATAAGCCTTTAATTCCTTTGTGATTCTTTTATTTATGATTTTTATTTATCGTAATAATAATCATCATCATCATCATTACAAATATTTTCAACACACACGCTGACATACATAGAATCTATTATGATATTTTTTTTTGTTGTAGAAACCAAAAAAAAAAAATTCGTATCAAATCTACAGACAGCTATTTTTGGATTATGTGAACGTGTGTGTGTGTGTGTGTTTGTATGAAATTCATGGTTGAATAATTATAATCAGAGAGAAAAAATCTGAAATTCGAATCTATTAGTATAGCGTAAAGAATATATTCAGAATAAACAGAATCTCATCTAATCTGAATCTGAATCTCAATAACATGCAAGAACCAAAAAAAAAAAAAAAAAAAATTTTAACTTACTTTCCGAGCTCTTCTTTGAGATCATAATTATCGGAGAAACGTGTTGTGGCAATCGGTTGACCAGAATGAGTAGACATTATGACTATATTTTTTTATGTGTGTGTGTGTATGGTTGATTTACTCTTTCCTGGATCTTGTTATTATCAGATTCAAACTATTAATTATATATTTCCGATCAAATTATTATTATGTTGCCGGTTGTTGTAAAATGAAATATATTTATTTTGATTGTGAATATGTAATGAATGTATTCACACAATGATTCGCTGGAACGTAAAATTTCGATTTTTTTTTTTTTTTTGTTGTTGTCGTTGCTTTTGTCAAACTAAATACTATGATGATGATGATGATGATGTCAAGGTTGTTGAACCTTTTTTTGGGATTATATGGAACAAAAACGATAAACATCGATAATGTGTTTGATGACCTTTTTTCTTTTCCTGGATATATATATTATGATTATTCTATACACAAAAAATGATCACCATCCGATATATATAGTGTAATTGATGATGTTAATGAAAATGATGATGATGATGATGATGATGGGCAGTGAATATCGATCGATGTTATAGATTTATGAAATGAAAATTTAATTTCAAATTATTCTTGATGACAATGATGATCGGCAATGATATTATGTTGATGATGATCACAGTATTTTCAATTATAAGATAATGATGATGATGATCCAGAAAATCAAAATTTAAACGCTAAAAAAAAGTTCACATAAACACACACACACACAACTATACATGCAAACATGTGTGGTTAAAGTATTTGAACCTGTCAAATGAAAATGAAAATGAAAAAAAAAAAAAAAAAAAATTTAGATGTCAATCAATGATCAAATAAACAAACAAACAAACGATAATAAATATAAAAATAAATTCCAACACAATAATCAACACATCATCATCACAACAACAATGACATATTAATGACAGGCAATAATTTTTTTTTTCGTACACTTTCACTTTTACCATCAATAAGATATAAGGAAAAACAATGTCACTGTGTATGTGTGGATAATTGTGTCATCGGGTTTCCATCGTTCAGATAAATTGTTTATGTAATCCGATTATCAACAAACAAAACGCACAAACCGATGAAAACACAATAATTATAATGACAAAAAATAACCAATCAACATGAGCGACATCATTATTTGACGATAAACAATGAATAATAGCAAAAAAAACCTTGAGTCGAAATGATGATGATAATTGTGAATTTTTTTTTTAATTACAAATTTTTATTGAAAAAACATATTCTCGGTGAATTTCCCTGGATTTTAAATGATAATTTCGGATGAAACACATTTGCATTCACATTCCAAAAACGTTGATAAACACGTAAATAAACACCAACATCACATAATCTTAATAATGAAGAAAAAATATTGAAGAAGACGAAGAAGAAGAAGGAAAAAAATGTTTCCTCAATCACATCGATTTTTTTTTTGATTTCAAAGAAAAAATGAAATTAAAAAAAACACTACAAAAATTCACTTTTACGTGTGTGTGTGTGTGTGTGTGGGTGGTGATAGTGAATAGTGGTGGCAATTGTTATTGAATCAAACATTCCATTCCATTTACCTGATTTGAATGTTGCAAAAAAAAATTTCATCGTTGAACAACAACCAGAAAAAAGGTGCTAAAATCCACATTGACATTGGACATTATAAAATCAATGAAATGATGATGATGATGATAAACAAACTATAGAGACAGACGATGTTTTTAGTTTGTACATTGATGTGATTCATCATCATCATCATCAAATGTATTGGATACTACGTTTGATTTTACTTTTCGAGGTAAACTACTTTGTTCGGCGGCTATGGCATACAAAAAAAAAAAAAATTTCACATTCAACATACATAGGTGGATGCTATTTATACAAAAAAAATTTTTTTTTCAAAGGTTTTCATGATCATCATCGTTTCCATCGTTTGTTGTTGTTGTTGTTGTTGTTGTTGGTTGATTGCTTGAATAATAATTGTCCACACAAAATCAAACAGCAGCAAAAGCAACAAAATATCATTGAATTGTAGGCAAACAAAATATCAAACAAGAAAACAAAAACAACAACAAAATACTTTACAATCGAATCGAATCGAATCGAACTGACATTTTTTTCCAATGAAAAAAAAAGTTTAAAAGTTTTTCTTTTTCGATTCTTGACATTTTCAAGTTTTATAGATCACATTACAATTGGCTTTTGACTGTATCATATTGACTATGTATGAATTTTTGTTCTTGCATGAAAACGATTCATTTGTTTTTATTTTTTTCGATTCAAAAATGAAGAAGAGGGTGGGAAAAAGATTTTCAATCGATTCATTTTGGGAAAGAGTTTAATCATTTTGGTTCAATGGTTTTGAATGCTTTGTTGAATCATCAAATGTTTTAAATGTCGGTTTTTGTTTGGCAGCAAAATATAAATATTGTCATGACGATGGCAACATTTGTTGCTTTAATAACAACAGCCACCACCATCACCACCACCACCACCACCACAATTTTTATATGTTTGATTTGACAAGTGGAAAGTGGTTGTTGAGGGGAAAAAAAATATTGAATATTTTGAATTATGAAAAAAAACAAAAAAAAAACAAACAAACAAACAAGTCTGCCGGAATAAAACCAAAACAAACCACATTTATTTATTGATTTTTTTTCTTTCAATTCAAAAAAAAAATCAGCCGCTATCATGTACTATATGAACACTTGAATGAATGGTTTTTCTATGGAATTTGCCAAAATGCCACATCATAAATTTATTGGCTATTTTGTGTGTGTGTGTGTGTGTGTGATAAGCTTTTAATTAATCGGATTAAACTCATTATATTATATTACACGCAAATAATAATAAATAAATAAATAAATACGACGCAAACCAAAACAAACAAACAAAAAAAACCGAATGACCAAAATAAAACAAGCACCAAACATTTAAAAAAAAGATTGATAGTCTGAAACCCGAATGAACAAAAAAAAAAAAAAAAAAAATTTACCGAAACAAAAGCCAATTAAAAGTAACAAAAATACCAGGCCAAACTAATTATTATAAGGGATAAACAGGGAACAAAAAAAAAAAAAAATGAAGTAAGCAAAATTAAAATAAAATGAAAAAAAATTAATGAAAATCTAACCACACACACACACGGTCTACCGGTTTGATCTAATCTAATCTAGTTCTTTCCATCTTGGCTAATGAAACCAATGAATGAATGAATGAATGGACAGGCAACAAATAAAAATAAAAAACTTTACCATTAAGTTTCTGACATGCAATGACGTAATAATAAATGACGAATGATGATTAGATTCATTTCAAGGTTTTTATTTTTTCTTTCTGGTTATTATTATATCGTCGTCTATATTATCGACATCATCATAATCATCAAACAAGATCATGATATCCATGGATATAAGTTGTGTGCAGATCCAGAAAACAAAACAAAAAAAAGTTAAGTAAAGAAAAAATCATCAAAATAAAAAAAAAGTTTCCATCAATAATAATAACATCTAAATTGATGAAACCTAGGCCTCTGTGTGTGTGTGTGTGTTTTAAAAGGTTTTTTTCTTGCTTCTCTAGCACATCAAATCATTTGATTTTTTTTTCGTGTGTATATATATGGAAGCCAAATTCGTGAGAATAAAAAGCTACTAGTTAATGATACACATTCTGTTGGATTTTTTTTTTGTTCTAAATGAACAAAAAAGAAATCTGAACTCGAATCAAAAGAATCAAATAAAAAAAATCATATTGTTCACATTTACACCTGTATCGACGGACGAAGAAGAAAAAACAGAATTTTTTCCCCAGAATCCATTTTCATCAATTTTTTTTCCAAATTTTGAATTGAGTTGCACGATTGAATTTCGATGAAATGAAGAGAAAAAAAACTTATAATGGCCCAAAACAACAACAACAACAAATGAAAAACTCAAAAACAATAAAAATCGGTCATCATTTATATTATCGAAACAAGACACGTAGATATACACAACATCTAATATTTTGATTTCGTTTTTTTTTCATATATTTTGATTTCAGAAAACCATTGTGCAAATGTATCGTATCATCATACATTGCGTGTGTGTGTGTGTGTGTGTTGAAACAATTCCCATCATTTTCAATCATCATCATCATTCATATTCAAATATAAATGACGTTCGATTATCGATGGAAAACACACACACACACACACACACATACAAAACGAATGAAAGATTGCAAATCAAATCGAAACATTCATTCATGTTGTTACCTGCAAAAACTTTTATCCAATGTTTTTTATTATTACACACATATTTCTTATATTATATATTGAATGATGATGATGAATTGAAACAAATACAAACAAAGAGAGTCAAATATAGATATATAAAACATACATAAATATACAGACTGACTTTCAGACACACACACACACACACACAGTGTTCACACCGAAGCAAAACGTAACAACGTATCGTATTTATTTTTTTTGGATCGATCCAAAAAACACACAGAATGACTGAAACACAACGCTAGTAGTACAACTAAGGAGAAGGAAAAGAATGAGGGCGTTGTTGATGTATGTGAGAGAGCAAAGAGACTATTGTCTTTTTTTTGAACCGAAAAAAAGAGAACCAAACAGAATCGTGAAATGAAAAAAAATTTTTTTTTTTGATTGATTGATTAATTGATTAGCTGATTATAAAACAATTATTTTCTCACAATGTTTTTTTTTTTGTTTGTTTGTTCACATTGAATTTTTTTTTTTTTTTTTGGTTTGTAGCTCTGGTTTTTTTTTCGTCTGGAAAATCAAAATGAAAAACAACCATAATAATAATTATTATATGATGATGATGATGGTGATGATGATGATGATGAATAAATTAAGCGCGCACATAAAACACAGAATAAAATCAGAATCATCAGACAAAGAAAAGTGAAGATTAAAGAATTTGAGAAATTTTTTTTCCGTATTTTTCTAGTTCATCATCAACAACAACAACAACAACACCTACACAAGAGATTCACATAAAATGAACAGAATCTTTAGTCGTGATGATGATGATGATGATGATGAAAAATTTATTCATTCATGATAAACACATAACAAACATACATTATACATGATGAATTTTGTAAATAATTTTTTTTCGTTCTGAGATCAAATGAACATTGTTTTGTCAAGTGAACAAAAAATATTACAAGCTTTGTATGATGATGATGATGAAAAAGTTTTGTTGTTGTTGTTGTTGTTGTTTATGAATAATTTTTTTTTTCGGTTTTTGAAAATTATTCTGAATTTATGTGGAACAAAAAAAAATGGAAATGAAAATGAAAATGATAAACACATGAAATATTATTCACTATCAAATCACCGGAATTGAGTGGGCAGGGTCAACGGTGTACGGGTGATATTTTGAAGCAATAACAACAACAAAATAAAAATTTCAAATTAAAAAAAATGGAGAAAATCTTCATTATCATTAACACACACACACACACATTCATCCCATAAATTCATATATACAAACCTTTGAGATTATTAATGGTGATGACGATGATGATGATGATGCAAGGCCAAAATGGAAACCAAAAAAAAAAAAAAATTTGTGAAATATAAAAAACAAGAATATCGGTATAATAATCAAAAAAAGAGAGAGAAGATTCACCAACAAAATCACTTTGTTTTTTGTTTGTAAAATCAAAGTATTTTTTGTCGAATATTTGTTGCTGTTGTGTCCAAAAAAAAAAAAAAAAAAAAAGTTTTCATATATACGTTGTACTAGATATATATTTTTTTTGTTGGTTGGCTTGGTTTTTTTTGATTTCTGTTTTAGAGTCGTTTTTTTCCACATATATTTATGGTTGTTGGATTCTTCTTTATACCTCGTCAACAACAATGATGATTATGATGATGATGATGAGAACAGTTTGTCGAGTCAAGTCAAATTTAAGTTCTGTATAATATGGGTATAGTTTCAATGTAGTGAGAGAAAGAGAAAGAGAGAGAGAAAGTATATGAATCTTCTGAAATGAGAGGAATGCAACAAAAAAAAGAATAACATAGAATATATGAGTCAATGATGGAAAGTAAAAAATTTTGCACACTCTATGTATGTATTATGTATGTGTGTGTGTGTGTGAGTGAGTGAGTGTTTGAATAATGAGTGTGTAGAATTAGATTCTGGATTCTGGGACAAAACACATACACATACACACACATCAATGAAGATGATGGGAAAAAAACGACAACAAACACAACGGTAGTTTTTAAGAAATAAGATAGAGAGTGAGACTGACTAGAGTTTTTGTAGAAAAAAAAAGAAATTCTAGTCTCTAGAACGGTAGATCCAAACGTTGATGATGATTATGATGATGATGAAAGAAACAAAATCTAAATGAAAAACGGATGAACAACAAAACCAGATCCATCCAGAACATTAGATGAAAAATAGTAATACAACATGATGCTGCTGCTTTTATAACCACCACCAATCTTTATCACCGCCCAAATGATCACCACCACTACATACACATTTTGGAACAGTTTGTGATACGTCGACGTTGTTGTTGTTGTTGCCGTCGTCGAGCCAACGGTTCCAGAAACGGAACCAAACACTAACACACACATACCCATAGAATATTTATATACACATTGAATAATTTACAATTATGTTGAAACGATGTAGAATGACTATATTGTTGATTCTTATGCTTCTGTTACAAACGAAGAGAGAAATAAAAAATTCTTATTATTGATGATGTTACTGTTGTTGTTGAGGGCGCCACATGAATTGGAACACAATGATTTTAGTGGTGGCAGCGGCAAACATACGAGAAAGAATTATTCTAGGAGTATATTTTTGTTCTGGAACAAAATATGTTTGAAACAATGGTTGTAGTGGTCGATTAGTTATTCTTGAAAGTAGTACCTGCAACACCAAGGTTTCCTGTTTTGTTGTTGTTGTTGTTGTTTTTTTTTTTTTTGTGAGCGTATGGCGCCAAATGTTTGAAAATTCAATTCGATTGAATTTGATTATCATCAATGTATGAAGAATGATAATTCGAAAAATTGACATCAAATCCAATTGTCATTGTCATTGTTGAGTCAAGTTGTTATTGTTGCTGTTCAATAAAAATTATCGTATCGATCCAACAATTTGAAATTGTTTCACTGTGCTGTGTGTGTGTGTGTGTGTGTGTGTGTGTGTAGCAAATGAAGAAAAAAAATTGAAAAAATTTTAGACAAAAAAAAATTCAATAAAAAAAACGAACCCAAATTGAATGAATCATGGATTCATGTATGTTGGTTGTGATTATCGTCATCATCATCATTATCATCCATGAATAAAAAACATATTGATTCACAGAAAAACGTGACTGTTTCTTGTTTTCCAATCCAATCCAATCCAATTCTAATCAGTTATACGAGAAGAAATGTACACATTGGTTGGTTGGTTGGTTGGTTGATTTTGGCGAATTTTTTTTTTTTTGATGTTTTTCTGGTTGATTCGTTGTTCATGTTGTTATTGTTTTTGCTGCTGCTGCTGCTGCTGCTGTTGTTGTTGTTGTTGTTAACATTATAACACGTTATAATAAACAAAATATATACAATAGAAACGATAGTTATAGCGTCATCATCATCATCGTTGTCGTTTAGTAATATGATGATAATAATGATGAATGTCTGTCTGTCTCTGTCTATGGTGTTTTTCGAACCGACAATCGAATCAATGTATAGAACCAGGATGTAAAGAACAACAACAACAACAACAACAAAAATTGGTAAAATCCTCAAATAGCTAATAGCTAGCGGTTCATGACAATGATGATGATGATGATATTTTATAAACATGGTATTACAGAATTTTATAGAATTCAAAAAAAAGAGAGGAAAAAAAACATTAAAATTTTTTTTCAGTAGTAGTAGTAGTAGTAGTAGTAGCAAATTAACATTGACGGATTTTTTTTTTATTTTGTTTTGTTTTGTTTTTCAAACCCAGAGAGAAATGAATTTGAATTTGAATATCAATGGCGTCATCATCATCATCATCATCATCATAGATCGTCGTCTTTGTCGTTGTTGTTGTTAAAGTGATTGAATAAATGATGATGATGATGATGATGATGAACATGAACATGAACATGATTCAAAAAAAAAGTGAATCATTCCATCATTTTCATTCTGAATGACGATCACTTTCATTTTTTTTTCATTCTTGTTACCATCATTTTTTATATATTAATTCCTAATCGGTGCCAAAAACAAAAACAAAAACAACAACCTATAGTTTGGATTTCCTTGATTTTTATTTTTATTTTAACTGTCTGTAGGTCTCCATTCATTCATTTTTCATATACACGAGTCTGAATATCGTCAAAAATTTTTTTTTTGATGTTTATTTTCGGGTACAAACGAAACGAAACGAAAAAACAAAACAAAAAAGCATTATTTTCGTCGTCCGAACATTATAATATCCCACATTTGTGTATTGGAAAACAAAACAAAAAAAAAAAAAAAAAAAAAAAAATACGTTTGATGATGATGATGATGATATTCTGTGACGTTTTATACATACACACACACATGTGCATTTTGGGTTAACCTATTTAATAAACATAAAACAGCGAGCAACATATGATATAAAAGAATTTGAAATTGGAAATTGTAAGAATAAGAGAGATGTTATTTTTGGCTATTACATCCACATGGAGGATTATCCATTTTGTTTGTTTCTTTGTCTTTCTATCCTATATATAAAACAACACACACACACACACACAAGTTGGTTCGGCAAGTAATAAAAAAAACAGAATTTTCTTTTGCCTCTTTTGTTCCATTATTATTTTAGTTTTTTTTTAATTTTCAGAATATTCTTGTTTGTAATAATAATTAAATTGTGATTCCTAAGCTTTATTTAATTATCATTATCATCATCATAAAAGTCATACAATGATAATAATCATGTAGATAAGAGATAAAATTAAGAATAGAGCAATTGTCCTCGACAACGTCAATGTTTTTATTTTTTATTGGACTTTTTTTTTCTTCTTTTCCGAAATTGTATCGTATCGTATTGTTTGTGTTTGATTGTGTGTTGTGTGTTGCATTTTGGTACCGCATGTTGAGTTGGAAATTGAATTTTCTTCAGTTCGATGACGTCTCTCTTCGCACTCTCGATGATGAAGATTTCTTTTTTTCTTTGAAATTTTCATCACTCTATGTTTGTGTAATTGTCCTAAAACAGTGTCGCATTTCAGTTTATAAAATATTCTATATAGAATTTATCATGACACACACAGCATACACACACGCAAACAGCATACACGATTGCTATCACTATGATCCAACCATATCATGATATATAACAGACTTTCATCCAAACAGAATAGTGAATGGTGAAAAATTTGTTGGATCGTTCCAAAAAAAAGAAATTTTTTCTTCTTATTTAGAATATAGATAAATTATTATTATTATTATTATGGGAAAAACTGAGTTTTATTCGACAAAAAAAAAGAATATTCCATAGAGTTTAAAAATGAGAATTTTGCAATTCTGTTTTTATCTTTCTATTATGGATGGGTAAGTATGTGTGTCCGGTTCTGTATATATATATATTCTGTATTAAAACAGTAACATCATCATCATCATCATCATTATCATTATTAGTTTCAAGTTTATGAATTGTGTGTCTGTATGTGACAGTGGCGCATGTGGCAACTTTTTTTATTGTTTTTGTTTTGTTAATTTGACTATTATATCGTCTATATATATATATATATATATATACAACATTGAAGAACCAGAATATTCAGGCGCAAAATCCTGGTTAGTTTCTCGAAATTGTTTGTGTGTTGTCGTATGATGATGGGAACAGAAAATGAAAAAAAAAACTTTTTTCTCTTTTTTTCTGTTCAGTTTTATCAACATTATCAAGACCGGAAAAAAATTACTCCTGTTCATGTGGATAGGATCTGATGATTCTGGTTCCATAATGGAAACCACCACCACCACCACCACCATCACCATTAATTTCAACTACAGAATTCTGTATATGTGGCAATGGCTATGACTTTGCTTTTGCTTTTTTTTTGTTACACCGTTCATTTGGAACCTGTAGTTTTTTTTTGTCAACATTCGCACTATTGGTTTCTGGCTTTATATTTCTTTGGAATTAGAAATCCATTAATACAATCTGTATGTCTGCATGTTTTCTGTGAAGAAATGAAATGGAAAAAAATCTCAAATCAATTGTAGTGACAGTTTTTTCTTTTATCAGAATTTCCAAGTTTTTTTTCTGTTCAATGGATGATTCAGTACATGAATAAGAACGAAAAAAAAAGAAAATCGAGGCAAAAAAAAAAGTACAAAACTACAAAAAAAAAGAATCACATTCTGTTTATGGAATAGGAAAAAAAACAATTAATTTCATTGAATATTTGCTGAAATCTATTGGCTTCAGGCATTTGTTCAACCATATAACAAGAACCAGATTTTTTTCCTCTCTCTCTCTCTCTCTCACTCGTTATATTGCATTTAATTTTCGTACCATCATAATACACACACATGTGTATGATTTCACACCAATGAACGAATGATATACAAACACGAAATATTTGATTTGACAACAAAAACAACAACAACAACACCTGAATAAAGAATATCAGATGGTTTTTTTTGTTTGAATTTTTAATTTTCAGGATGCACCGAATTTTTTTTTTTTTTTTTTCATTCAAGATTCACCAATAACATTGTCATTGATATGATATGTGAAACAAAAGTTTAATATCAACTTGTTGTAGGCGGATCGTATTTGGATTGGTTTTTTTTATTATATTCTATCGATGGCAAATGACAATAATGATGATGATGATGATGATGATGATGGTCGTTTATATAAACAATGTACGCCTATTTTTTTTTTGATGCTTCAATAACTGACATTGAATGATAACTAGAAAAAAAAGGCGTTTTATCCATCACAGCCATGATTTAAGTGTTGCTGTTGTTGTTTCTAAGAGAACTAAGGACAACTCGAAATTGAATAATTTATCATCATTCAAAACGGGAAAATAAAACAACGGCATTGATGAATTTTTGGAATTGTAAAAAAAAAATTCTGGGAAAACGCAACCACACACAGATGATCCATAAAGTTTATATATATCGCTATGGTTACATGACATATCATATATATAGAAAACTATGTGTCATTTGATGATGATGTAAAAAAAAATAAAAATTTAGTTCTTTCGAAAAACAAAACGAAATAGAAAAACAAACGGATCCTTCGTTCATCATCATCATCATCATAAAATATTGATACCCAAAAAATCCAAGGACGAAATACAAAAAAAAAAATTGGATATCATTATGATGATGAACTGGATAGCTGAATTTTTCTGCCTTTTTTTCTACTTTCAGCCAATACCAGATGCCAATATGAATTCAGGTTTTTATTATATGATGATGATGATCATACATTCATATTCTGTTCAACAAACAAACACAACAATTATCACTGGACAGGATCTATTCAGGAATCTTGTTTTGTTCATGGACAAACAGAATAAATATAATCTGGATTCCTAGCCATCATCATCATCTCTCAGGATTGATATTCCATTTTTTTTGTTGTGATTCTTATGAATTATTGTTGTATTTTTAATGATTGATGATTGACAAAATAAATATGTCCAAAGAGTGTGTGTGTGTGTGTGTGTGTGTGTGATTATGTGGAGGAAGATAGAGAATATCAAGCTGACCAGATATATCAAGCTGATTTATTCATTATTTACATGCATGAGTGTATTGCAAATATTCAAATGTAACAATTTTGGATTTTTATCTCTTTTTGTGTGTGTGTGTGTGTGTGTGTTTAACAACCAAACCAAACCAATTTATTCAGTGTTGTCTGTGAATAGAATTTTAAATATTATCATCAATTCTATCGAGAAAAAAAAATAATAATTGAATTTCGCTCCCACATACTTGTTAACCCTGAAGGAAATTTTTCTGAATTTTTTTTTTTTTTTGCTTACTATACATACATTCATCATCATTTTTATTTCTTATTTCTTGGCCCAATGTTTCATCATCATCATCATCATTGAAATGAATGAACAGCTACGCAAATACCCCCCCAAAAAAAATAATAATGTTCTTCTCAAGGCCAAGACCTAGATTAATCCATTTTCGAATAAAATAGGTATGAAACGAAATAGAAACAAAAAAAAAAAAAATCCACGAAAAAAAAACCGGCCGCAATGACGTATTTGTGAGAAAATTTCTTCTTGCTTCGACTCATTCTGAATTGGTGTGTTGTGTTTCAGCAGCAACAAATACAAAATGAAAAAAAAAAAATACACCTCGCCATGAAAAGCCTTTCGGCCATGCGTAACCAGCTTAAATGTACGTTTAAGCCGAACGCCAATCAAATCGGCTTATGTAAACAGCACTAGTAAATCATCATCAATAACCACTACCACCGCCACTACCAGCAGCATTCAAACCATCAATCATCATCAGCAACAAATACCGAATCCAACATCCGGAATCAGGCATATGCTGCCAGTATCGTGGTTCCGTTTCTTCCATCAACAACAACAACGAAAATCGATTATTCATAAAAGAATATATATCGTCTCAACCAATTTTAATCGATTGTGGTTCACAAATATCAATTTGGCCATATGTAGCAACAAACAGTAAACAAAGCATGAAGTATGATGACATCAAATTGTATTGCGCATAATGGTACATCATCAATCAATACCTAAGTATGGCAACGATATATTTTGAAATCAATATCGGATTCAAAGTATCGATTTCTTGGTCTAAATTTATCATAGAAGCTATGATTCAAATGCACACATTGGTATCTTATGTGGATGTCGTGGATGACGTGTACTATAACCAAACACACACACACAAAAATCGAATTATGAACCAGAAAAAAAATTACTTTATTCAAAATGCACACACACACACACACACAAATTCACAAACAAACACGCACACGGCTGTGTTTATATGATGGAAAAATAAAAAAAAGAAAATTAAAAAATTGCCTTGGAACTTTTTTTTCTCTGTGTGTTTCAAATGAAAAAAGCTTCTGGTTTACGTTTGTTGTCGTTGTCGTTGTCGTCTTCAATGTCTATGTTCATCCGTTTACTGGATGGAATTAAATTTTTTTTTTTGTATTCTTGTCTCAATGTGAATGTGTGTTCCGGTTTTTTTTTCTTATTCTTCAAAACAGATTTTAATTGTAATATACAACTAAAATAAAATTTATATATAAATAAAATGTAAGCCGATTTTCTGTGAATTCTTCTTTTATGATGATATATAGAATATAGAATAATAATAATAATATCGTTCCATTTGGAATGTTTTTGTCATTTTCAATGATGAATCTTGAATCTGATGCTTGTACATTAAATATGAATAGAATACTAGATAGATGGGTGAATGGATGGATAGATGAATGGAACTTTTTTTTTATTCTTTTTTTCTCCATTTTAATTCTTTTTATTTTTTGTTGAATTCAATTATTAAGATTGTATATTGCTCCAGAGAGAGAGAGAGAGAGAGCAAGAAAATGATGTATTTGAATGAATGAATATATGAAAAAAAAGAATGAAAAGAATCATGAATCGGTGAACCTGGCTGGTGAATCATCATCATCATCATTATTATTATAGTGGCCATGTAAGTTCAGTTCTTAATTTATTTATCAGGTGAACAAGAAAAGAAAAATATGAAGATGAAAACGAGAGAGAATAAAAAAAAAAATTTTCTACCACGTTGTTTCCTATGATGTTGTGGTTTGAAACAAATATACCAAAAGACCCAAGAAATTAGTCAACCATATATTATTTTATTACATTATTTAAGATTATTATAGGGTTACCATATGTACGGATTTAGTGTGGACATGCCCGAAATTTCGGTAATCATTTTGTATTGATTGTCTGGACTTTTGTTGGCAAAAAAAAATATGGTAGCATGTAAGTATTCCAAAAAAAAAACTTTTTTTTTTTTTTGGTCCAATTATTCCAATGATGATGATGGTAACCTTGTGTAATTTTTTTTTTATTCCTGAATTTGTTAGAATTTATTCATTCATTCATTCATTTTTGATTATCACAAGAAATGAAAATAAATGGAAAAAATGAATTTTGAATATAATCTGATGGAATCCAGAATGTTCATCGACCATATGACTACAGTCAGTATTATTTTCAAACAAACAAACAAACAAACAGATACGATATTTGAATAAAACACAGTGGTAGTCCATATATGGGGACAACAACAACCGACAACCGACAACGAAGACAACGACAATACTGAATAAATAAACGTTTGCAAGATTTTTTTGTTGTTGTTGTTGTTGTCAGATTTAGCCGTTATTTAGACACTATTTATTTAAATATTAAATCCATTCAGTACAGAAAGAATTCTGTGATTTGTGTGTGTGTTTGTTGTTGGAAATTTGTTTGTAGAAAGAAAAAAAAACATTCTGTTCATTTTTATTATTATTATTATTTCCACTGGACATTCATTTTCATTAATGTTTCATGATGTGATGTTTCAATTCGGTCAAGTGTATTCGGTAAACGTCAAACCAGAATTTAATGCCGGTAAAATATGATGTTTTTGTATGTAAAAAGTTTTCATTTTTTCTTATGCCAATTTACATTATATTTTTGTTGTTGTTGTTGTTGTTGTTGTCCACGATGTCAAATGAAATGCTGATTTGAAAATGAAATTACGAATTTTTTTTTTACTAAACATAAAATTTCTTGTTGTTGTTGTTGTTGTTGGTTTGTGGTAACAATTCACGAAACTTGTGATAATGATGATGATGATGATGATGACGATGATCGTAATGGCAATGATGGTCAGCAACATTCTCCAGCAAAGAAATTCATTCAATGACAATGTTATAATTTAGTAGAAAAGTTGTTATTTCTATGTCATTGAATTCTTGTTTTTTTGTTGTTGTTGACACACACACATGTGGAGACTTGTGAAGAATAAACCAATTTACATTAAATGTTTGGACTATGAACGAAAAAAAAAACGGTGAAAGAAGAAAAAGAACAAGAATAAATGGATGAGAATGAAAAAGACCTTATGAGCCATTGTGTGTGTGTGTCTATTGCCATTCAGAGTGTGTAGCCAACCGACCAAATTGTTATAATAGATAGAATTCTTACTTTATTTGACCATCTGGTCGGTATATGTGTGTGTGTGGATGCCGAGATAAATATTAATGAGAATCAAACCATCAAAAAAAAAAAAAAAAACATTGGAATGTGAATGTATTGTAGCCAGAATCAATCCCAACAGGCACATAGATACAATTTTTTTTTTGCAACAGAAGCAGATAACAACAAGAATATTCATTGAAATTCTTTTCTTATTTTATTATTATTATTATATGTGGACAAAAATAATAACGATGATGATGATAATGATAATAATGATGATTATAATGATAGTCATGTGTATAGAAAGAATTAAACGTGAAAAAAAAATAAAATTGAACTTTAGAAAACTAGAGACCCATTTTTTTGTAAATGAAATTAGAGATTTAACCGTAAAAATAATGATTATCGTTGATTTTTATCTGAAATATCGTTGAATAATAAATAATTTTCAAATACCATGGATTTTTATCGCCATCAAAGTGAATCAATCAATCAATCAATCCAAATCATTTTAATATTTAATAATAACCATATGGATGATGATAACCATTATATTGATTATAAACTGGATAATGATATGATCCATATGCTTGATATGGATCAACATCTGAATAGCTCATAGAATGGCTTCCACCGCCACCACCACTGTAAGAATCATGTCCACCACCACCACCACCACTGCCATAGGAGTTATGGCTTCCACCATAAGATTGATATCCACCACCACCACCACCACCATATGATGATCCATGACTATAACCACTATGAACAGGCATTACTGATACATGTTCTTCATGATGATATTTTTCTTCTTGATGTACTGGATAAAAATATGGTTTATATTCTTCTTTACATTTTTCATCATGTCCTAATATGAATCTTTAAGAAAAAAAAATTTAATTTTAAACCAAAAAATTCATTATAACTTACAGATTTTTTCCCTTTCTTTTTCCACTTGTTTTCAATATGGTTGGCATACCACATTTACTATGATTCGGAAACATGATTCTATGGATAAATAAGAAAAATAAAGCAAAAACCAAAAAATAAAAAAAAATTAACACCGAAAAAAGTGGTACCATCTTTGGATCATAATCTGAAATAAAGACAACAAAGAAAACAAAAAAACTTACGTTGAATCACCTTTTTTACCACCAGATTTAAAAATTAAACTTGGATTCGATTCTATTGGTTGAAACATTGAAAAAATTAAACAAACGGCTAAAATTGTCGTCCAAATCGATAGAATCGATTGTTTTGACATTTTGTTGATCAAGTCAAGTGTATATTTTTTTTCTAAATTCAAATTTCATTCAACAACAAACAACAAAACTCATTAAATGTGAAGAATGTAATTTGGAGACGACAACGCGAAAAAAAAAAATATCCCGTTGCTTTTATATATACTTTGGTGTGTTTTCATTTTTCTCATTTTCAGTTTCAGTTTTTTTTTTGTTCATTTGATGGTTCATCATTTTTAATGGTAATTATCATCATAGCTTAGTTAATATTTTTTTTATCATTAATGACAATAATTATTTTAATATATCAAATAGGCAAATGAAAAGAAACGGAAAAAACGGAAACGATTTTAGTTCCTTGAATGAAATGAAAATGGAATGTGGATATATAAATATTATATTGTCATTGCCAAGCCCACAAAATTCGAACAAAACAATACAACTTGAACTTTTTAACTACTATAACTTCATCTTGAAATTAAAAAGATTTTCATAAACGAATGGCAAAAAGAAAAAAAAAATTTTTTTTGTTAAATGTTCCATTTCTATTTTCCTTTTTCATTATGTCTCAAATATCGAAATGTTTTTCTCCATCATTAATTTATCATATATATAAATTGAACTTGTCAACACATATACACACACACACAAGGAAAACACACGAGCCCAGTTTCATCCATCCGTTGATACCATTTAGAATGGAATAAATGAATTATTCAATCTAATAGTATATTACAATGATTATGATCATTAATAGTAAACAAACAAAAAAAACGTGAAAACATCCATTCATCATAAAATTGTTAATTACATGATGATTATTATACTAATCATCAATTTTTATTATTATCAAAAAACAACACAATACAATGTACTGAATATAAATGCACTAATAATAATAATGATGATGATAATGATAATGTTTTCATTTATAATAATATTGCTCGGTGGTTTGATTTAAATTCAAATTGAAAAGAGAAAAAAAAATTGTCACATGTCACGTTGATCAAATTATTGTTGTTGTTGTTGTTGTTGTCATTGAGTCATTTTGGTTGATTATTATTATTATTATTATTTAAGAAAATAATAGATTTTGTTGTTCATCATGATTATCATGATGAACAACAAATCGTAACCATGAATTACATAACATTATCTTGTATTTGATCCATGGAATGAATATATTTGGCCAACAATCTTGTGATCTATCCATTGGTAGTGATGGTGGTGGTGGTGGTGATGGTGATGGTGGTCGAATAAAATTCTTTACATCATCATGATTATCATAATTTTCATTATCATTCGGAATATCATTAAAAATATCATCGTTTTGACGTTGTTGTTGTTGTTGTTGCTGCTGCTGCTGTCGTTGTCCAGGATCATTACCAATCTTTTTGATAATCCAATTATAATAAAATGAAACATCTGTAAATAATGCAACATGATTTGGTTCACAACTGGCTGCTAATATTGAACTGGTTATGCCCACTAAATACGGTATAACATTATGTTCAATTATTAATCCACTTCCAGAATCACCATAACATGGTGAATGTGATTGTGATCTTGCACCAATAATATCACGAGATGAAAACATAAATACTGGTTGTAGATCAAAATATCCGGCTAGTAGACGTTGATTTCGTTGAATATTACGACCAAATCCAGCCATTCTTGCTTCATATCCCATTATTGTTGTCCGCCGGTCTCGATTCATTCGTATCGGATGTGAACGTGATGTTATCTCCACAGGAAATGATAATTTTAATAATGCTAAATCGGCTGTTGTAAATAAATTTCGAGCTGGTTTATAGATTTCAATGACATTTCGTTTATTTAATATTGTTGCCATTGAAAGATGATCAAGACCAAAATATACAACTGGATTTATATCGACAATACAATGACCGGCTGTCAATACCCATTGTGTATCGATTAAAACTCCACCACAGCGACCTTTGTTGATAACAATAACTGTCCATGGAAATGATTCGATCGGTGTTGGTTCACCACCAACCACACGACGTACACGATGAATTTTTGTATCATTAGATTCAGAATCATTTTTCATTGGTTCATTTACTATGTGTTGTTGTTGTTGTTGTCTACCAATGATGATCAATAATGTTCCAATCAACATAAACAAAATAAATGTAACGAACGAAATCTTCATCATGTTTGACATGGTCACTTGATGATCAATAGAATATAATGACCATTTCTAGGTTCCAAATACACACTATTTATATCTACATTTTTTAAGATTGATCCACTACCATAATAACATTATCAAAATACTTTTGGGCATGTGTGCGTGAGTACCTATTTGTAATTATTGCCTGTGCCACTTGCGATAACAACCCTTCTAATTTCAATAATTATCGGCCATGATAAGAACTCAATACGTTTCACTTATATCTGAACTTTGATCGAGCAGAACTTGAGCCATATTATCATCATATAATAGTTGCATTCGATTTTTAACAAACATAAATGCTTTACGTATAAATTCTGGATGTTCAATATTTAATTTCTGACTAAATTCTCTCAATACCGTTTCGAATGGTTCACAAATATCATCGAACCATGATTTTTGTATACCACGCATTAAATGTAAACGTATTAATTTACAAATCAATTCATCAATCATATCCATATCGTTTAGATTATCGAATAACATATTTAACATGTACATTACATTTATACCATGTGCACGAAGACGAGCTGTTTCATGATAATCAAATTCATCCCATGTGAATCCAAATAAACATAGATATTCTGGATGTAAATCTAATAACCTGTTGTAGATAGAAAAAAAAACATAAGTTAGTCAACAAGACAAATGGTCAACAACAATAAACAAAGAGATAAGATAAGATAAAAAAAACCTTAGAAATAATTTCAATCCAAAACATTCATGTCGATAATGGACAATCTTATCCCATTGTATTCGAAGTGATTGTAATTCTTCTTCATTGAATTCTTCAAAAGTATTATTCATCATCTGCATTTTTTTTTGTTGTTGTTGCTTGTTTGTTCTTACTTTTAGCAACGATTCAATATCGATTGTTGAATATGAACACATGAAAATGAAATGTATTATGTATACGAGATTTGATGATGATGATGATAATGAACAAAAACAATTCGTTGTGTATGTGACATTCGTCAATCTGAAAAAAAGAAATAAATTCGAGCCAAACAAATGTGACAACATGATTAAGCAATGACAAAAATTAATGTATAGAATATCACACACACACACACATACATGATTTGTTGCCAAAAATAGATCACATTTTTGTTGTCGAGTTAAAGTTCCATAACAATAAAATAATGAGGACAAACGTCAGACATTGAAGGAAATAACAATCAAAATAGAAAAATTCTTTGTAAAATCTTTGTAATGTTAGAATTTTTTTCTCAAATTTGCCAAAGTTTTCCATAGAAAATTTTTTGATTTATCATGTTTTTTCTTTGCTATAAAAGTATTTCGATTAATAGTATTCGTTGATGATGGTGGCAGAATTAATGCTGACTGTTTAACAGGTAAAAGAACTGATGGATGATTTGGTGATGCTGGAAAGGATTTTAATTGAATTTGGCTTGATGGCTGTTGTTGTTGTTGTTGTGAAGATGAGGATGGCGACGGTGGAGGTTGATAAAATACTGGTTGAATTATAGGTGAAGATTGTTGTTGATTAATAATAATTTTCGATTGATTATTAGTATTAGTATCATGCATGTTGATCGATGATTCATTAGACATTGGAGAATTCATCAATCGACTTGTTCGTAATGTTGAATTATATTGTTCATTACGTTTACGTAAACGTAATTGATAATCTAATAGACAATTACGACGATAATCTTGCATTAATTCATGTTTAGCATTATGATGTAATGAATTCAAACGATAATAACTTCCTGAACGTTCAAGATCGGATTCTAATAGTTTGAAATTTTTATCAATTTCTTTCAATAGATAACCAAATGCTTTACGCCAGGCAATCATTGTTTTTTTATTGAATAATTGCGGTCCAAGTGTAACAAGTAAATGTTCAAGTAATGTATCACGAAGCTGTTCGAATGCTTTTAAACAAACATGACGATGATAATGATTACGTGCTAAACGTTTCAACATTTGTCCCATCATATCTGGATTTTCTAGATTATCAACCAACATACCAATCGTATACATTACATATGTACCATGTGCCATTAATTTCTTATCAATACGTATCATACGATTTTGTTGAAAATTTATTGGAACATCTTTGAATGATTTGAATTTTTGTTGATAATCTGGATATTTGGTAAAATATCTGATTGTGGTGAAAAAATCAACATCAACATCATCATTCAGTTATCTAAAAAACAGACTTACCGTATAAAAAGTTCTGCACCTAAAAATTTAAATCCAGCTAAATCATTACGTAACAATGTCCATGTTTCACGTACTAATTGAATTTCTTTTTCAGATAAATCTGGTTGATCATCGAATAATGAATCATTCGATCCTTGCAATATATTCGGTACAGTTAGATTTGTTGAGAATCGTCGTTTAAATTTTTGAAACATTTTTCACAATTTAAAAAAAAATATCACAGTTATGTGGCCATAAAGATTTTGAAAATTAAACATGTAAAAATACAACAACAAACAACAGATGATGATGATGATGATGATAAAAAGTGTGTAAAACCTGCAGCAGAGAAATAAATGATTTCACTATATCGTACACAGAACCGAAAATATTATTTTTTTTCAATTCATTCGAAAAAATTTCTATTCTCCCGATTTTGTGATGATGATGATGATGATTCGTCGACATTGTTTTTGTCGTTGTTGTGGTTAATTATGGCTATATATGCTGCTTAAAGCATTCGTTTGTTTGTATGCTCCCAATTATACGTTGTGATGATTGTGATCTGGATATGTAGCTGTGTGTATGAAAATTCTTAACCGAATTGTATGATGACAACCACCAAACCAGAATGAATGACGCAATCAAATTGAAAAAGTGAATATTTTTTTTTCTTTTAATTTAATTATAATGTCGGGCAACAATTAATTATCCAAATTGATTATGGTTTTTTTTTCTCTATGTCAAAATTTATAATGAAAACAAAAACAAAAAAAATGAAAACGATCAAAATATGGTGGATGAAATATCACAATCATCATCGATATATAGAATTAATATTTGAATGTTTTTCAGCATCAAGTATTAGATTCTCAAAATCAATCATCGATATAAGTAAATGACGAACATGATCAGAAAATTCTTTTCCATCTAATTGATCCATTTTTTCTTTAATATTGATTAACATTTTTTCTATTCGTAAACTTTGATCAGAAATTTTATCCACATATTCACGATATCCATGTGAATTTAGATAGCCAACATCATTATTACTTCGATCAATTAATTGTTGTATGAATAATGTTAATGTAGGCATTGATTGATCATCACCTTGATCATATAACATCAATATCATTTCAAAATGATTAATCATTATCTCTAAATCATTACTTGTGTATTCAATTAATTTGGCCATAAATGGATTCTTGATACATGGCAGAAAAGATTCAGCACGTTTAATCATTAATTCTAAATAATCTAAATCCTGTACAACTATATGTTGATATTTATTCATTTTTACATCATCTTTATGTTTAAATAATTTATTATGAGCTGTTGTTGATAAATTCTGGCCACGTTCGATTAATTCTTTTAAATTTTGACTTTTTACATCACCATTATTTGTTGGTTTTGTATCAATTCTGGATGGTGGTTGGCCAACTATATAATAACGAAATAAAAGGATAAAATGATTCGGATTCAGATTTGAATTTCAAAAAAAATAAAATAAAATTTACCGAAATCATGAACAGCGTATAAAAATAATGAATATCCCATTGGGATAATGGTGATCAAATATATGATTAAGAAAATCTGTATCACTTTGAATACAAACATTATTGGATCCAAAAATAATTTTGATCTGTTGTTGTCCGGTGTGTGTTTGTTTGTTTGTTTTTTTTTTGATAAATGAAAAAATGAGCATCTATTTTTCATTGGAAAAAAAATTGAACTTGAAAAATTAGCGAAACAAATGAAAAACTTTATTGAAATTTCATTATAGAGAAATATTCACAGAATACGTAAGAAGTAAGTGATGATTTTAGGAAATGTTTCGTAAACTTAATCTTTGGCTCAACAAACCACAACAAAAAAAATGTTGAATTGTGCAAAAATGTTGACATTTAACTTCCTTTTGGCAAAGAAATTGGCCAGGAAAAACCAGCAAACTGGCAAGATCCAACATGGAAAAAAAACGTGGCCATGAGTCAGGAACTTATTTTAATGGCTTATTTCTTCGAAATCACAACAATTCCCTGACATAGATAACTGAAAACCAAATTGATTCACATTTGCAAGATGCTAATCAGTTATCAGAATTGAAAATGAATCGCTTATTTGGATCGATAGCAACCATTTTTTTTCGCGTGAGAAGCTGAGACCATTGGCCATCAACAGGTATAAAAGAGCTGGACATTTGGACAATAAAACACACACTGGTTTTTCAACACAGATCACGACGGTCTTCTATAGAAGTTTCTCAGATGACTACTGTTTCATCATCATTTTCCGTTCATTTGTGTTTCCATATATACTTTTTTATATTTTTATCTACTGTAAATCGCTTACTACTGTTTTGTTGGTTATATTAAATAAAATCTCTTCATTTTATTAACGTAAAGAATCTGTGTGTGTGTGTTTTATTGTTGCCGAAACATAATATACAGAATATTTTCTGTGCGCATGCGTTTGCAACGCGATATATTCCATATATGAATGGTACAAAGTTTAAATTTTTTCTTTTCAGCCAATCAGAACGACGAGAAAAAAATTTCAACGGTTTTTTTGAGCTCTACATACCACAAATTCGTATAGTAGTTATATTAATTCACATGTGCTTCTCTTTCAGCTCAAACGAAAATAGTCGTTATTTATTTTCTGGTGTTTTATCATCATCATCATCATCACTTAATTTTCAATAAAAAAATTTTCATTGTTCAAAAAATGGCTTGTACATTTAATACAACATCGATGATGGAATCACAACAAGATTCTACTTATGATTCTTCATCTGAAAATATTATCCAAAAAAATCTTACATTTAATAAATGTGATTCATCGAATTCAATTGTTCATGATGAAACGTTTGATGAAAGTATTTGTAATGAACAAATAATTAAAACATTTCTTCGAATTCGATCCGATGTCGAAATTGATTCAAGATATAAAATAATTGACAATAATCTATCGATCGATAAGAATTTGAAAACAACCGATGAATATCGTTTTGATAAAATTTTCTATCAAGAATATAGCCAATATGATGTATTCAAAGTTTGTACCCTTCCATTGCTTAAGGAATTCATTGTTGGAAAAAATTCCTTAATATTCACTTTTGGTGTTACTTCATCCGGCAAAACATTCACAATGAAAGGCAATGTTAAAAATCCTGGCATCATTCCTTATTCATTAGTCATATTGTTTCAAATGTTTGCTGAAGCAATGGAAATAAAATTACCAACATATAAGCCAATTTGTTTTTCCGATCGTAAACGTTTAACGAAAAATGATCAAAATTATGAAGATGAAATACGTAAATATATTGTTCATGATTCGATGGGTAAAAATGATGGAAAAAACTTCCAAATAACTGAAAATTTAATCTACAACAATCATTTGGATTTGATAGAACAATTACAAAAAATGTTCAAATCGATGAGCAAAGAAAAGCAAGAAGTATGTATTTGGATTTCATATTTTGAAATCTATAATGATACAATCATCGATTTATTGAATGTACGTTACAAGGATGAAATGGAACCAAAAATAATGTTCATTAAAGATAATAAAGAACAATATTATGTTAACGGTATTCGACAAGTATTTGTCGAATCAGCCACCGATGCATACATGGTTTATTTGTTTGGTCAAAATAATTTGAAAAAACATATGGCACAAACAGCATTGAATCCAAGTTCAAGCCGATCACATTCAATATTTAAGATTACATTGATACGTATTGATCATTCGACTGCTGAAACATTTACATCTAATATCAATTTTTGTGATCTTGCCGGTGCCGAACGTATTGCAAAAACTGGCAATGTTGGCAATCGTGCTAAAGAAACTAATAAAATTAATCAATCATTGTGTCTGTTGAATCAATGTATTTCATCATTGACAGGAAAAAAAGAGTAAGTATTTGTTTTTGTTTTAATTTTAAATTTCGATTCTTTTTTAAAATTGTTTTTGCAAATTTTTTTTTTATTCATAGTCATCAAAATATAATTTCATTTCGATCATCAAAATTGACACATGTATTACAACCATATCTATTTTCGAATGGTGGTTCATTCAGTACTATTATAAATTTGAATCCATCGACAAAATTATTTGATGAATCAATTTATTCATTAAATTTTTGTGATAATATTAAAGCTGTCCCCATCTCTCAAATGCCATCATATAAACGACGAATGACCATGGCATTTAGCCATAATCTTGAAGATGTTGATGAAGATTCTGAAAGTGAAGAGATGGAAGATGACGATGAAGAAAATGAAAGTGAAATCATCAACAACATAAAAAATCCATGTAATTGTGATAAATTAAAGAAAGAAAAACTATTATTGGCTAAAGAAATTGAAGAATGTCGCCAAGAATATAATGAACTAATTGATGAACTTCGAGATCAAATGAATGAACAAAATGAAAATCATGAAGATGATTTAAAACGTAATGATAAACTATGGTTGATGCGTATCGATTGTATTCAAGATAAATATCATACAGAGTTGGATACAAAAATAGCTAAAATCGAATTGCTTGAAAACCAATTATTTGATGTTCAATCTGAATTAGTTGAATCACAACAAATTCAGAGTGAATTAATCAAAGCAATCAAAAATTGTGAAGACCAATTTGATCGGAAAATGAAAAAAATTGATATTGAATTGAAACAATATGAACTGATTTATGGCCAAAAATTGGAAAAAATCAATGGCTATTTCAAATTATCAGTCAAAGAATCAGCCAAAACTCGACAAATAATTCAAGAATTACGTACAACCAATGAAGCAAATGAAAGTGAAAATAAAAGTCTACAAAAAGAAAATGAACTTTTAAAGAATAAATTACGTACAACCAATGAAGCAAATGAAAGTGAAAATAAAAGTCTACAAAAAGAAAATGAACTTTTAAAGAACAAATTACGTACAACCATTGAAGCAAATGAAAGTGAAAATAAAAGTCTACAAAAAGAAAATGAACTTTTAAAGAACAAATTAAGTAAAATTGTTAAAGCAAATGAAAGTGAAAATAAAAGTTTAATTACAATTTTTGATAAAAATGCAAGTTTAGAGTATAAATCAAGTACAATTGTTAAAGAACAGGAAAGTGAAAAAAAAATTCTACGGCAAGTAAATGAAAATTTAAATAATGAATCAGAATTGCTTAAAAAATCGTATGATGCTGGCACATTTTCTGACAAAAAGAAAAAAAGAGCAGCAATTCAGCAACAAATGTCATCTACAACTAAAAAATTAAAACTAACCAAACAGGATATTTCAAGTCCATCGGATTTAATTTCACCCGATACAATGGTAAATGTCTGCGATAATGTGTTTATTTATATTTATATTTCTAATTAAATTCTTTTTTTTTTTTTTGTTTCCATTCATCATTTTATATAGTTTTCCGAATTTAAATCCGAACAAAAATGCACACAATCGAATAATGCATATAATACTAGAAGCAAGAATAATGCATATAATACTAGAAACAAGAATCGACGAAAATTATTCTAATGCAAAACAATGATTTTGCATATGAAAATATCTTTTGTTAATCTATATCTAACATTTACTATCGAGGATCTATACGATAATGCAGTGTTTTTTTAAAATTATGATCCACTTGAAAAATTTTTATTGACAAATTTCGATGTATATATAAAGATTATGTCTTTATTAATTTGTGGAGATTATTTTAAAATCTTGAGTGAATAAAAAAAAAATTTATCTTTTATTCTTTGAAAATGCTGAATCATTTAATTTCCATTATTTTTTACATTACATTCATATTGTTATCTTTTTTCAATAACAACAACAACAACAAAATCGAATGCACATTGCAACAGCCACGTTATGCACCAATTATTAATCTCGAACATTATGGCCGTGTACGTGGCATCATTGAAAATGTACCGATAATCGATTCGAATCACAATGAAGATATTTATTTCTATCAAGCAATACGTTATGGTAAAGCTAAACGTTTTGAACGGCCAGAACGTGCTGATAGTTGGTCAAATGATGTTTATGATGCAATCAAACCACGTTATGCATGTCCACAAGTAGGTTATAATTCGAGTTCAATGAGTGAAGATTGTCTTTATGCCAATGTATGGACTTCAGTACGTGCATTAGCATCGATTGAAAAACCATTACCGGTTATGGTTTGGATTCATGGTGGTGCCTTTAAAGTTGGTAGCATTTTTCAAGATTTATATAATGGTGGAATTTTTGTCGCTAACGGTGATGTAGTTGTTGTTAGTATCGCTTATCGTCTTGGAGCTTTCGGATTTTTATATACTGGAGATGATCCCGAATTAGCACGTGGAAATCAAGGTCTTTACGATCAAATTCTTGGTTTACAATGGGTTCGTGATAATATTCACAATTTTGGTGGCGATCCAAATCAGGTGACAGTGTTTGGTGAATCAGCAGGATCGATGAGTGTAGGAAGTTTGATCATTTCTCCATTAGCTAATGGTCTATTTCAACGAGCTATTATGCAATCGGGTGCACCAAATCCAAATGTTTGTTCCAATTCGAAAGCTGATGAATTATCGAATGGATTGGCGTTGGCAAAAAAATTAAATTGTTATATAATGATGAAAGCATGGAGAAGACTATGGAATGTTTACGAAATAAAACCATTGAAGAAATTTTAGCCACAGATTCACCTGATATGACAACTCCTTTTGTACCTATCTATGGTGATGATTTCATGCCATTGAATCCGGTGGAAGCATTGAAAAGTGGTCAAGGTTTAAATCAAGTAGATTTAATGTTTGGTGTTACACGAGATGAAGGTGAACTTTTTCTTCAAAAATTTTTACCTGATAATAAAAAAGCAACCATTCATCAGGTTCAGGACTATATGCGAATTATTTTCATTGGTAAACCTTTTGTTGAAGAAGTTATTGAATTCTATACAAAAAATTTGAATGAAAAAAATGTAACACTTGCTCAATTAAGGTTTGTATATCATTATGTCATTACAATTGAATGATCTATTTAGAATAATTTTCTAATTATCATCAATTTTAGGCATGCACTTTCGGATGTTTTTGGTGATTATAGTTTAATTTGTCCAACCATATTGTTTGGTGAAGAATATTTTCAACGATTTCATAATGTTGAATTTTATTCATATCGTTTGATGGCACCGATTAAATCGATACATTTTCTCAACGATACTTGGGGTGGTGTAGGTCATGCTGCCGATCTTTTCTACATGTTTGGCCAGCCATTTCAAATGAAAAATTTGAAATTTACACAACAAGAAAAAGATCTAAGCCGTGATATGATTAAAGCATGGATCCGATTCGCACAAAGTGGGCATCCAGGACCGATTGGAAATGCAAACATCAAATGGAATGAAGCTTTCGCCGAATCATCATCAACACAATTCATGGCATTGGATTCGGAAAATTATCATATGGTAAAAGATTATTTCAAACCAATTTGTGATGAATTTTGGAAACCGAAAATTTTTGTCTAATTTTAAGTAATAATAATTTAATCATGCGAAAAAAAAATTCAATTTATCCATTGACAATATGTTTTCATTTAACCATAAACCAAATTATTAATAATAAAAATCAATGAATTTGCAGATCAATCATTTGCTCAAAAAAATGATAACTGTTGATGGTATCAGTAGTTTTTTTTTACAAAAAAACACTTCTAATTATCGAACAAAAAAACATATTCAATTAAAGTAATTGTAGTCATCATTCAATTGGTCATAAGTGATTGGTTGTTGTCCTTGAAAACTTATCACCACTTATATTGGTGCACAATCATCATTCGTCATATAACCAACATCAATTGAATTAACCAAACTTGGAAACCACAGCGATGCTCACTATGATTGCATTTAATGGGATAAGAAATAAACATTTGAAGAACGTATAAAGAAGATTTTGATTGTCATATAATAATCATCATCAGTAACCATAGAATGAATGTCAATTTTATTTTTGTTGATAAAAATTTTTTTTTCTTTGCAAATTCTGAATTTATTTTAGAAAATTGCAAATTAAAATGATTTTCACCGTAATCATAGCGACCATTGTATTGGTCATTTCATTGGGTTATCTATTTTTTTCAACGAAAAAAGAACCAATTTATTGCATCATTAACAAGCCGAGGCATTCGTTATCAGCCACAATCATCATTTTTTAGAATCTTAATTTTTAAAGAACGTATTGAACTAGAAGCATTGAAAAATGTAAAAAGTGTGGGAAAAATCTATGGCTATATTATGTTTGGTGGCATCAATTTGGTTGTAGCTGAACCTGAATTAATTCAACTTGTGTTGAGTAAAGAATTTACCAATTTCCCAAATCGCCGGGTAAGATTGATCATTTTTATATGAACATCTATTTCATCATATAAATCATTATATATCTGTAATTAGAAATTCAACATCGAAGACGATATTTTCGCCAATATTTTATCAGCAGTCGATTTGGATCAATGGAAACGTTTACGAGCCATTGTAGCGCCAACATTTGCTACAGGTAAATTTCGTCGTATGAAATTTCGAATGGATTCAATATGTCGAACCTTAATCCGTAATATCAATGCTGAATTAACAAAATCAAACGATCATGAATGTATATTGAATATTAAACGATTCGCTGGTGCTTTCACAATGGATACAATTCTACAAGTTGCATTCGGATGTCAAATTGATTCATTGATCGAACCGGATAATCCTATCATTAAAAACGCTAAAAAACCATTCGGCTCTGATATGTCAATCAAAAACATTCTAATGTTCGTCATAGTGTTTGCTATGCCTAGTTACATCAGTAAAATATTTCAAATACGTCCTAATAATGAAGTCTTTAACTTTTTCCATGATTTTTCTCTCGATATTATTGAACGTAAAAGGAAAGAATTTGCTGAAAAAGATTTTTCTAAAGCATCATCATTCATTGAATTTCTACTTGAAGCCGAACATGAATGGATTATTTCACAACAACAACAAAAAACTAATGATGGATCGGATGAGAAAAAGCCTGTAAAATATATGACTAATGCTGAGATGATTGCACAATGTGTATTATTCTTTATAGCCGGTTATGATACGACGGCAACAACCATTACAATGGCTTTATATAATTTAGCTTTAAATCCGGATAAACAACAATTGGCCTATCAAGAAATCGAAAGAATTACACGAGAACAACAAGCGAATGATTGTGAAGATCCATTAGAATCATTGGCTTTTGAAATCTATGGATCGAAATTCGAATACATAAATGGAATAGTTAATGAAACATTACGCATGACACCGCCTGGAACAGTTATTGAAAGACGTTGTGAGAATGATTTTGTTTTGAAAACCGAAGATGATCGTATTAAACTTCAAGTGAAAAAAGATGAAATCATCCAGATACCAGTTTGGGCATTACATTATAATGAAGAATTTTTTCCCGAACCAGAAAAATTTCGACCAGAACGATTTTGTAAAGAAACGGCCGAAAACTTTCCAAATTATGCCTATCTACCGTTTGGTTCTGGTCCAAGAGCTTGTGTTGCTAAAAGTTTGGCATTATTAGAAGCTAAAATGGCTTTAGTTTGGTTGATTAAGAATTTTCGATTCTCTAAATGTGGCAAAACCAAAATTCCCGTTGAATTTTATAATCAAGGTGGTTTTCTTTCACCAAAAGATATTTATCTTAGTGTTGAACGAAGATAAATAATGGCATTGTATTGGATTCGAAAAATTATCATATGGTAAAAGATTATTTCAAACCAATTTGTGATGAATTTTGGAAACCGAAAATTTTTGTCTAATTTTAAGTAATAATAATTTAATCATGTGAAAAAAAATTCAATTTATCCATTGACATTATGTTTATAATATTGTTAATAATAAAAATCAATGAATTTGCCGATCAATTATTTGCTCAAAAAAAATAAAAATAACTGTTGATGGTATCACAAACTTTTTTTACAAAAAAACACTTTTTATTATCGAACAAAAAAAATATGCAATTAAAGTAATTGTAGTCATCATTCAATTGGTCGTTGTCCTTGAAAACTTATCACCTCTTATTGGTGTACAATCATCATTTGTCATGTAACCAACATCAATTGAATTAGCCAAACTTGGAAACCACAGCGGTGCTTAATATGATTGCATTTATTGGGATAAGAAATAAACATTTGAAGAACGTATAAAGGAGATTTTGATTGTCATATAATAATCATCATCAGTAACCATAGAATGAATGTCAATTTTATTTTTGTTGATAAAAATTTTAGTTTTTTTCTTTAAAAATTTACCGTCTTTTGACGTGCGACGCATTTCGTTTTTTTTCTTTGCAAATTCTGAATTTATTTTAGAAAATTGCAAATTAGAATGATTTTCACCGTAATCATAGCGACCATTGTATTGGTCATTTCATTGGGATATCTATTTTTTCAGCGAAAAAATAAACAATATATTGCATCGTTAACAAGCCGAGGTATTCGTTATCAGCCACAATCATCATTGTTGGAAATCTTAATTTTTAAAAAACGTGTTGAACTAGAATCATTAAAAAATGTAAAAAGTGTAGGAAAAATCTATGGCTTTATTATGTTTGGTGGCATCAATTTGGTTGTAGCCGAACCTGAATTAATTCAACTTGTGTTGAGTAAAGAGTTTACCAATTTCCCAAATCGCCGGGTAAGATTGATCATTTTTATATGAACATCCATTTCATTATATATCTGTAATTAGAAATTCAACATCGAAGATGATATTTTCGCCAATGTTTTATCAGCAGTCGATTTGGATCAATGGAAACGTTTACGAGCCATTGTAGCACCAACATTTGCTACAGGTAAACTTCGTCGTATGAAATTTCGAATGGATTCAATCTGTCGAACCTTAATCCGTAATATCAATGCTGAATTAACAAAATCAAACGATAATGAATGTATATTGAATATTAAACGATTCGCCGGTGCTTTCACAATGGATACAATTCTACAAGTTGCATTCGGATGTCAAATTGATTCATTGATCGAACCGGATAATCCTATCATTAAAAACGCTAAAAAATCATTCAACACTGATATGTCTATCAAAAACATTCTAATGTTCATCATGATGTTTACTATGCCTAGTTACATCGCTAAAATATTTAAACTACGTCCTAATAATGAAGTCTTGAACTTTTTCCATGATTTTTCTCTGGATATTATTGAACGTAAAAGAAAAGAATTTGCTGAAAAAGATTTTTCCAAAGCATCAACATTTATTGAATTTCTAATTGAAGCCGAACATGAATGGATTATTTCACAACAACAACAAAAAACTGATGATGGATCGGTAGAGAAAAAGCCAGTAAAATATATGACTAATACTGAGATGATTGCACAATGTGTATTATTCTTTTTGGCCGGTTATGATACGACGGCAACAACCATTACAATGGCTTTATATAATTTATCTTTAAATCCAGATAAACAAGAATTGGCCTATCAAGAAATCGAAAGAATTACACGAGAACAACAAGCGAATGATTGTGAAGATCCATTAGAATCATTGGCTTTGGAATCATATGGATCGAAATTCGAATACATAAATGGAGTAGTTAATGAAACATTGCGTATGACACCGCCAGCAACGTTTATTGAAAGACGTTGTGAGAATGATTTTGTTTTGAAAACCGAAGATGATCGTATTAAACTTCAAGTAAAAAAAGATGAAATCATCCAGATACCAGTTTGGGCATTACATTATAATGAAGATTTTTTTTCCGAACCAGAAAAATTTCGACCAGAACGATTTTGTAAAGAAACGGCCGAAAACTTTCCAAATTATGCTTATATACCGTTTGGTTCTGGTCCAAGAGCTTGTGTTGCTAAAAGTTTGGCATTATTAGAAGCTAAAATGGCTTTAGTTTGGTTGATTAAGAATTTTCGATTCTCTAAATGTTCCAAAACCAAAATTCCCGTTGAATTTTATAATCAAGGCGGTTTTCTTTCACCAAAAGATATTTATCTTAGTGTTGAACGAAGATAAACAAAAAGCAAACTTTATTTGTTGTTTTTTTATTTCGTTGACACAAAATCAAAATATAAATGTTTGATTGCACTCTTTTTGCACTCACTAATAAACAAGTTTTTAAAAAGAAATTATTGTTTTCTTTCACTTTGATAATTGCTGATTTGATATCTCTTTCATGCATTGATTATCAATCAAATCAATGATGTATCTATAAAAAGTAGAGCATTTTTCATGCAACAACCAAACAAAAACGACGATGACATCGACAATTGGAAAAAAATACGATTTCACTGGTAAAGTTGCTTTGATTACCGGTTCAAGTTCGGGAATTGGTGCAGCAATAGCATTACAATTCGCTCAATATGGTGCTCAGGTAACAATTACTGGTCGTGATGCTGAAACATTGGCAAATGTTGGCAAAGAAATTGAAGAAAAATGTGGCCATTGTCCACTACAAATTATTGGCGATCTTATTGATCAATATTTACCTGAAAAATTAATCAATGAAACGATGACCAAATTCGGACGATTGGATTTTCTTGTAAATAATGCTGGTATTGGAACTACGGCCAAAAGTCTTGAAAACGAAAATTTTATGACCGAATTTGACAAAGTTTTTGCTATCAATGTTCGAGCTCCTGTTCAATTGATACAATTGGCCGTACCACATCTGGAAAAAACTAAAGGAAATATAATTAATATTTCCAGTATTGCATCGCTTACAGCTGTATGTGAAAAAAATTTCAATGACTTTTTTTTAAAATTTTTTTTTTTGACCTACTAGTTTTCTTTATTATATGGATCATCAAAAGCAGCATTAGATATGATAACGAAAACCTCAGCTCAAGAATTAGGACCAAAAGGAATAAGAGTCAATTCCATTAAGTATGTCAATTATCTAATTATTAAAATCATATTTTTAGCTTTAACAATTCAATTTTATTTGCATAGTCCTGGACCAGTAGTGACCTCAATCTATCGTTCATTGGGTATAACTACCAAACCTATGAATATGAAAGAGGAAATGAAAAAACGTACATTATTGAATATGGCTGCCGAACCAATTGAGATTGCTAATTTAGCATCATTTCTAGCATCGAATGATGCGCGTAATATTACCGGTTCAATAGTTGTAAGCGATTCCGGTGCATTATTGATGCGAAAAAATTGATTGATTGCAAAATACTAATGAAAAATCTGTTTCCATTGATATTTTATTGAAATTCCTGTTGAATTCTATAATCAAGACGGTTTTCTTTCACCAAAAGATATTGATCTTTGTAACCAATAAATAAGTTTTTAAAAAGAAATTATAGTTGTTTTTTTTCACTTTGACAATTGCTGATAAGATATCTCTTTCATGCATTGATTATCAATCAAATCAAATCAATGATGTATCTATGAATAGTATAGCATTTCGCATGCACCCACCAAACAAAAACGACGATGACATCGACAAGTGGAAAAAAATACGATTTCAGTGGGAAAGTTGCTTTGATTACCGGTTCAAGTTCGGGAATTGGTGCAGCAATAGCATTTCAATTTGTTCAATATGGTGCTCAGGTAACAATTACTGGTCGAGATGCTGAAAAATTGACAAATGTTGGCAAAGAAATTGAAGAAAAATGTGGCCATCGTCCACTACAAATTATTGGCGATCTTATTGATCAATATTTACCCGAAAAATTAATCAATGAAACGATGACCAAATTCGGACGATTGGATTTTCTTGTAAATAATGCTGCTATTGGAACCACGGCCAAAAGTTTTGAAAATGAAAATCTTATGGCCGAATTTGATAAAATTTTTGCTGTCAATGTTCGAGCACCTGTTCAATTGATACAATTGGCCGTACCACATCTGAAGAAAACTAAAGGAAATATAATTAATATTTCCAGCATTGCATCGCTTGAAGCGGTATGTGAATGAATTCTAACAAAAATTGAATGAATTGATGTTGATAAATGTTTTCTTGATCTAATAGTTTTCCTTAATATATGGACCATCAAAAGCAGCATTAGATATGATAACGAAAACCTCAGCTCAAGAACTAGGACCAAAAGGCATAAGAGTCAATTCCATTGTGTATGTCAATTATTTAAAATTTTATTTTTTAGCTTTAATAATAATTCAATTTAATTGTCATAGTCCTGGACCAGTAGTGACCTCAATCTATCGTTCATTTGGTATAGCTACCAAACGCATGTATATAGAAGAGGAAGTAAAAAAACGTTCATTATTGAATATGATTCCCGAACCAATTGAGATTGCTAATTTAGCATCATTTCTAGTGTCTGATGATGCTCGTAATATTACCGGATCAATAGTTTTAAGCGATACCGGTGCATTATTGATGCAAAAAAATTGATTAATTGTGAAATACAAAAAAAACCAATGAAAAATCTGTTTCCATTGATATTTTATTTGATTATAAACCACTCAAAATGATAAAATAATAATTGAAGTAGCGCTGCTTATTAACAATTTATCAACCAGCATTAAATGTATCGAATATATTTTTATTAAAGCTGTTCAAAGTATCAATAATCTGTAATACAAAACAATGATGATGATTCGTACATTCATAATAAATGCAGTGCTCATCTGGTTGACCGGCTATTCCGAATGTGCCGATAAAAAATATGCACCGATTATTCAACTTGGAAATTATGGAAAAATACGTGGAATTGTTCAAAATGAAGCGATGGTAAATTTTTCAACAATCGGAATGAACATTTATCTTTATCAAGGTATTCGTTATGGTAAAGCCAGAAGATTTGATCGACCCAAACGTGTTGATTCTTGGTCCGATATTTATGATGCTATCGAATATCGTGAAGCTTGTCCACAATCTGGACTTGAGTCTGATAGTATTTATCGAGATATTTTAGACCAAACAAAAAAGATGGGTGAAGATTGTCTATTTTTGAATGTTTGGACAACTGAAAGAGCAATGGAACTGGTTGACAAACCAGGCCAACGACGACCAGTAATGGTTTTCATACATGGCGGTGCTTATAAATCGGGAACCATTTTCAGTAAAATCTATGATGGTGGAATATTTGCCGCTAATGGTAATATGGTCGTTGTTAGCATTGCATATAGACTTGGACCTTTCGGCTTTCTTTATACGGGAGATGAATCAGAACAGGCAAATGGTAATCAAGGTTTATACGATCAAATTCTTGCCTTACAATGGATTCAGGAGAATATTCATTATTTTGGTGGCGATCCTAATCAAGTAACCGTTTTCGGACAATCTGCCGGTTCGTTTAGTGTTTCTCATCTGATATTATCACCATTAGCAAATGGTTTTTTCCATCGAGCGATTCTACAATCAGGTTCATCCATTTCGGATACAGCATGCGCAAGTAAATCCCATGAACAATCGAAAGCCAAGACAATTGCTAAAAAATTGAATTGTAATGATAATATGACTACAATAACCGAATGTTTACGTGAAAAATCCATCGAAGAATTATTATCCATTCGTCTTGATCAACAATTAATGGCAATTTATGGAGACGAATTTCTTCCACTTCGGCCGGTTGAAGCATTGAAAAATGATCATTATAACATCAATAAAGTAGATCTCATGTTTGGGGTTACTCGTGATGAAGGTGATTTCTATGTACAAAATTCATTCAATGGTCACCATGAAGTGAGCTTAAATTTGGTACAGGAAAAGATTCGAAAACGTTTTACTGATCATCCATATGTTGAAGATGTTGTACATTTTTATACGAAAAATTTGAATGATTCGTCAACACTTGACGAAAAAAGGTGAGTTAATTAAAAAAAATTTCAAGTTAAATTAAATTAATGAATCGATACCATTATTTTATTGTAGGACTGCCTTATCACATGCATATGGTGATTACCACATAATTTGTCCAACAATTTTATTTGGTAAAGAATATCATCGTCGATTTTCACAAGTAAAACAATATTCATATCGTTTGATGGCACCGGTTAAATCGATATTTTTTGGTGACAAATGGAATGGCGTCGGTCATGCACAAGATATTTTCTATATGTTTGGCATTCCATATCGTTTCACGCAGAATAAATCATATACACAACAAGAACGTGATCTAAGTCGTGATATGATCAAAGCATGGATTAAATTTGCACAGGACGGTATTCAAACAACAATTGGAAATACAAACATTGAATGGACTAAAGCTCTCGATGGATCATCATCATCGGTTCATTTCATGGCTTTAAATTCGGAAAATTACCGAATGATTAGCGATTATTTCGAACCAATATGTGATGACTTTTGGCGTTCGAAAGTTTTTGTTTAAACTATGGAAATTATTTGTAATTAAATTAAATTTTCTCATTTATTCAATAAAAAAGAAATCGAACTATAAATAATGTAACGATATTTATGTTTTGTTTGGCACATCTGTGAGACCATTTTCCAAAATAATCATGAAATTTCATTCGATGAAACATTTTTTATTTACATTAAACATTTTATATAATTGTGTACGTGGTGATGGTGATCATCGATTTTGTTTTGAATAACAAAATGTTGTCACAGTGTTTTTGATATTTGTTTTGATTATTTTACAATGACCTAATCATGATAAATTTATTATGATGATGATTAGATATCAAAATATGAAAAAATTTTTCATATAAAATATCCACTATTTTCATTATTAGAACTCTCTCAAAATACCATTAACATAACAAAGATGTTTTGTCATTCAATAATAAATGCATTGCTCATCTGGTTGACCGGTCATTCTGTATGTTTCGAAAAATATGCACCGATTATTCAGTTGGGTACATATGGAAAAATACGTGGAATTGTTCAAAATGAACCGCTGGTAAATGGTCAAACAAATGGAATGAATGTTTACTTCTATCAAGGAATTCGTTATGGTAAAGCCAGAAGATTTGATCGACCAGAACGTGCTGATTCTTGGTCAGATATTTATGATGCTATTGAATATCGTGATGCTTGCCCACAATCTGGACTTGAATCTGGTGGTGTTTTTCGAGATATTTTAAATCAGACAAAAAAAATGAGCGAAGATTGTTTATTTTTAAACGTTTGGACAACTAAAAAAGTAATGAAACTTGTACCTGGAAAACGAAGTCCTGTAATGGTTTTTATACATGGTGGATTCTTTAAAATTGGTACCATTTTCAATAACATTTATGATGGTGGAGTTTTGGCCGCTAATGGTCAAATGGTTGTTGTCAGCATTGCATATAGGCTTGGACCATTTGGTTTTCTTTATACCGGCGATGAACCAGGACAATCTCATGGCAATCAAGGACTTTATGATCAAATTCTTGCCTTACAATGGATTCAGGAGAATATTCATTATTTTGGTGGCGATCCTACTCAAGTGACTGTTTTCGGACAATCTTCCGGTTCGTTTAGTGTTTCTCATCTGATATTATCGCCATTAGCCAATGGTCTTTTTTATCGAGCGATTCTACAATCTGGTTCATGTATTTCGTATGCAGCATATTCAAGTAAATCTCGTGAACAATCAAAAGCCAAAAAGATTGCTAAAAAATTGAATTGTATGGGCAATATGACAGAAATAACTGAATGTTTACGTGAAAAATCCTTCCAAGAATTATTATCAGTATCTTTTGAAGAAGATTTAACTTCTATTTATGAAAGCGAATTCTCTCCTTTACGGCCTGTTGATGCATTGAAAAATGACCATTATAACATTAATCAAGTTGATATAATGTTTGGGGTAACTCGTGATGAAGGTGATACCTATATACAAAATTCATTCACTGGCCATGAGGAAGTGACTGTAGATTTAGTACAACAAAAGATTCGACAACGTGTTACAAATCAATCAATTGTTGAAGATGTTGTAAGTTTCTACACAAAAAATTTGTCAGATTCTTCAACACTTGATGAAAAGATGTGAGTAATTTTTCATACAATTTTTAAATTTGTTGATTAATGAATCGATGTCATCATTTTTATTATATAGAAATTCTTTATCACGTGCATATGGTGATTATCGTATAGTTTGTCCGACAATTTTGTTTGGTAAAGAATATCACCGTCGATTCTCGCATACAAAACAATATTCATATCGTTTGATGGTACCGGTTAAATCGATATACTTTGGTAACAAATGGAATGGTGTCGGACATATGCAAGATCTTTTCTATATGTTTGGTATTCCTTATCGTTTCTCATCGAATATATCATTCACACAACAAGAACGTGATCTAAGTCGTGATATGATCGATGCATGGATTCGATTTGCACAAGACGGTATTCAAACAACAATTGGAACTACAAACATTGAATGGACTAAAGCTTTTGATGGATCATCATCATCATCGGTTCATTTCATGGCTTTAAATTCTGAAAATTACCGAATGATTAGCGATTATTTCGAACCAATATGTGATGGCTTTTGGCGTTCGAAAATTTTTGTTTAAATTATGGAAATTATTTGAAAATGAATTTTTCAATAAAGTTTCTGCCACTTGTCGAAGATTAATATAGTCTTTGAAGTTTGTTTTTAACAACTTATTTATTATTGAATTGAATATCAAACCTTGAAGATGCATTGCCACTACTTGTTGAATCTAGCTCATCGAATCAAAATAGAAAAATGGTGATAAATTGAGCTTGTTTATCATTTTAAGGATTTTCATTCACTGACAATACAAAATGGAAAAAAATATTTTGAGTATAGATATTGGAACTTCGAGTGTTAAAATTTCCATAGTTGCCATTCATAATGACCGATCAAATTCTTTTGAAATTAAATCACAATCAAAATGTTATTATGATACTAAACGCATACGTGCCAATAATCTACCATCGAATCATTCACAACAAAATGTTCAAGTAATCTTTGAAACAATTGATGATGCATTAAAATGCATGGAATTTAATGTCCGAATCGATTCGATTACCGTTTGTGGCCAAATGCATAGTTGCGTTCTATGGAATCATCGTTTATTTGTCGATCCATTTGATCCGAATAATCTAAGATTCGATATGATTAGCGACAATTATGATTGGACAGACGGCAGATGTGATGAAAATTTTTTGAAAACATTACCAACACCGATTAGTTTTGCCGATAAAGTTAGCTCTGGATTTGGCTGTGCTTCATTGTTTTGGTTGAAACGTTTTCAACCACATTATATTGATCAATTTGATCGATGTGGTACGATTATGGATTGGTTTGTATGTCTTTTATGTCGTTTGGATATTGTTCCAATTAGCATTCAGAATGCTCATGCATGGGCATATTTTGATCCAATCAAACCTGGCTGGAATTTAGACATGTAAGTCTTATGAAAAATTACCAATTCAATTAGAATAATTTTTTCATTTTGTTTTTAAAAAAGTTTGAAACAAGCTGAATTTCCAATTCATCTATTACCGAAACCATTTGAATCGAATGTCATTGTTGGACAAACACAATTTCAATGGCATTCAATTATTGAACCAGGTATTCCAGTTTATATTGCAATCGGTGATTTACAAGCAATGATGCATTTGGCACTTAAAGATAATCCAAATGCAATTGGTATGTTGAACATAATGTGGAGAAAATTATTTATTTTTGATTTCTTTTTTTGCAAATAACTTATGCCGAAAGTGCTGAACATGGGAACATCAGCACAGATATGTCGATTACTTGTCGATAAAGATGGTACTTTGCGAATACCTCGAAAATCACAACTACCCGTTCAATCATATGATTATTATCCATTTAAAAACAATGAATATCTATTGGTTGCACCAAGTCTTAATGGTGGAAATGTATTACAATCATTTATGGGTTTTCTTCAATCGACTGTTAAATGTTTAACAAATAATGAATTGACCAGAGAAGAAATCTGGGATAAGATTTTTCATAAATCTCCTGAAGAATTTTCTAATCATGATGATAATGATGATAATGATCAATCAGATGAACGTTTCATATCGATTAAACCAACATTGTTTGGTGAAAGACATGATTTAAGTAGTGTTTTCTCTGTAAATATAACCGGAGCAAAACAGCCATCATTATTCAACGTAATCAATTGTTTATGTATTGAATTAATTCAAAATGTATTCAATATGATGCCAAATGTTTGTGAAACGATTCGTAATAATTTCAATCAAAAAATATCGACAAAAATAATTTGTACTGGTAGTGTAATGGCTAACAATCCAATTCTTCAACGATCACTGTTGATAGTGATAAAACGAATTTTATTGAATGAAAATAAAAGTGAAAACAAAAACAATGATGAAATAACAAACCTGTTGACATCATCATTAATCGATATCGAATATGTTGACAAGTGTGATGCTGATGTTGGTTGTGCATTGTTTTTAATATCACAATCAACAAATGATACCGGTATAAATCAATAAAATAAAAATAAAAACAACCACATTGTCGTTGGAATTATAACACCATGTTCATATTGTTTTCACAGCTGTCTAAAAATATTTTTGTTTGTGATAAATGTCTGTTTAAATAATGAAATTCAAATGAATGGCTCAATATAAATTCAATGTTCCATGTGAAGAATTTGTCCAAAATCAGAAATTTTTTTTTGATGATCGTTAACAAAATTGTTGATGATGATGAATTTGAAATTTTTGATGTTATTTCTTAAAATTTTATTTCTCTCTTTTATTCTGACCAAAGGTATGTTTCTTTTAAACTAAATTTTGTAACTTTTTCTTACGGTTGCCCATCTTCAATTGTTAAGGTGCCATGATACGACGAATGGATGTGGATAGAAATCTTATGCTATTCATAAATGGTCGTCCTTTACCTGCATCAAGTTCAATCACTTTATCCACCATTCAAATTCGTAATCGAATGAATGGCCAACAAATACCATTACGAATTATGGCTAGACGTGTTGGTTGATTCATGAATTTTTTTTTTTTAATAAAATACACTAAAAAAATAGAATAAAATTTAAATAAAATTTTGAAAAAAATCTATCCTACTGCCATCTATTATTCAATCATTGATTTAAAAAATCAAAATTCAAATGATGCCATCATGTGGCCATGGACAGAAAATTTTCAACCGGCATGGATAGAAAATCCACAATTGTGTTGTGTATGCGTGGTGGTAGTGGATGATGATAACGTGAAACACAATATTAATTGGACGGCATACATTTGTAGCCAAATCATCATTTTACGTCTGATTATCGAATGTATTTAAGCTCACAATTTGATTTTCGACTATTGATTGGTTAATTCCATTTTTTTCATTTTTATTTGATCAAATCATCATAATACATGTTTACATAGTTTAGCAACAGTTCATCTTTATTAAATCGATTGATTGATTGATTATCTGTAGGTAAGCCATTTTCGATATCTTATCATTGTCATTGTCCCAGAAAACTGTTTTTTTCTCACTTTTTTTTTCTCAATCTCTTGACACTTTTTTCTTTTGATTTAATTTTCTGTTTATTTACAATGATACTAATTGCATTGATCAATTAGAATCAGCTGTTGTTAAAAAATATATAAAATCTAATCTTGAAAATCTGTTTCATTTTATGATCAATAATGATATACTATACTAGATCAACGTCAATGACAAATTAAATCTATAGAACAGGATGATCAATTAATTAATTATTGCATCAGACATTTTTATCCGGTTCTTTTGCAAATTTGTCAATTCGTTAGTTGAGATTAAAATTACTAATAAAAAAATTAATTTTTGTTTTTCTCTGTCAAAATTTCCTAAAAAATCTTTTTTCTTATATTGAATATACAATAAATATTTCCTTTTGCACAAACAAAAATAATCCTCTTTAAAGAAATATATTCCTTTTAATAATATGGAAAAAATGTCTATTAGATCGATACAATTATTGCTACCATCATTATTGACCAGAAAGCTGACAACAGGATCAGTAGTACCGATAATTGGTTTTAATATTCATAACAACAACTACATTTACGCATCCTTCAAACATCAATATCATCACTTGTCGTCATCATCATCATCATCAGCATCATCATCGTTCTCATTATCGATAAATCAATTTTCAATCACAAAAAGCATTTATTATAAACGGCAACCGTATTTTATTGGAAACAAAGTTCATTTTGTTCAAAATCATCGATTAAGGACGTTGGTAACAAATAAATCCAATTATAAAATGTCTACTACAAATTATTCTGTTGATCATCGTGGTTCCTTTAATTCTCTTGATTATCGTATTTATTTCAGTAAGTATTTCAATCAATTATTCTGGTTAATAGCTCATTTTTTATTTGTTTGTTTTTGTTTTTATTTTGATGAATCGATCCAATCTCCAGAAGATAATAGCAATGGAAAGATAATTAGTCCTTGGCACGATATCCCATTGTTTGTCGATAAATCGGCCAAACATTACAATATGGTTGTTGAAATTCCACGCTGGACTAATGAAAAAATGGAAATTGCTACTGCCGAACCAATGTCACCAATTAAACAAGACATAAAAAAAGGTGCATTACGTTATGTGAAAAATGTTTTCCCTCATAAAGGTTACATATGGAATTATGGTGCATTTCCACAAACATGGGAAAATCCGAATCATATTGATCAAGACACTAAAACAAAAGGCGATAATGATCCAATTGATGTGATTGAAATTGGATCACGTGTTGCTAAACGTGGTGATGTCGTACCGGTAAAAATACTCGGAACAATTGCATTGATCGATGAAGGTGAAACTGATTGGAAAATCATCGCTATTGATACACGTGATGAATTGGCCTCCCAAATGAATAATGTTGATGATGTTGAAAAATTATTACCCGGCTTACTTCGAGCTACAGTTGAATGGTTTAAAATTTATAAAATACCTGATGGTAAACCGGCAAATAAATTTGCCTTTAATGGTGAAGCTAAAGATCGTGAATTTGCTGAAAAAATCGTTGAAGAAACACATCAATATTGGCAAGAAATGATGGAAAACAAATCCGGTGAACATAAATTGGATTTGAAAAATGTAACTTTGGGTAATTCATTTTCGATCAATGATGAACAAGCAAAACAATTTTTGGAAACACGACCATCTAGTGATGCTGTTGAACCAACACCAATTGCTGATCAAGTGGCCATCGATAAATGGCATCATGTTAAATTGATCTAATAAGCCAATTTTTTTTGTCTTCATTAGAGAATATTAGAAATTGATGAAACAAATTTTTCTGATAATAAAAAATGGAAAAAGAATTACGATAATTGTTTGGTTGTATGGAAAAAAAAAATTTTATTTTACAAAATTAAGTTATGGAAAAAAAATGTCAAGTCGAGAAAAAATGATGTATTCATTATAAATGGGGCTTGTGTGTATTGATCGATTATTTTGTGCAGTATTTTCCGATGTGAAAGCTCACTGTTTATGATGGCTGTGATTGATTGATAGTATGATCATGATGATGATGAAAATTGTTATGTAATCAAAATGTAAAAAAAAATATTTAAAAAAAAGATGATGAGATTCCATTTATGTGTTGCTATATTGTTGAATGATTTTTTTTTTGAAATTTTATTTTATTTATTGATATTGTATGTGTTATTATTGTTCATGATTGTTTTGATTCAAATAATTCAGTATATGATGGTGGTGGTGTATGATTCAATTGTGGATAACCGACATGATCATACAATGGAGGCTGTAAATTATTAGAACTATCATAACCAGTTGTTGTCGTTGTTATAGTTGGATCCGGTGGTTGTGATTCATTGAATGATGGAGCCGATGGCATAACATTGATTACACGACCAGCTGGATCATCTAATAGATCAACAGTTATTGATGATGAACGAGTATTAGCGATAGTTGTTGTTCCAGTAGTTGTTGAACTACTTCGACTTTGACGACTAACATTACGACCTGAACCGGAACCACCGGTTATAATCGATGTTGGAATTTGATGTCGTAATTGTCGACGTTTTTTCTTATGACGTACATATTTTAATGCTAGTACGAACCACATTGCATAGATGGCTGTTATGGCATGTATGGCGAATATAATATCAATTTGACGTGAAATCAATAATATTAACACCAAAAATAAGCTATAAGTACAGGTTAAGGCAATCTTTTCCTTACAAGCCGACAATAGTCCACTGATACGGAATAAAAAGCCCAAAAAGATGCCCATAAAATGGGCAAATTGATTATGATTAAAAAATGATTCCATATCACGTACATTCGCCAAATAAAACCATATGTAGTGAATATGGATGGCTAGTACAATAAATGTCAATATGACATAGATGAATTTGAATAGGCCAAACAGGCAACCAGAACAGGTCATTTTTGTTACAAAATGTTGAGTTTATCGATAGGAAAAATTATCTTGATTAATATGTAGAAATTATGCTTTTCTCAAAGTTTTTCAAGCCAAATTATTGAGATAAATTATTATATTATTGTTGAGATCAATTGTATTTTTTTTTTTCATCAAATATATGAACCAGAATGAATGAATGGCAATGACAAAAGAAAAATCACATCATTTATATAGCTATGTAAATTTTAAGTACGAGAAATTTCCATATTACAGCATCATTAATGAAGGCGGTCATTCGACGTTATCTATTTTGTTTGAGATAAAAATAAAATACAAATGAATAAAATTAGTAAATGTTATCAAAATGAATCAATTTGGCATATGATTATTGTTTTTGAAATTACCAATCAAATTGTACATTATTATTATTATCATTTAATCATCATAGGGTTGTCATTGATGATTACAAATGATCTAACAGGAAATAGTTTAACAAATTCTAGGCCAAACAATTTTATATTCCACACATTTAATTAAAAAACAAATACAAACACACACACACAAAGACAATGACAGGAAGAAACACAAACAGAAAAAAAACACTGAAATGCAATGATCAAATTCAAGGCTTTTGTTGCATTTTCAGTGACAGCGATCGAGGTTTCGTGGCAAACACAAATCGATCATTTTTTCATGTAATGAATGGATGGATTAACCAGATATTATTTGTTCATTATGCTGTGAGAAATTGTTCATATCTCAATGGGTTTGAAAAATTGATTTTCATAATGAAAATTTATTGATAGTAGTGATTTCTTTGGTATTTTCTCACCATCATCATCATAATCATAATCATAGTTAGTAAGAAAAATTTGCAAACAACTTCTTTATGAAGATAAAATTTGTTGTTTTTGGAATAAAATAATGATATGTAGTTAATATGATGATGAAATCATTTAATGATAATGAAAAAGAACGCAAAATTCATCATTAATTTCGAAAACCATTGATGATGAATGTGAATGAAAGAATCATTTATTAAATGTACATTTATGAGGTAATGAAATTATAATGATCCTCGTGATAATGAAAAATGGTAGCCAATAATTGATAAAAAAAAAAAAAACAGAAAATAACAACTAAAAATTAACTGGAAAATAAAAAGATTCAATTCAAAGGGCAGTGTTGATGATTGATATTTAAACAACAGCAACAACAACAACAAAAATGATTATGTATACATCAACTGAGGTTTATATGGTTATTGAAACTATGCTCACACACACATATGACAATTCTGGCACAAACATCGATTTTAGTAGTTGATGAATGAATAATGAGAAATTCTTTGACTAAATAAAATAACACAAAGGAGACATCATCATCATCATCATCATAAGAATGATTATGTTGACGAAGACAACACAAACAAACAAGCATACGATAGATATGAGTAAATAATAAAAAGAGAAACAAAACAAAATGAGGAAAAACATGAGAAGCCAAATAAAAGAGTTCATTATCCTCATCAGGCGTCAAGAGGATACACAGACACACACACACACACACACACACTTCAAGTGTATAAGACTACTATATTATGTCATCATAAAAACGATTAAATCATTTTGATCTAGATTTTTTTTCTCCAATTCCGGAGACAAAATATTTAAATGCACTAGAGGAAATGGACATTGGATTTAAATCAATGATGACAATATATTGTGTTTGATGTTATCAAATATTGTTCCGGGAAAAAAAAGGAATACAATCAATGGACATGATGATTATGAATATATATAAAAAAAAATTTATGTCCACCGACAATATATAATAAATAACAAGATGAAAATAGGGGATGAATGATTAGGGGGGAAAAAAAGTAGAAAGAATCACGAACCTTTTTGTTTGTTTTTTTATCTTTTTCGTTCAATTTATTTTAATAAATAATGATGAAAATATTCAATTTTTGATTAAAAAAAATTGATGACATTTTAATTATTTTACAATTTCCTGGTTTTTTTTCTGACAAAAAAAAATGATGATGATATTTGTTCTTCAGTTTTTCTATTATTATAACTATAAACACGAACAAAGTAATATTCTCGATTAGATCAGCAAATGTGTTGAAAGAATATCATACTATATTGCCATGGATAAATTTGAGAATAATAATAATGAAAAAAACGACGACAAAAAAAATGTTTTTTCTGTTATTGTCGTCGTTGTCGTGTCGTATAATTTTATATTTCACAATCGAAATTGGTTTATCATTGTCTGTATGTGTATGTGTGCAATATCTTCATGCATCGATAATAAAAAACAGGCTGCATATATTAGAAAAATCGCGATTCAGTCAAGAAAGCAGCTGTTTTAGGGCGAGATCCAAAAAAAAATCTGTTTTCGATTAGTTAGAGTTAGACAAAAGAATGTAACATACGCATGTACATGTTAACGACAACAAATCAACATCAACTGACAGGTGTACTACTACTTACCAGTGGCGATAAACCGTATATATCATTCCATGCATCCATTCAAATGTGTTTGTTCAAGATACAATACCGCTACAATTTTTTTTTTATTTACATCAAATTTATTAACACTAACGACATCTATTGTTTGAAAATTGTAATGGATTTTATTCTTTTTTTTTCAAATTTTAATTATCAATCAACTTTATCAATTTTTAATTGCCTTAAAAATATAAAGCTGTTGTCGAAGATCAATCTGTTCAACTGATGATATTGTATCAGTGGCTGGAATCACTTTACAGATTCGTTGTTTCAATATTAAACGTTTTAATGTTTCATTAAGATGGCCAATTTCTTCATCATTCATTGATCGTTTTAGAAATTTTCTATACCATTTCAATGGAATTTCGATGAATGCTATTTTTTTTATTTACCCACAAAAAATCAATTCAAATGAATTAATGGATCAATATTCAATATCAAACTATTGAATACTTACATTCGGTATAGAATTTTCTTCCAAAACGTGATACAGGTTCCTGATATTCCATATTGATTGAATGAAAATTTCCACAAGATCGTAAAGACCAGAAAAATTTTGATACAAATTCCATTTCCGTTGGATAAGCAAGTGATTCATCGAGCAATGTTTTATCTAGATGATCATCGCTATCATCTACAGATTGAAGCCAACCACAATATAAAAGATTTCCGGTAAACATTCCTGTTGGTCGTAATAATTGTCGAATTGTATTGGCAAACGAATCAGTATCATCTATCCAATGTAATGCATAATTAGCGAAAATAATGTCCACTTTATTTTCGTATGTTGAACGAAAATTTTCTGGCCATTGTGACCACGGTTTTTCAATATTTTGTACAAAAAATTTATGTTCCGGATGTTTGGTTTGAGCAAATCGAATCATTTCAGGATCAATATCAATACCAACAATTTTTGCACCAATAAAATGATTTGCTAACAATTCAGCTGTATTACCTGGTCCACAACCAAGATCAACAATTGTCAATGAATCATATGTAGATTTATCGCCATATTTTTCACGAACATAATATTGAATCAATCGAATTAATTGTCGTGCTGGTTGTTGTGCATCAGCAGCACCTGTATCATATTTTTCAGCATCATAATCCATTTGTTTTGAAATTAATAATAATTCTGATGACTGACTGATGATTAATCAGAAGATAACATGTAAAGGTAAGAAAAACAAAAAAAAACAAAACTAAAAAAAAGAAAAAAAAACAGCAAAAACAAAACTTGGGTACAAAATATTTTATTCAAAATGATAAGTACAACAAAAAAAATTTTTTACGTTGCAATATGATTTACATAATCATCATTCTGATGTATATGTGTGTGTGTGTGTTTGTTATGGCCAGTTTATCATCATATATTTTATATATATGATGATAAACGATCAAACTACAGGATGTATGAGCAGCAAGCAACAACAACAACAACAATATATATTGTTTGTAAATGGTTAATATTTTTTTTTTTTTTTTATTGATTCAATCTATTGATATGTTGTTGTTATATACACTTGTTTTGAGTGTGTGTGTGTGTGTTGTACATAACATACCTGAACAAACACACACAAACACAAAACAGCAGGTAATCAATGATTGTTGATGATTTAATTTTGATAATAATGAAAAAAAACTACAGTATTTTATTAAAGGAAATTGATCATTAATTTTTTTTTGTTGTGTATTAATTTGTGATCAATAAAGTTGTTGATTAGTTCGAAATGAAAAGGTAAAAAAAATTGGATAAGATTGGAATAAAATTGAGAATTTCATTTTTTTTCCGTTTTCCTATTATCATGTCAATCTACTAGATATGTATCATTTATTCGAGGTTTTTTTTCCCATATAAAAACCATAACATTCTGGTTGGTTGGCAAGTCATTTTTCTTCGATTAAACATTTTTTTTTTTTACAATTCATTTCAAACAAACAAAAATGGTCAAGTTTCAAATTTTCATATTATTCGTCCTGATGATGATGATGATGATGTTGGTAACAACGAATGGTCAATATACAAAATCAAAAAATTGTTCCATCAATAATTTTGATCAAAGTTTTGCCCGTGCATATGGCCATTTTGGTATCGATAAACTTCGATTACCAACTACGGCTACAGAATTGAAAAAATATTGTAAAGATATTTCGGCAAACAAAATTTATTCAAAAGATTTTGGTGAACGTTGTCTGATTGGTACATCACAAACATTATTAAATCTACAGGTTTATAATGTTGATCGTGTTAATAAACCATATTGTGCTAAAAATGGAAAGAAAAAGGTAATTTTATCCGGTTTTTTTTATGATTTGTTTTTTTTGTTTGTTTAATTATTCACACATTTTATTCATTTATAACAGGATGCATTCATTCGTTGGTCAAAATGTGGTAATGCAGCGAAAAAAGAGACAAAAAAATGTTGGAATATAATGAATGAAGGTATGCATCAAGCACGTAAAGTGGAGAATACTAAATCACGTATACCGATTGTTTGCTGTAAATATTATGCATGGATCAAATGTAATGCAGCATCATGGCGTAAAATAAAAGAATGTGATAAAGAATCCATACAAGGCTATGAAGATCTTATTCATCGATCAACTGTTGATTCAATGAATCTTATCTGTAATCGTTTTGAAGATGATGAATCAAAATGTGCTCATTATTATGAAGAAATGCCCAAAACAAAAGCTAAAAATGTTCGTGATGTAGCCATTACTTATATTTTCGATATATTTGAATCATTATAAATAACGTATAATCATATTTGTAATGGCCAAACAGAATATATTTGTCAATCGAACAATAACAACTTTGAAAAATAAATAAATAAATAACAAATGTAATTCCTTTATTTAGTTTAAAAATTTCATTCGAATTAATGAAAAAAAAAATTTGCACCATGAAATGAATAGGAAAAAACCCTCATCTATACTATGACGCAAATAACACTACTAAATCGTAGTGCGGTGAAGCTGAGCCGGCCAAATCCTGCTTATTTACCAAATCAGCTAGTACACTAAAAATCGATAGTACACTACCAAAATCGATATTTGGTATGAATTACACTACCAAATCGAATAGTACAACTCGACCTCCTTTTCATTATTTGTATTGAATTTAAATTTTATTGTAAAATTAAATGAATATAAATAAATTATAAGTTATTTTTAAAACAAAAATAATGCTAACACAAATTGTATTATGTGTCTGAATCCAACATTTTATGCGGAAAATTTTTGTTGTCCAATGAAAAAGATATATTGTTCCGTTCTCCAAGTTCTAAATGTTTTCAACAGTTACAAATCCCAAAATATGTTAATATGGCAATTCGAATCATATCAACGGCATTGAGAGATTTGACTACATGGCATGTATTTTGGCAATTTTCAGTTTTTTTTTGTTTTAAATAAACTTTATTTTGCTGCATCTTTTGCATTAAATATTATAAAAAAAGAGAAAGAAAAAAAAAAAAAATAAACAAAAATTAAGATGGTAAAAATAGTCGAATTCAAACGTGAATTTCCGTGGTCATTGAAAAGTTGAAATTGGTTGAGATTCAATGCATCAACATCGACGATCTGATTATGACTTGAAAATAGGAATTTGTAAAATAAAAATAGTTATATTATACACACGTTCGTATTGAAATACATGAAATTTGTTGAACAATCAATCTACAACACAGTAGAAACAAAAGCTAAAAATGTTCGTGATGTAGCCATTACTTATATTTTCGATATATTTGAATCATTATAAATAACGTATAATCATATTTGTAATGGCCAAACAGAATATATTTGTCAATCGAACAATAACAACTTTGAAAAATAAATAAATAAATAACAAATGTAATTCCTTTATTTAGTTTAAAAATTTCATTCGAATTAATAATAATAAAAAAAATTCAAAAAATTCAAAATTTAAACTTGAAAAAAAATTTGCACCATGAAATGAATAGGAAAAAAACCCTCATCATTTGTCCTTGAATGGTGTGTGTGTGTGTGTGTGTGTGTGTGTGTGTGTATGTGTGTGTGTTGTACTGCTTTGCTATAAAAAGGTGCAAGAATTTGCACTTTGAAGTTCATTCAAGCTCATTTGAAGAATATCAAAACAGTCATCATTTATTTATCAGTGATCACTGTAATTCAAATGATCATCTTCAAAAAAATTATTTATTCTCAAGGAAATTGATGCATTTTTTTACACAATTTGATCCTTGAGATGAAAATTTAATTCAAAATTTCACAGTAATGATATTAAAAAAAATGAAAAAATAAATGCGCTGGCCGGGAATCGAACCCGGATCAATTGCTCACTTCAATTAGTTTGTTTTTCGAATATATTTTTTTAATATCCGAAAATTACACTAAATATGGAAGGCAACTATAATAACCATTATACCACCAGCGCCACTATCAAATTTTGTGATTGCGTTTTTTGACCACCACGCAAACAAGATACATAAGAACCTTCTACCAAGGCCTTTATAGAAACTAGGTCCAGTAATTCCAGTATCAAAAATGAATGAAAAAATAGTCCAATGAAAGTCAAAAGGGGAAATTCATTGAATAGATCAACAGATGGCGTTACAAAATAAGTTGAATGTATTCAAAGAATTTTTTTCAACATAAAAAATGATCCTTGAAATTCGCCAATTTTTTTTTTGTTTTTTGTTGTTGTTGTTGTTGTTGTTGTAAATAACAAAGTAAAGGTAAAATTCTTTCATCATATTTGTTCACTTAACTGATGAATTCTAATTTAGGATGTTTATATTTATAAAATATTCATGCATGACAACAACTTTTCTTTGACGGCCGACAAACCATTTGCCAAGAATAAATTTCGAATGCCGGTAACATATGCATGAAATGGGTGACAAACAAATCTTTATCATTCGTCGCTTGTCTGATGATTGTGATTGAAAATACGATTCTGTGATATATATGAACATAATATATTACAATTGTTGAAAAAAAATGAATTCAAATCCATCGCCATCGGAATCATCTACGACCTATTATTTCATATTGAAACCATTCATATGGACATTGACCTTATTACAGTTCACCTATTTCTTTATATCATCATTAATCCTATGGATCATACGACCATTAGCTAGCCGTTGTCAAACATTTCGGCTAGCTCGTGAACTTGATAAGATCAATGAAAAAATGCGAAAACTACGTAGTGATTATGAAAAGGCCACCAGACAATATCATGAACAATGTCAACACATCGATCAGAAACGTCGTGAATTAAATGAACATAAAGATCGTTTGGTACTACAATTGGCCGCAATTGATCAATGGTCAAAACAAGTAAAGCCAAAAGAACCGATGACAACGATAAAAACTTCAACAAGTGATATGAAAACAATTTCAACCTATATTAAAGATTATGAATCGATTGCAAAAAATGTTGATACAAAATCCATGGCTAAATGGTTTGATCGTCAATTTAGTTGTGGTGCACAATCAAACACGGTGATCAAAACATCGCCATTGTCTTCACCATTGTTGAGGTCACCTTCACGAACAAGTAATGCTAAAAAATCAGAAAAAATTTTGACAAAAAGTTTATCATTAGATCCAAAATCTTCTGCATCATCATCGGAGATAAAATTGATGAAATTGAAAAATCAATCAAAATTTGTAGATAGTAATGGCGATGGCAATCAAAGTGAGCAATCACATCCAGACAAAATGCAAAAATCTGATGATGATAAAGTACTAGATCAAATGGTAATAACGACATTGAATGAATTTCGTTCGAATGAAACCAATTCTGAATTGAATCAAACAATACGAGAACTGTATAATGATCCTGAATGGAAACCAATGATTGATCAGCTTCGAAATCAATATCAATTATTCTCTTTTATATAAAAAAAAGAGAATAAAAAAACGAATAATTCTTCTCAACCTAAATATGATTCTCGTAATTTTTCCTGTGATAATAAATTTTAATGTTAAAACGCTCAATGTCAATTTGAACACACACACACACACACACCGTAATTCAGTGAAGATGATGATGGTCATACATATTCAGTAACCATTTGGATTTCACGGAAAAAAAACTTAAACCTACTTCAAAATAATTTCATTTTACCTGTAAATGTTCATTTCACCTGACAAATACTATTTATCTTTCAATGTCAAATGATAAATTGATTGATTGATGGATAAAATAAAATAAATTTAAATTTCTAAACAAAATTCGAATAAAGATGTGAATTGATCGGTGAGCAAAAAAAAAAAAAAAAATCGCAACAATAAATATTCCATGGACAAATAAAATCGAATTTGAATTTGTTTTTCTTCAATCGAAAAATCATTTACAAATTGTGAACGTTTTTTTTTATCAAGTTGTCGATAACGATCGAATGTAAACAAAACAAAAAAAAAATCCATCTATCTATCCTTCGACTACAATTTCGAATAATGTACCTCTATGACCATCCATCCTATTTAAGTTAAGTTTCATTGCATTGAACGATTCCATTCATTTCAAATGATTTTTTCTTCACTCATTTTAATCGTTTTTTTATGGATTTTGTTTATTGTTTTTCAAACAATCAATCTTTTTTTGCCCGATGATATCGAATTTCGAAATTTCCCATATCTACAAATTCAATTGATTAGGCATTGTGTTCATATCTGCTCAAACCCGGTTTACATTATGCTATTACAAAGGTCAACCTAAATTTTAACCAAAAAATAAACAGCTAATATGGCTAATTGCTATATGAATAATTATGAGATATTCGATTGGATCGACAAACAAGAAATAAACCAAACAAATGGATTGTAGAATAATTCAATCGAATCGATAATTGTTCAGATAAAACTAGGCCAGAATTTTTAGTAGCTTGCCATCGTCATCATTAGTATCTAGTCTAGTATATAGGTGATCATCATCATCATGAAATCAAAGTACAGTGCCAGAAATATCTCCTCTTATTTTTCATTTCTTATGTGATTTTCATTGAATACTTTTCAAAAAAAAACATTTGACAAATGTTCAGATACAATCACAAAAAAACGCTTATGTTGTATTTGATACCAATAAGAAAATAAGAAAACTTGTTGCAGCAAACTTGTTGTTTGTCTAGATTTTATGTGTGATTCCATACAGCTACAACGATTGAAATGATGATATGATCACAACGATACTGATTTTTTTTTTATTTATTATCCAAAGATCATCATCATCATCAAATTCAACAGGTTTTTTTTGCAATGTTGTTTTTTTCAGAAATAAGAAAAAATCGAAATCAAGTATTTTCAAAAAAAAAAAAAAAAAAATGTGAATAGTGAGAGTTTCAAATGAAATGGAAATGGTTGTTGTTGTTGTTATTGATGATGGTGAGGTGATAAAATCATACCACATACACATATACACATTTTAAACTAACCGCATATACAAATGATACAATATTTGCCACGCCGATATCCACCAGGTGACAAGGTTCGACAAAGAACAAATTATGTACAATTTAGAGACACACACACACACATATTTATATATACAATTTATCCAGTACGAAACTTGTAAAGACAACAACTACATTTTCATTTGTGCAGATTTGACGATTTGATTTTTCTGTTTATCGTGTGTCCGTAGCTGCAATTTTTTTTTTCTTATATAAAAACCAATCGAACCATTCGACATCATTCGCTTATCAACATTATCATAGTCGTCAAATTTTTTTGTTGTTGTTGTTGTTGTATTGGAATTTATTTCGTTTCATCGTCTTTTTTTTTAGTCGGATCAATTAAAGAAAATATTCAACCAAACAAAAAAAAAAAAAATGATTCGATTTGCTATTGTGGCATTAATATGTGCAGCCACTGTTGTTAATGGTCAATATACTAAAGCTAAAAATTGTTCCGTCGATGTTTTCGATGAAAGTTTTGCTAAAGCATATGGTCATTTTGGTCTTGAATATTTGGAATTGCCTAAAACACAGGCTAAATTGAAAGAATATTGTCGGGATATTGCCAATAATAAAATTTTATCCAAAGATTTTGGTGAACGTTGTTTGACCGGTACATCACAAACATTATTAAATCTACAAGTTTACAATGTTGATCGTGTGAATAAACCATATTGTGCTAAAAATGGAAAAAAACGAGTAAGTTTTTTTTAAAATTTAAATTTTTAAATTTTAAGTTTAAAAAATTTTCATTTGATAATATAGGAAGCATTCGTTCGATGGTCAAAATGTGGTAATGCTGCAAAACCGGAAACGAAAAAATGTTGGGATGTAATGAATGAAGGCATGAATTTGGCTCGTAAAGTTGCCAATAATAAATCACGTATACCAATTGTTTGCTGTAAATATTATGCCTGGATCAAATGTAATAGTAATGCATGGAAAAAAACTGCCGATTGTGATCAAGAATCAATCGATGGTTATGAACAATTGATCCATAAAGCAACTGTTGATTCAATGAATTTAATCTGTAATCGTTATGAAGATGATGATGTTAAATGTTCGAAATTATTTGAAGAAATACCTAAAAAGAAAGCTAAAAATCTTCGACCATCACCAATTACTTATATTTTCGATATTTTTGAATCATTGTAAATTGTGAACATCATTTTTGTGACCATAATGATCAAATATTTGAAACATAATTGATAAAAATATTGAAAACAATCAAACCAAAATGAATTTGCATAATCTCATAATTGTAAACCAAATAACTAACAAATAATTTTTTTTTTGGCAAAAAAAATGTCTTTTAGACATTCATGGTGATGATGATGATGATGATGATGGATGATGATGATGATGATTAATAATAATAAAAATTGATTTAAAATTGTAAAACAAAACAAAAAACAATAAATGATTCAATTCATAACGTTTCAATTGTTTGTCGCTGAAGGATTTACGAACGACCAAAAAAACATTCATTTTTAAATGATCTCCAAGGATTAAGGAAATTGTCGATTAGGCTGGAAAAAAAAATTATACAACAACTTTTGCTTACAATGAATGTCATTCGTTGATTATAATTATATCAGGTATATGTGTGAAAATGAATTTCGAAATATCATAATTTTGAATATAAGTGAATTATGAATTATCACCAATAAAGAAAAACAAAAATTTATCATCAAAAAAAAAAAATATGTCCCAATGTATTCATGGTCAATGTGTTTGTGTGTTATGTGATGCTGCAAATTGATGTAAAATCCTTGTTTGCACTTAGTCAACTAAAAATCTTACATATATACGTTGTTTAAATCCATTTCCGAAAACATTCAGAAAAAGGTCGATCTCATTTTGTTGATACTTTTTTTTGGAAAATATTTATTCATTTTTCTATAGAAATTCAAACTAATATAGGGAAAATAATGATTAAACAAAACAAAAAACAAAAAATTTCGGAAAATTTTCTTTCTTTTTTTTTATAGTTGACTGATTTCTTCATCACTAGTTAATGTATCCGTTCGATTACGTATATTAGTAGGAGAATTCATTGTCATTGTTCCATTCGTTTGATTGGTAGAAAATGTGGTCATAGGTCGATTATTTGTCCATTGTGATGGCTGTTCAATGACTGTCTGTTGTGACATAGCCGATTGATTTGAATTCGTATGAAACAAACGTCGATGATGGGCATAAGAGCTAGCATTGCTTGAATCTCGTTCTAATCCAAAAGCCGATATTGCCGAATGTATTGAATCACGATGAATTTTATTTTGCATTTGTTGTAAATGTTGTTCATGTTTTCTGATTGCATGTTTAGTATTTTTACGTATCATTTTTGGAATTTTTTCAATTCGTGATTGATCTAATCAGTCAATGTAAAATCAATTATCAAATTAGACTTTAAAATCCTATATATATGATTGATTAAACAATATATACTTACCAGATTTAAGATTTTGCATCACTTCACCAAAAACATTACCATATTCACTGGGTTTGACATCATCAGTATCACTTGATTTCATTGAACCTTTACCATCATCATCGGTTTTATATTCCTCATCATCGGTGGTCAAATTAGAATCGGATATTCTATCCTTTACTTTGTTTAAATAATGTCTTCGACGTCTTCTTCGTCCATTTCTTCGGCTTTTTTCTCTGATTAATTGTGCAACCAATGAAGAATAATCAATTTGTTTTTTCTTTTCTCGAATTTCCGTATATGCCAATAGATGTGCCAAAGTTCCAAAACGGTGTATAAACATACCTGATGAATATAATTGACATATGAAAAAAAAAATTAAACATTATCGATTGACTTACCAATACATTGAATGATCAGAATAGCACCGAAAAAGATAACCAAAGTCAAATTGATTGGATCCATTCGAGTGTAAACAATATTATTAACATGTTCAATACGATCTTCATCTTCGTTACGAATTTCCGTAGTTCCATTCGTTCCAACTGGTACATCGATACCGAATACATCTTTATGGATTTGTAACATGAATACAAACAAAATGAAAATTATATTGACAAATGAGAAAGCAAAAACAAATTTATTACGAAGATCGGCCAATTCTGAACTGATACGATCTTTTTCCTTTAGATCTTCATCCAATGGATAAAGATATTTAGCGATCATTTTCTTCCAAAATTCTTCCTCACGTCCAGGTATATTTCGAATAGGCCATGAATTTAGTCGAGAATTACTTCGTACCCATCGAGGTTTTTGAAAACTTCCAATTCGAGTTGTTGGCGGCGATCGTCTACATATATGTTCACCAGATGAATTTTTATTCGCATCGCCTTGTCGTTTATCATTGTTATCCGATTTTTGTTGCTGTTGTTGGTTATGTTGTTCGCCTTCACTATTTTTATTTTCATTTTCCGCATTAGTATTTTGATCATTACCATCCCTTTCTGAATTATGATCTGATTTGGATTCTTTACTGATCAATTTAGCCATTTCTTTCATATGTAATTTTATATCTTTTATATCGACACCCATTGTTTCATCGACGGATGATTCATTCGTACCGGAACAACACATACATGTGAATAGGCCATTCTTGCTGGATCCAAATGTATCTAAATTCAAAAAATTGCCTTTCTTTTTAGCTGCAGCAGCAGCTTTTGCTCGGGCTTCTTCTTCTTCTTTTTGTTTAGCCAATTCTTTTGCTGATAATTTTGATTTCACTTCACGTGTACCCCACGAAACGACATTCATATTGGTTATAGAATAGATGGTCAACAACATGTACATGCTCGGTATGAATAGCATATAAATAGGTAAAGGAATGACGCAAGCAAATTCTTGTGGATGTAATACAGCAGCCACAATAAAACTTCCCATCATAGCTGAGAAGAAAAGTGAATTTGGCGAGAAAAAACCTTTCGTGTACATATCGATTCCAGTGCCAACCAAAACAGCTAACATTAACAATGCATAGATCACCGATAATACCGTTGCAAATGAAATCTTGATATTATTGTCTTCGAATTGAAGACAAACAAACAAAAATAATAACAATGGTATCATATTGTAAATGAGTGACATTTCGGTTGTTAATCCCATTACAGTATTCATAGCTGAAACAACCATTAAGAAAATTGTACCAGGTGATATTATCGTACCGAGCATCAAAAATGCCTGATATATAATATACAAATATGAAATGTTATCATTTGCTTTGACCGTTTGTTTATAATCGCCTAGTAGATCGAGAATATTGGCCATAGTTGATGGACCCCATCGACGACGTTGTGTATAGAATTCAGCAAAACCTTCCGGTGCATGAGTATATGAATCGGAAGCAGCACAATATTCAATACGCCAACCACGTTGTAACAATAGAGTACAAAGCCATCGATCTTCACCTTGATCATATTGGACATAATGTTGAGCTTGTGTTGGTTTAGTTGTATATTTATTCATGATAGATTTATCCATCAATGCACGAGCACGAAATAATGAAAAACAACCAGGAGAACATAGAACACAACCGATTACATGTTCGGTAGCTTTTTGCAACCAATGGCCCATAGCATATTCGAATTTTTGATACCAAACAATTGGACCTGATCCGATCGGATGAATTCTTCCACAAGCTGCACCAAGATTATCATTCTTTTTCATTAGATCAACAACCAGATCAACAGCTGCTGGTCGAAAATTAATATCACCATCCAAAGCCAAAACAAAAGTATTGTTCATTATGGTTTTTCTTCGTTTTATATCCAAATCTTTTCGAGCAGCCAAACGATAACCCAATAGATAATACATGTACATGCACTGGCTCCAACGTTTTCGGTGACGAATTAAATCCTTATCTTTTATATGTGCTATCAATCGATTGGTTCCCATTGGCATTTTCCAAATCAACTTTCCACCATACGGTGTCGGCACAATAGTAGGTGGTTCAAGATCCAAATTCTTACCAAAAACTTGATTGGCAGATCCACCGATCGTATCGATTAATTGTTCAACAAAACGATTGATGACTCGATCATCTACATCATCACCTTTACCTTGTTCGAATGCATCATCGAAGAAAATGTTCACCTCCATCTCGTAGATTGTTTTCTTAACGGCATCACCAAATTCTTTTTTGGCTATTCGTCGCAATCCTTGTTCATAATCCAAACGCATAACAGCTTTCAACATTTGAAACATTTCATTTTCATCTTCATGCCACATAGTTGCACAGATATAAATTCTAATCGTTTCATCGTCAGCTGGATCTGTTTTGGCATCAATCGAATCTTCTTCAACGCCCATAATCTCACAAACACGGCGCCAATCCTTAGTCCAATCATCTTCGATATTGTTTTCTGATGATTTTGATTGATTCATCATACCATCTACATGATTATTCCAATCATACATCGGATTATATGATGTACGAGGTAATTCTCCATCCAATTTATTTTCTAGATTTACTTGCGGTTTCAATGGATCTTTTGTATCGATCTTAGATTGTTGTTGTTCAACATCTTTGTTTGTTGTTGATTCTTCACCACGATCTTCATCTTCTGGTGCATATATTAATTTTAAACATCGACGATTCATTAAAAGTGATTGATCAATCATTACAGTATTGTACATTGGACTAACAAACAATTGTTCTGTTGATGCTAATCGTTCACTTGTTTCTTTCCAGATATGTAAAGTATTCAACACTTGATTAATAAAACTTATCATCCATATAAATGCAACGATAGCATTGTACCAATTAAATTTGAATACATGTGTTTCTTCTTCATTAAAGAAAATATATTGAAATGGTTTAAATATCGATACTAATTGACATTTATCTTGAAGTGCAATACTATTCAATGCCCATAATACGGATACGGTACATGGTACAGTAAGACAAAGCGGAACAGCAAAACTGATTGATTGGAAACAAACTTTGCATGTAAATTTGGCAAATGCATATGCTAAATATGTTATGAAAACATGTGCCACAAGAATCCAAACGGGCCATAATGCTGTATCAACATGTAGTTCATGTTGATCGGTATCCAATATAACATGTCCACCAAAATTTGTTTTATCACGAATAATCGAAACAATATCCGATTGAAAAGAATCGGTAAAATTTTTAAATATCATACGTGTTGTATCCGAACCATTACCATAATGTTCATTCATTATCATCAATGCAAATATAAATAAAATTTTCCATGGTGAAATTACGGCGAAAACAAAATATCGACTTTTGGTTAAATCATTTTTAGCATTGCTTAAAAACATTGAAAATTTTTTCATTGCATCCGGTACAACATAATTTTCCCACCATTCAAACGAAACTAAATATTATGGATATGGATATATTTGTATTAGTTGTGAATTTGGAATATAAAACGTTTTGTATACACATTACCCAGAATCATAGCAATCGGAATGAGATAAAAATGTTCACATTCATTATATTTATAATTATCATAAGCACTGATTGCTGTCCAGCAGATTATAAGCAATGTTTGTAAAGAAAAATTGATCCATGCTAACCATCGATTATAGGCTAATTTTAAATGTTCAAATTTTGATTTAGCTCGGCCAGTTGAATCTTCAAATTCATCGCTAAATGAATCCTCAAAAATACTTGATCCATCTGTCGATTGAAATGATTGCCGTATATCAAGACTAAAAGGTAAATCCAGTTGTTTTGGTGGCGGTGGTGGATCCACCAACAAACGTATAACACTCGGAAGGAAACAAACACTATTCATGATCATTGCACCACGTATAACATCCATTTCAGGTAGCAATATAAACAAAAATATTGACAATCCAATACAATGAAGAGTTTCGGCGACAAATACCTGGTGTAAAGAAAAAAAATCATAACCTCTCCTCATTGAGCCATCCATTAAACTTACCGTTAACATGGTCTGAATTTTTGGAAATTTAAACTTTTTAAAATAAGTAATACGAACACTTCGACCAAATGCAAAAAAATATGGTGAAATTGCAGCAAAATATAATGACCATACCCAAGCAATTCTTGTGATTGAATCCCTATGATAAACTACATTATATGGTTTATCATGATCCAATGGTGGGTCAATTTCAAAATGATCATCATTATTACAAATAGTGACTGTATGATTGACGTTTATCATCGATGTCATCAAAAGTATCAATGTTTTCGAACAGACAGACAATAATAATACCATGATGAATGTAAAGAAATATGCAAATAATTTTAACCATCGAATAGCCACTTCAACCCATTCACTTTTTTGTGTTTCATCTTCATCCGGTGGTGGTTCCGTTATGAAACGATCCCATTCAGGCGGTTTTTCTTTTGTTTCTTGTTTATTGTTCGATTGATTATTGTTTCCATCTTTATCTGAACCCGATTTTATTGAATCATTTGAATTTGTTTTTTTGACTTTCGTTCGATCTGAAAATGGTTGGCTAATTTTCGATTGATTTTTATGATTTGGTGTTTCCGGATCGAACGATACTTGTCGTGCCATACGTTTTGCATTATTGTTAGCATACATGGGTTGATGACGTTGTTGTTGTTGTTGTTGTAGTTCATTGATAGTTGTTTCATCGTAACTGTCACTTTCATCTGTATCACCGTAATTATCATATGCTGGATTCGTAAAACCTTTTCCATTCTGATCAAGATTATTGGTTGAATTTGGAACAACAATTGAACGGCCATTACCGATCATTTTCGAAGTACCGCTTTTGATTGATTGTTGAAGATTTAAATATTGTCCAGATGGTATTGTTGGTGATGATTTATTTGAACCATTTTCTTCATTGATTGGTTGAAGTTGAGTTGAATAACGACGATGATTGGAATCACTACCAAAAGAATTGATAGAACCATCATCATTGTGAATAATTGTTGGATTTTGATCAACTATAATTGGTGTTGGTGAAAATGAACCGAATTTTTTTCGATTCATCGTTTTTTGATTTATAAAAAAAAACAAAGTAACAAAGTTTATTCGTTATCTTGATTATTGGCACACAAAAATTTTTTTTTTGTTCGCTCAAAATACTGGTATTGATGATTAATTGAAAATGTCCGATCAGAAACACAAGAATCAATCACATCTATCTATATGATGTTTAATGACAATAAATAAAACCAGTGTAATACCAGTAGTTTGTGGCTGCTGTCATCAACAATAATCATACCTAAATCCTGGTGACATTAACATTGATCAACATTAATCGAATCAGATGTCGATTGATTGACAAAATCGATAATCCAAAGTTTGCAAGATTTAGATTCTCTGGTTACCAGGTACGGAAAAAAAAGACCTATAGTGTTGTTGTTGTGACGAGAACAAAATAATCAAATTCCCAGAGAAATAAATTTCGTTCAGGATTTCACATACATTTTTTTTTGTTCTATTTATCATCTGCATATCTTAATCCAATTATAATGTTATGTTATATTACTGATTTAAATTGATCAATATAGAAAATAATTTCAAAAAATGAACATCATCACATTATTGACAATTTGTTGATTTTCCTTCTTTTGACAATTATTATTATTATTATCTTTATTGAATCCTGGTGGAATTATCATTTCATTTGAAATCACATTTGTATATTGTTGTAGGGTAATAATGAATGGTCGATGATTTTTTTTTTTTTTTTGCAAAAAGATAAGCAATATTTTTTTTATTTATTTGTTTTTGTTTTCTCAAAATCAATTATATCAAAATCGATATATCTTATATCGATAGATTTTACATATTAGTTTTGTTTTTATAATTACTACTACTACTACTACTACTACTATTATCATTGTTGATAATTTGGCCACCACCAACACCACCACCACCGTGTGCAATCGCCACTGCCGTTTTAATAGCTGTCGTATTCACAGGTGATGAAATGATTATCATAGTTTTTGATGGAATGTTTTTAAGTTCCGGCAATGCAGATTTCATTGTTGTTGATGGACCTAAAAATAAATTTATGATCATTATTTTAACAATGAATTATGGACCACACACACACACACACTTACTTTGTTTGATGATTGCAATCGGTTTTGATCGAATCAATATTCCACCACTGTTGACATTAGCTACATTTTCATTCTTCGTTGATGTTGATGATGATGATGATGATGATGATGTCGTCAAATCGATCAATGCTTGTTGAATGGTAGTATCTTTTAACCAAAAATCATCAGCTATTGGTTGATAGAATTTAATTGGCTGTAATAAAATCATCGAATCTAATTGTCTATTAATTACAACCGTATCCAAATTGATATCATATTTTTTCATAAAATTTTCATGATTATTCAGTACAAAATGTATACACATTTGTTGAAAACGTTCATCCAGTGTTGTCGAAAATCGATCAAATTGATTATCATCCATAATCCATGGATAAATAGTTTGATTTTCAACAAGTTGTTTACGAAAATATCTCAATAATGCTAAAGATTTTTGTAAAGCGGCTACTGTACGTTCACCAGATTTAGGAAACATTTCGCTTAAATAGAAATATCCCAATGATTTATATAGATAGGATTTCATCTGACAATAATGTCGCCAATAAATCTTTTCCGTACATTCTGGACGATTAGTATTGATCATTATAGTTGAATCATTTAAATCTTCACTGATTGCCCAATATAATTGTAATATTCGTATAGTAATTTTCAATTGTATCCAACTTATATTTGATAAACGAAATAATAGTTCTTGTGCTTCAGCTAAACAATGATTTCGATATGATCGTAGAACCGGTTCAAGAAAATCACAATCATTTTCACCAAAATATTTATTGGATTTTGTTCTGTCCAATATATATTGAAACATACCGGCCGATTCACGTAATGTTTGTATTAAAAATTCATAATCACTATTTTTCCATACATCTTCTTTCTTGTTTGAATCTTTACTGTTTTCAGTTGACATCAATAATTCACATACAGATTTCATTTGCCAAATGGCTAAAATGTAAATAGTTGAACAGATTTCAAATTCAATATCATATACTATACAACGAACATTTGTATCAATGGAACTTGTCCAACAAAATCCAAACAATTGTCTTGATTGATTGTTGGCCATTAGACCGGCCGTCCATGATAAATAACTATTGAATTGATCAATTAATTTTGATTTGAAATCGATAAAATTTTCAATCTTTGTCACATCAATTTGTTCATGGAATAATTTCTGTAAATCATTTCGTAAGTTTCTTAATTTTAGACAACAATTTCGAAATTCAGGACATTGTCCATCTAATGATTGATCGAAATTTTCCAAATCTTTGTTCGTCTTTTTTAATGCTGTAAAACGTCGTGACCATATTGGTACTAGATTGTTGACATTTGCAATTTTTAAATTTGTTGCAGCAAATGGATCGTAATTTGGAATGAATATTTCGACACCAAATTCAAGGCATACATTTACTGTCCAATAGTCATGTAATTTGGGTAAATGAAATACAATTGGTCTAATAAATTTATCCAATAAATTAGTCGAACTAATCGTTTTGTTCATTGTTGGATTATTTGATACTAAAGCTAAAGTTCGAATCCTTATATCTTCACGGACAATATCCATGTGATTTTGAAGATTTTTAATAAATTTTTTCGCATCAATCACACGATTTGTCCATGATTTTGGATCATTTTTGGCAAATTCTTGTCCATATTTATTGTATTTGATGCTTAAAACATTGATACTTCGTAAACATTCATCAATTTTATGCCAGAAAATTTTCTCATCATCCATGGTCATTGGTGTGAAATCAAAATCGATTATCGGTTGTGGTTGTTTACGTTCCTGTAGTAACAGCAGATATTCCCAGGCTTCGAATAGAATTTTTTCATTAAGTAAATAGCAATGCCATTTTTTCAATCTACGTTCCAATGATGTTGCAATCGATTCAGATGATTGCCGAAATTGATCACGTGTTGTACGAGCTAAACGTATCATATCCATCATTGATCGTTGTCGTTTATTGCCGTTTGTTTTCCATGATGCTGATGATGAAGATTTTTTTTGATTACTTCCATTTTTAGTACTAGTTATTTTTGATGATTTTGATGCTTCCTTCTTCACTTGTTTTTGTTTACTTCCCATCATTGAAAGAAAAAGAAATTCTCTTGCTTCACCATTACATTGTAATTCATAAGCACGAATAACATCTGGATCTAAATCGGTACCGAAAATGGTATCTTGTTCACTTTGTATTAAATATCGACCTAAATTCTCACGTATAAAACGAAACAATCCAGCTGCTTGTAAAAGTGATGAAATTGGTGTTTGTTGTCTACGATTTGCACTTGGATTCAAACTAATCATTGAAGATGATTTCGAAGATGAATTGAATGATGTACACCATTTCATTAGCCATAGCGCATAATTGAAAAGTATTGAAGCCAATTCTACAAACGAATCGCCAATGATCATTAATTGTTTTTCACCAATCGAATCTGTCCATTCGAATCCATACATTCGACGTAATGGTGATGGATGAAATTGTGAGAAAAATTTTTCTGAAACACCACCCAAATCATGTAATGGTGAGATTGCGAATCCACGAAACAGTGCAACATAATTAATGATTGATTGATGTAATTCTTCCAATATACGCTGTATTCGATTTCGATTTGATTCCTGTAATAATTTCAATACTTTTTCACGTTCCAGATGAAGTTGAAGAAGAAGATCTTTAGATGATTTAGATAGATCAGATTTGAATAACATAAAAGCTTGTTTTTGTGTTGATTTCATTGCGTTTCGATGAAAATAGCACATCATATTGACTGAATGTTCAATGGAACCACCGTTTCGACCGTTTTCAATCACAATAACATTATGATGCTAGTTAGACGTATTTTAACTATTTCGGCAAAAATATGATTCGAATTATTGGAAAATAAAATTTTCCAATTATTCTTGTTTGTTGTAAATGGAAGAATTTTTTTTCTTTGTTTATTTGATGATGATTTCATTTCGATATGTATAATGGTTAAAATTAATTAATAATAAAAAAAAGAACTATGAGGTCAATTTGTTGTTGGCGATTTTTGTCATTCAAACATCAATGTTCCATAATTTGCGATAGAAATCCATTTGACTCATGGAAATCTCTGCACCACCACAAACAATGACCACTATTGGACCACCATTGTCATATTCATCGATTCGATTACCATTTAAATCTAATTTAACTTTATCCAATTCTTTATCTTTTGGATCTTCAGTATCGGTAATCATACGTTCAACCAGTCCTTTATATAATGCAGCTAAACATGTACCACATGCTAATCCAACTAATACACGATGATCATCTGCAAATTTTAAACAAGCTTCAGCAGCATCACAATCTTCAACTAAACGTGATAAAATTGGTGGTTCAGCTTTATGATATTCATCAAGAATTTCTTGGCAAACTTCATCAACCGATAAACATACTACTCTTGATGTCATTTTTTCCAATCGTAAACGTTTACCATTATTTTTGAGAGATACATTGAATGAATGGCAACCAATCGATTCCATGGATAGAATTTTGGCCGTTTTCCAGCCATAACGTCTACAGCCACGTACTAAACCGTTGATTAATCCACCACCACCACAACATGTGACAATAATTGATGGTTCTTCACCAAGTTCTTCAGCTATTTCATCAATCATACTTGAATGTCCATCCCTTAATGAAAATGAATCGATTAGATATAAAATATTCGATTCATGACACAATTAGCACTTACCAAATAGCTTTATGATCGAATGGATGAACTAGGAACAATTTTGGATCTTCTTCAGCTAATTGTTTTGCTCGTACAACCGATTCATTAACTGAATTACCATATATTTCAACTGATGCACCAAATGCTGCAATTGTTTCTCTTGTACTTTCTGGTGTCTGTTTGTTGACTACAATATGACATGGCATACCAAGTTTACGAGCTGAATATGCTGTTGCCATACCAGCATTACCACCGGATGGACAAACGAATCGTTCATATCCATTTGCTTTTGCCTATAAAATTGGATTTACCATTATTGAAATTAATTCATTCCAAAGACAAACATCACTTACATATTGGCATAAATTTGAAAGACCACGTAATTTGAAACTACCGGATGGTTGACAATTTTCCATTTTCAAATAAACAGGTCTATTGGCGGCATATTTTTTCAGAATAACGCTTTCAATCAATGGTGTTTTGATGAAAATTTCTGGTCCTGATTCAAGATTGGCTTTTTGACTGGAAAAGGTGGATGTTAAATTTTTTGACTTGTGACCATTAACATTATTATGGTGATGGTCACAAGTATCGGCTGGTTGTAATTCAGCTTTAATGAATGTCATGATGATCGCGATGTCTATTCGATACCAATAAAATGATATACCAATGATGATGAATTTCCGGAATTTAACGATAAAATTTCCTGAGATCGTATTCGTATTTCAAAATCAAATTTGAAATGTGAACTGGATTGGTTAATAATCGTCCAGTCCATTAGTTTTTATATATAAATTTTTTAGATGTTATGTACGGATTTTTTTTTATTCATCAATATCCACACAAGAACAAGAAGAAGGTGGTGATGGTTGGCGCCCATGATCAATAAAAGTTCACATGACCAACACGATGACGACCATATTAGTAAAAATTCGAATCTGGATCTAACCGCCGATTGAATAAATAAAAAAAAATGATTGTAATTCGATACGTCTACAATTCAATGATTTAGTGAGTTAGTGATTGATTAATTAATCAATTATCATCGATCATTGATTTCGATATTTTTTATATGAATGGGGAAAATTTGAAAATTATTAATTACAAACATAAATCAATTTTATTTTATGATTGATTAATCAGATTTTTTTATATATATTCAAACCAAATTAGGTATTAATCAGTTTGTTTGTTGATAGTACATTGATTTAAAATGTGAATCCGGATCATTGTCACCGATGATGATGATGATGATGATGATGATCAATATCGAGTACCAAATAGGGAGAGAGAGAGTTGGCTGCTGAATCTGTGAAAATAAGAACAAACACAAGACATATAATACTTATAATCAAAAAATGTACGCAAATACATCCAGCACGAATAAAACCCAGATTGGGTTGATTATGGTGGTGGCTGCAACAATCTAATCGTTGAATGAAGAAGAAAAAAAAAGAAAAAGAAAAAATTCAAAAAGGCCAACTTTTTTTAAGCTAATTTTTTTCCAATAATTGATCACAAGGTCATCATGTGTACATATTGAAACCAAGAACAACAACAAAAAAAAAAAAAATAAATAGAAATTATAAGTAGAAAATTTTTTTGTTACATTCAAAAACATTACATCTTAAACATCCAAAGTCAATGATACAACTTTGGATACTACAAAATACGGTAATTAAGAAAGATTTTTTTTTATTCTTTTGAAAAAATAGTACATGTGTCATAAGAAAAGATTCACATTATTTCTCAAAAAATGTTTGTATATTAAAGCAAAAAGTAAAAAATGAAACATAAAAATATTTTCAAAAAAAAAAAAAATAATACTATGGTGTATTCTAATATTTTGCTTGTTGAATCGAATCGATATATTCAACAAGTAATCTCATGGCAATAGAAACGTTTACCTAGATTTGTTAAAAAATTGGAATTATAAAATTTTAAAAATAAAAGACAATAATATATTCATTTACCTGTTCACCGATGATATAAAATTCACAAGGAACACAATATGGCTTAGGTGATACAATGCGTACATCTGATGCCCATTGAATTTGAAGTATTTTGATTGCATTTTTTCGAAGTATCAATGGCACCAATTTAGATGGTACAGGCAATTGGCATGAAATTTCACCATTTTTCGGTGTGATCAAATCTCGAAATCGTTGCAGAAAATACATGCCAGTTGCAATGATCAACATGCTAGAATATCTGATACGAAATGAATTTCGTGAAATGATCAAAAATGATTCCCGCGAACATTGTGGCGGTCGACGAGTATTATTAGTCATCCATTGATTTAGATGATATTGTGGCGAAATGATTTCAGTTCCGGTAATTTGTCGAATCAAACGGATAACTTGACCATTTCGGCCTAATTTAATATAATAATAATCATTTTAATTAGATTAAAATATATACTTCCTGTTTTTAAGATCAATATCAAATGATGACATACCGACAACACGTGCAGCCAGATATGGATTATTGAATTTAATCCCAAAATAGATCAATTGATCATCATTGTACAGACAATCATTGGAATGAGAATACAATTCGAAAAAATCTATCAATTCATAATAATCATTGACATATCGAAAAATCCATTTTGCAATCGACGAATAGATTCATCGAGACCATAAAATTTGGCTTCATCAAAAATTTCTTGTAAAAATTCCATTTTTTGAGATCGCCAAGTATGAATTATTGAAGCAAAAACAAAAGCAAATAAATTTTCAATTGGATTGGTTTCAATGTTTTAATATTAAAAAAAATGGATTGACCGATGAAACGTTAAGGACAAAAAAAAAAAAAAATTTCTTTTCTTCAGAAACATAAAACACGAAATACTGTTAATACACTGTGTGAACGAGACTTTTCATCCAATAGTCCCGACAGTCTGGCGCCAGCCAATTTCTATTGAATTTTTCATCTACAGATTTTGTTGCGCATGATAATTTTTCTGTATACCGCGTAATATAATTTTTTGACAAAATTAAAATATGACAAGCAGTGTCACCTGTCGCAAAAAACATTTCTAATTTATTATGGTATTTTTTTTGATATTGTTGTTATGGTTATATAAATTATTTTTTTAAAATTTATAATTCAATTCAATTCAATTCAATTTGATCCAATCGAATTGATTATAATCATTGTTTTTGATTGATTTTTGATTTGTTTTTTCATTCATTTTTTTTCATTTGTATGATCATCATTTACAAAGCACGTGATAACATTGTTAATTAGAAGCTTAATTAATAAGTCTGTAATGAAAATTTTATTTATAGAAAAAAATCTATATCCAATAAATTAACACCAGTTTGATTTTCAATTCATGTGTAAATGTGGAAATTAAAATGCAAAAATTATTATTGTTAATCGCTTTAATCGTATGTATTGTTGATGCCGATCAACAACCAAAATGTCCATGCGATGATCAAAATGATTGTAAACGAATAATGACCAATTGGAAGACCAATCAAACGATTGGTTATGTTTTGGAATCTGATTCAAATATTTGGTCCACATTCAAATGGAACAAATTGACAATGATTGCTCTAATTGATTTTCATCAACCAAAATTAATGTGTTTGGCTCATCATAACAAGATTCGAATTATGGCATTCGGTTTGTATTATATTATCATTATTTTTTTTTAACCACTATAAAGTAAATACTGGCTCATTCTAAAATATATAGGCAATTTTACACTGAATGATTTATCCAGTTCTGATAAGATGCATGAATGGATCGAAAATCGAATAAAAGAAGCACAAAATAATTTCTACGATGGTATCAATCTGTTTATTGATGATCCTGTTGAGCCTAATTCAACATTTAGTCAACGAATTACTGATTTTGTTAGTTTGACCACTAAACATTTTCATGAAAAATTACCTGGATCAATCGTTTTATTTAATGCACCGTTTAGTCCGAAAAATGAAAAAGGTTAGTGATAAAGATATATGAATATTTAATAATAATTATAAATCTCTCGTTTAATTGTAATGACAATAGGCAAAGCTGTTGATGGAAAAAACTATGATTATGTTGCAATTTCTAAATCAGTTGATTTGATGATTGCAATGGATTTTGATCAACGTAGTCAATCATTTGATGAACCTAAATGTTTAGCTGGTGCTCCTGAATCGCTTTACATTACTATTGGTAGTCTGATGGCATATAAAAATATTGGAGTTGATCTTAATCGAATGATACTAACATTAGGTTTCTATGTTGATGAATATCTATGTATTGAATATCATCAAAATTATCGTTGTATTATTCAACCATATAATTATCGTGGTGCAAATTGTAGTTCTAAAATTGCCAATCGTATACCGTGGAATGTTTATAAAACAATGATTGGACAATGTTGGATTCAAGTTTGGGATGAACATTCTAATCATGATATCTATACATATCTGGATAATTCAATTTATGGTCAAATTAAACAATATTGGAGCGATTATCCTGCCATTTTTAAAAAAATGATTTTAATAGATGAAAATCAAATGTCCGGTATTGGTGTTTGGATGTTGAATTATTTGGATGACAAAATCTGGTCACAATTACCCGAAAGACAATAACATGTTTGATGATTTTTATTTTAATTCAAACAGTTTGATGATAAAAATTTTCATCGTCATCATTATTTTATAAATTAAAATAATTTTTTTTTCATTTTAACAAAAAATTGAATTTTTTTTTCTTATACACATTTAAGTGTTGTTCCATCACAACGTGTGCCTTGTTCACATTCACTACGTAAAGAAGTACCAGCCATTCGTGGTTGAATCAATGTTTGGCTACAATCTTCTCCTTTAGCTTTTATTAGTAAATGATAAATAAATTTGTAATAATGATAATCAATCAATGCTTTAGAAAGTAAAATATAATAATTGAATTTTACATACCAAAAACTCGTACACAAAATGGACAGCAGCCACAAGTACCACCATTTTGTACAAAACGATAACGGCCATCCGATTTATTCTGACAATCTTGTGGTGTTAATGATGGACATTCTACACCTTTACAGAAATCTTCTGTACAAAAAATGGCTTCAGTAATTGGTGTCATTTCGTTCACCACCAAAATGATCATCACCATTGTGGTCAATGAAAATAGAAATTTATTCATTTTGAATATATATATAATTATTAATTGTTGTTAAGGCGCTCGCTATTGTTGTTCAATCTATTTGTATCGTGTAAATGAAGACCATAACCATTATTAATCAACATTTTATATTCATCCACAATCCATTGCAATAATATATATATGGTTGTCGATTCCAACATCAGAAAAAAAGTGAAATATCGTTATTTTGTTAAAATCAACCATCACGGTGATAATATTCGGCAATAAAGATTACATTCATTTTACACATGAAAAATTGTTTGGCTTCTCTTAACAACAACGAAAAATAACAATATTGAATTCACGACATAAACGAATGATGATTGGTGAAATGCATCGAAAATTTTCGTTAGATTCGATAAAATAGAAAAAAAACTCCGTCAGTTGAATTTTTATCACTACCCAAAAAAGGGAATATCATTATTTATCATTCGATGGTATTTCAATAATAATAATAATACTAGATTTACGATTATTGGACAAAAAAAAGACATCCAGTCGTTTTCATCTGTGATTTTATGATTTTATTTTGTTTGTTTTTTTTTCACGTCATTCTTGTATGTATTTGTCAAAACAAAACAATAAATGTTGACATTGAAATTGCAATGAGGAAAACCAAAATCCTTTTTTTGATCATAATAATCATGTTCAAGTGTCCGTGTGTAATTTATTGATTTTTATTATCATTTATTGTCTAACAATGGTTAGACGATTTAAAGAATTTCAATGAAAATTATTCCCTGTTATACGATTGACATACAATTGTTCGATGAAAATGGAATGTAATCTCAAAATAAGGAAAGAAAACAAAACAAAACAAAAAAAATCAAGATCAAGAAAATTCTGAATGAATAAGTTTTTCAATAATCGATTAACAAAATTTCAATTTTAATTTTAATTTTTTTTTTAGTTTTTGTTTGTTGTTTTCAAATATTTTCACCAGCTGATAGACCATCGGCAATATTATTCAATTCATCCAAAACTTTTTGTGTCAATTCCCATTTGATTAATACCAATTTTCTATAAAAATGATAAGCAAAAAATATTAATGCCAATAATACTGGTATTAATATCAATGATGCAACAATGGCAACAAATTTTCCATCAGTAAGCCATCTATCGTTATTATAATTATTATTATTATCACCGGCAATTAATTCATGTTCATCACTATCATCTAAATCAGAACCACGATTATGATCCCAGAATTTTACCCATACAATTGCAACTAATTCAAGCATGAATAAAAATATACCAATAACAGTGGAAAAAAACCATGCAATTGAAATATAACGACTCATTTTTTGATGCGGTGTTGAACCATAATAAATTGATGCATCTTGCATTAATTGTTCTGCTACGGTTGTTTCTTTGACAGGCGCTACAAAAGTTGCCGTTGTTGTTGATGGATGATTATCATTCATTAATGGTGTTGTTACCATCATTGGATCATTATGATCATTCATTATTTGATCATCATTCGTGCCTAATGTTAATACTAAATCTTGCATTGCATTCATTGATTCGATATGCGGTAATATACAGGTAGAAATCATCAATGCAATCATATGAACCGATACAAGCATTGTTGTAACTGTGATAAAAAACATTAACACCGGTAATGGTATCGTTGATGGTGTTGTAATGTCCATTTCAACCATAGCAACCTATTATGAATTACATGAGAATGTAATAATAATCAATATAAAAAATTTAAAATAAACATACCAAAGCGAAACCAGAAAGTAATGCTGATACCTGTGATGATTGTTTCAATTTTGCTCGGCTTAATGCACGTGTACGTGTAATTTCAATCAATGGATGTTTTCGGAAAGCTGATTTTTTTGGTGCTAAAAATGGTTTATTAGCAGCATTCAGAATACCATTAGAATGTTCTATTGTTTCCTGATATGATCTTGACATTGGACTCGATCGATAATGTGGCATTGTTGATGATGCCGCCGATGGTAATGCTAATAATGATGGTGTACTAAATAATGTTGACATTCCAATTGCAACGGTTGTTGAATTCATACGTTCATTCATTCTATCATTACTATTATTGACATTTTTTCCATTATTAATTTTTGGATGATTCTGATGATAAGCTAAAAATGTTTGTGACTGTGTCATATAAGAATGATTTTGATTATTATTATTGCTACTAGTATTACTGAATGTTGTTTCTTGTTCAGGATACCAACGATTATTTGTAAAATTTGCTAATCTATTAACCGATATTGGTAATGTATTGGCTGGATTATAATAACCTTTACTGCTTTTTGGATCCAAATCAATACCATTTTTTACTAATGATACATTTGATGTTGATGAAGATGATGATGATGACGATGATGATGATGATGATGATGATGATGATGATCGTGATGATCGTGGTGTTGGTGGTGGTGATGATGATGATGTTTGTGACATTTTTATGTTAGGAAAATAATCACAATTTTTTTGTCCAGTATGACCATCAACTGTTGACACTAAATTATTATCAATAATAATAATATTATCGTTTGTCTGTGAACTAGATTCTCGACGATGTCTTAATCGATGATCATTATCATTTTTTCGTTGTTGTTGTTGTTGTTGTTGATGATGATGACGTTTTTCCTCTTCCTGTTTTCCTAACGTTGATTTCGAACACGACACTGCTGTTTGTGTTACTTGTGAATGCTGTATGGATTGTGGCCATGTCGTTGATGGTTTTTCCAAATTTTGTTGTTGTTGTTGTTGTTGTTGCTGTTGGTGAATTTTTGGCATCAATAATTGAGCTGGCCGTTGATTATTATGATGTCGAGACAGTGATGACATCGAACCAAGTAATGTTGAACGTAATAATAATTTTGATGTTAAATTTTTAGCATTTTGTGCCGTTGTTGAATGCGTTGATGAAGTCGACGACGACGGTGGTGGTGGTGGTGGCAGTGCCAATGTTTTATTATCATTAGAACCACCATCATTACCATCATTTTTAACATTATTATCAGCCATATTTGTATTTAACATAATAATTTTTTTTTTTTTTTTTTTTTCTTTTTTACAGAAAAAAAAGTTATAAACCAAAAAATATTTGTAGATAATAACAATTTGAATCATAAAAATCAAATCCAGATTGGAAAAAATGCTGATAATTACTTGGTGAAAAAGGTAATTGAAAAATGAAAATAAATACACCCACCACACAAACAAATCGTTAATTAACCTGGTGAATTTAAAAAACAAAAAATCAACATAGAATTGTCATTTCAAAACAATTCATTGAGAATGGTTTGGATTCTTATTTTTGTCTCTTACCATTCATTTCGATTCATTCATAACAATATTATTTGGGTGGTTATAAAGAAAATTAACATTAAATAACGTGTGTGTGTGTGTGTGTGTGTGTGGAAATATTAATCAAATAATAAACATAATTATAAATGAAAGACAACTAAAAGATTAAAGATGACAATGGCATTGATGATGATGATGATGGTCAGATTACAATTTATAACTGCATATATTATCAAGGACGATTAATACCGAAATTACAATTACAATTTGGTTTTGGTTTATGATTACCAAGAAAAAAAAACCATCAACAACGACAAAGAAAAAAAAACAAACATACATCAATGATGGTGATACATGATTGTGAATTATTAGGTTACCATTTACGATTGTAATTGTAATACAATATTATATTTTCTACTACTAGATTCATAGGTTGATGCTGTGTTAATTAGATTGTAAAATTGAAATTTGAGCAAGAAAAAAAAGTCAACGATAATAGAAAAACGTTAAAAAAAAGAAAATCGAATGGATATATAGAAAACTTTAAGAACAAAAAAAAAAATGCCAACATTGATTGAGTATTACCTCGAGCATTTGTACAAAAAAAAAGAAAAAAATTTTTTTGATCGATTATCAACCCGTCAACGTAGACATCAGAATTACAATGCTAACATACGCACATGCATGTAATATTGGCGAATTGACGTTATAGCCACGATCCTGTAAATCATCATATACAAATAAACAAAAGCCAAAATATCCTCTCCTCAACCACCACCACCACCACCACCAACAACAACAATACCAATTATATCCTGTTGTCGTGGTAATCATTCATCATCATCATCATCATCATCATCACCATCATTACCACTTTTGTTGTTTGTATGATTGATAATTTGAAAAAAAAAATTATTAAATTCAACCATCATTATCAATATTGATTCAGAGATGGAGCCAAATTCGATGCATCGAAATTGTTGTTTATTTTTTTTCTTCAATATTTCGAATTGTTTTGATCTGATATTCAATGATGATCCAACCAATCATGCATATCGATTTTTTTTTGCCCAAAAACTTGAATCCAAAATTTCGATAAAAGAATAGAAAACAATTTTCGATGATGATTATGGTAAGGTCAATCATATTTTGTTGAAATTATTGTTTGTTCATGTTCATTATACTCTAATACAATTGATGATGATAATGATGATGATCATCATTGATTGAATGATCGTGTCCAGGGTGATGATTGTAAATAAATGTGATCAATAATAATAATAATATATAAATGAATCCAAAAAATGCATTCAATCATCAATTGAAAATTTCATGACAACAACGATAATCAATCGAATGTGATGTAATGATTTTTTCGTTTTCATTGTAAAATACGAAAACAAAGAAAAGAACGGAATTTACTTCATCTTCCTATATATATGATATAATCGTATATACTTACTTGTTATTGGCAAATCTAAGATGTACTCAACATCGACTATCAATTTAGAACGATTCATGCATGTCATGACATGGCAATTGCAATAACCATCATCATCATCATCATCATCATCATAAACTCATCAAAACAAACAAGAAGAAAAAAAGAAAATTATACCAAAGCATTATTAGAATGAATGTCATCGTCATCATCAATAATGGACATGAGTCATAACAAAATACCATGGCCCTAATCGACAATCATGGCAACAAAACATTGAAAATGAAGAAACAAAACAAAACAAAAAAATGAATCAATGATCGGATGTTTTGGGCCCATATTCGAACATAATGTTTTTATATGTTGTTCAATAGAATGTGATTTGATTATAAATTTAATTTTTTTTTCTTAAAATCTCTAATTTCATTTCAAATCAATGATGATTATGATAATCATAATTATGCTCGAAGGCAATAGCAAAATATTTGTTCTACAGAAAAATTTAAAACACACACACACACACATATCAAAGCCAAAACGTTTATGAATCCATCCAAAAGGATTATTATCATGATCATTATAATCATTCGAATAGATAAGATAGTACCAGTTAAAAAATTTGGCAATAATACCGGCTTTAATTTTGCCTGTAATCTAAAATCTTATTTATAGGTAATATAATTGATGAAACAAATTAACCAGTCTTTTCTAATAAATTCATTTCAATCTATTTTCAGATACATAATGTTAATACAAATCAATGAAGTAAAAAAAACAAAAATCAATCAAACAGGATAAATGATGACAGTGTGATTATAGTAATAATCATTAACGGTTTTCTTCGCATGACATAAAAAGTCAAATTTAAAAAAAAAGAAAAAAATGAATGAATTTATTAATCCTACAAGAAATAAAAACACATCGAATGTTCATAATCCATTGGAAGAAAATCCCCATTACCTGTCATAAAATGTTGTTGGTCATCATCATTTATATACGATATTTGTATATGTTTGAATAGAAAATCAAACAACAACAACAGCGAAAAAAAAATCATTTGCCACATACACACTCATATATATTGGGGACAATTAACGGTATAATTTACTCATAAATATCAACAATTTGAATGAATAATGAAAATGAAAAATTCAATGGTTGAATATTTCTACTTGTTTTCATTGAATTTCATATGGTATGTATGTTTTTCTTTTCTTCCTCTCAACCATGATTATGATTATGATCATGATGATGATAATATGATAATAATAATAATAAATGGTAAGCCATTATCACCACATTAGAATCGCATGCACACACACACACACATACATACACATTTCATATATTTTGAATCCTTTTTAATGAAACAAATGTAAATTAGCTTTAAGCAAGATTTTCTTTTTTCTATTCATAAAAATAGTGAAAAGTAAAAAAAAACAACAACAACAATGGGCAATCAATCTCTTTTACCTGCTTTGTATGTGTAAGTTATTTCATAATTCAATTTAAATAACGGTCCTGACCATACTTTTTATATTGATGAAAAAAAAAGAAATTATTTTCAACCGAAACGAAAATTTTCTTTTTACAGCAATAAAAAAAATGAGAAACTACCGGAATCATAAACTAAAATTTTCACATAAGATTAACAACAACAACAACAACAACAACAAGTAGGATGTCAAATAGATTTTTTTATTATTATTCAATTTGTGATTACGACTCAATCATCATCATCGTTGTTGTTGTTGTCCATCATCATCGTCATCATCATTATCATCATGATGGAATTGCTAATGTAAGTTTCTTATTTATATGTATATATGGAATGATTGAATACAAATTTTTCTTTTTATTTTATTTTTTTTTGTTTAGTTTTTTTATCTGAAACTGACTGATTAATACACTCATACATATCACACCTTTGTTATTGTGTATTCATTTTATCGTAGTCTTGTTGTTGTTTTGGCTACTTGAATTTTTTTTCCTATCATTTTATACTTAATCCATTCAACAACAACAACAACAGTAGTAGTAGTGGACACAATTGAAACGAATGATCCAATGATTAATGCGGTTGTTATTCAATGATTTTTGTTATCATCCACACACACACACACACACACGAATGTGATTTGAGAAGAAAAAGTTTTTGAATACCAAACGCGAATGACGCGATATGACCGTATATGTTTTTATTTTTATTTTTTTCTTATTTTTCAATCATCAATGGGCAATAATCACATTACACATCAATACATTGTAACCTTGATGGTATAAGGGATTATCTTCTATCAAAACAACAACAACAACAACAATAACAACAACAAAAACAAACGAAATGAATTAATGAATGAATCGAATCTATCTTTGTGTACATTTCAACAATTCATTTCATTTTTTTTATATCTTTAAAAAAAATGATGATGATTGTTGTAAATTTAATGCCCACTTCACCATTTTTTTTACGACTATAAAAAACATATATATACATACACACACAGAACCATGATCACACGACCATCAAACAAGTATCCATTTGATGATGATGATGATGATAATGAGTGGATAGAATTCGAATTGAAATGATTCGAATATTATCTTATTATTTACCACCACATTTCAATTACAAATACTATCAGTAACGAGTTTTCAATGCGACAAGAACTTGAATGTGAATCCAATTTGCTATTATTAGAAACAAAAAAAAAGTATTTTTCTTGCAAAAAAAAACATTTAAAAAATTTTTTTTTCCAATAACTGCCATTTTATTTTTCTTTTTTAATTGGAAAAAATTTTTTTAGATTTTGCCTTTACTTTCAAATTCAAAATTTCAAATCGAATCGAATCCAATCATCATAATCAAAAATGATGGCTCATATTTCGTTTGATCAGATAACATCAACCGTGATGATGATGATGATGATGATATAAACTTGTTCACATAGCTCCATAATAATGTTTGATGATGGTTTTCATTGGAAGAAGAAGAAGAAGAAAAAAAATCTGATAAGGATATTACTACTACAGTGTGCAGTTTTGGAATGATGATGATTATTGCAATTAAGATCAGAAAAAAAAACCAAAAAATGTGGCAAAAAAAATGAATTCCAAACTATAAACTAATCCAGGACAAGTCATTTAAAATATAATGAATGAATGAATTGATGAAAAAGTTGAATTCATTCATTCATTCATTTTCATTTTTTATTCACTCTAATTGAAAAATCCATCCAACAATCGGTTGTCATTTATTCTTGATTTTCATCATCTTTAGCCTTTTTTTTCCTGTCTACATATATCTTGATATAATAGATGATGATATACCATACCATATACTCTAATTATCATTCTAAAATGATAACGGCAAATAATATGCCCGAAGAAATAAAACTTGAAAAAAAATGATCATCATCAGACAAGTTTAAATTTAGAACATTTATTGTCGAAAAAAACTTGTCTAAAAGAATTTCTAGATGATTTTAAATACGGGAAGAAAAAATGAAGCAAAAAAAAAAAAAATTCAAATGAAATGAATCGAAACCAAGTTTTACGTGAAAAGTATACATAGGAAAAATTCAGCCTTGAAGAATCAATTTGTCAATTTCTTTAATTTTTTTTTTTTTTTTTGACAATCGCAAGTCTGCCAAACAACTCTAACTAGAATTTTGTATTCTATTTCCTTGAGTAAAAAAAAAAAAAAAAAATTCTTGAAATCAAAAAAAAAAATGAAAACTATCTGTCTTCACTCTATATACTAATTGACTATTGAGAGAGGTAAACTAGAAATGTAATCCACTCGAAATGCAGAGCCGCCACCGCCACCGTCACCACCACCACCACCACCACCAACACTGCTTAGCAGATAATGATGTGTCATTTTATTGATTTTAGTCAGTTAAATGAATGTTGTTGTTTTCTTGAGATTTTGAAATGCTAAAATTTTTCTTATGATCATCATCATCATCATCATCATCAAAGAGACAAGACATCATCTTCGTCAAGGAAAACTGATATCTCACACGCACCACCTATGCACACACGGATAGCAAAAAAAAAAACTGCTTCTTAGAGATGATAAATGAACAAATTTTGATTTCAATGAATTCCATTACCATGATGAATATATATGTCATCATACTTGAAGATCGGGAAAAAGAGATGGAAAAAAAATTATTTATTGAATTAATGGATGCAAAATGATAAAAAAAATTTAAAAATTCAAGAAATGAGATTTAATAAATAAATAAAATTAAAACGAAAAAAAAATCACTTATCATTATTTACAATCTCATCATCATCATCATCATCATCATCATCAGAATTTTTATTTTCTTCGCTTCAATTGAATTTTATTTTCTGGTCTCTTATCTATATATGGTTGTCGAGATGATGATGATGATGATGATGTTTGTTTTCATCGTCATCATGTTGTTGTTGTTGTTGTTGTTGTTGTTGCTTGTTCACATATCCACCCTACCATTTATTTCATGAATTTGTTCATTTTTAATTCATTATAAACGAATATATTAATTAATTCACCGCAATCTGATGAAAGAAAATCTTGAAATGGCCATCACATTCATTCATGATGATGATGATGATGATAATGTGTTGTTGTTGTTGACGTTGATCATTTTTATTCATCATAATTCGAAAATGTCATCATCATCATCAAACGATGACAAACATTTGAGAATTTGCTTCAATGTCTATTGGAAATTTTTCGATCTTCTTTCCACATCCACAGGTATCAGTCAGATATATATATTTTTTTTTTTTTTTGGATATTTACAAGTTTGAAAAGTAAATTGGATTTCACTTCTTTTTTCTTCTTCATAATCAACATCATGATCATCAACATCACCATCATCGTTGACCATAGCAATAAGTAGAGAAAAAAAAGCCAAAAGGTCAATATTGACGATGAAGACAGGTAATGAAGAAAAAAAAAAAAAATAAATAAAAATAAAATAAAAAAAAACAAGTAACATTTTGCAAAAAAAAAAGTTGAAATGCAAAAAATTCACTTGTTGCTGCTATACACACATTACGGGCGGCCACGTATGTCTGTGCGCTGTTGAGAAAAAAAAATTAAAATCAATCAAGATAGAAGTAGAAGTGAATATATGAGATATATAGGAAATGGAGAATTAGAGATAAAAATAGGAAAAGAAATCTTTTTTTTCAACCATAGAATTACCCTGAAAGTGATCATCAATTGAGGGCCATAAATCTTGTCAACCACCACACCATCAATGCTGTTTTTTTTCCTCTTCGAAAGGAATTTATTTATGTAGAAAAAAAAACTTTTTTCGGCTAATTTTTTTTTTAGAAAAAAGCTAGAAACGAATGAAATAAATAATGAGATCGTCGGTATTGATAGAGGAAAAAAAATTTTTTTCCAAAGTAAAAAAAAAAATTCGATGAATATTTCCACATTTTGAATCGATTCAGTCGGACTTTGATATAAAATTGGTTATCAATTTTTTTTTTGCATTTAAATGATTTAACCATTGAAAAATGTGTATACGTGTGTGAGCGTGCATGTATGAACGGATTGAGATGATATGTTTTCTGGTCACAAAAAAAAAAAATGGAACCAGGTAAACAAAAATCACAACAAAAACGTTTGGCATACACACACACACACACACAAAAACATACACATCATTTTTCCGGTAAAAAAAATTTATATTCAAAGCACAACTGAATGAGTCATAATGGGTGATTGAATTTGAAAATTGAGATGCAAAGTTGATATCGATGATCATGATGGATGGATATTTTTTTTACTGTAGTTTTTTGAAATTTTTCAAAAGAAACAAATTCATAAAAAAAATTGCAAAATTAACCAAACTTACCCGAGCTTACAATTGGGTGGATATAGATTCGAATCGTCGAATATTATTCATCGATGATGATGATGATGATGATGAACATTTACACAATGTTATTGGCAATGGTTTTCTACTACACTGTTTTTTAATCATCATCGATCATCATTAATTTTTTTTTTTTTTTTGTTAAACGCCAACACCATCATCATCATCAGCAGCAGCATTAACTAACCAACCAATCAACCACAAACCGACACCAACACCAAATATAAAATGATTATATTATAATCGTCACCATCCATTGGATCTTCAAATATACAATCTATAACCAAAGAGAGAAAAAAAAGAAACAACAAAATATATCATCATCATATAATATAATATAAAAACAGAAGCAAAGTAAAAGGAAACAACAACAACAACAACAACAACAAAAAAATCATCGAAAAGTAACAGGCAAAGTAAAAAAAAAATGTATATGATTGAGTCTGATTAATTATATATATAGCTAAATTTGTATATATAATGCCGGCGTCAACGTCGGCAGCAATAGTGATGATGATGGTGAATGTTTTAATAATTTTTTTTGTTCTATCCACAAAGCACACACACCATAACTCTGTAAAAAAAAAGTTTCGAGGATAAATAAATACTGAATATAATATTGAGAATTATAAAAAGAGACCAAAAAAAAAAGAGATCTGGATGTTGTGATTCGATTGGATACAAAAATAAAAATAAAAAAAGGGAAAAAACATTGAACATAGAGAAAAGCAACAAATTCAACCTAGAAAAAAAAGGAGGATATGAAAACGGGAAAAAAAAGCCAGTGAATAAAGGAAATTTTGATCATTCTCTTTCTTCGATATTAAATTTTTGTTGAGATTTTATCATCATCAACAAGAAAAAAATATCATCATTGATTTGATGACGAGAAATAAAAAAAAAAACAAAAACAAATGTGACGTTACCACGTCACCACAAATGTATTTTTTTTTAGCAATCAAAAAAAAAAAAAAAAAAATTTCATGATGATCGATAAAGGTAAATTTTATACATACTAATTTTTCAGGTCGATATTTTACATGATTCGGAAATTTTGGATCAAAAGAAAAACTCCAGGATCATCTCTCTCTCTCTCTCTCTCTCTCTCTCACTATCATCGATGAATTCTAGTAAAATAAAAAAAAGAGAATAGAAAATCTGCTGTGAAAACATTCTGTTGTTGTTGTTGTTGTTGTATTCATTAGTTGTGTTTGAAAAAGTTGATTTTTTGTTTGTATATATGATCAACACAGGATGATGATGATGATGATGATGAAAAATATGGAAACGTGTTCGATTCGATTCGAAATCACATCATCGAATGTTTGTCGATGTGTTTATGTGTGTGTATGGATATCTTTTGAAAGATGAAACAGAAAAAAAATGGTTACTTCGACTGTGTGTTGGCTGTTGTTGTTTACCACCACATCATCATCATCATCATCAACAACAAAATGTAGAAACATACTGAATTTCTATCTCTCTCTCTCTCTCTCTTCAAAAAAAAATTTCGAAAAAAAACCTTCCATTGATGTGAATCTGTGTATATAATAAATGTACTTGATGATGGTATATAGTGAATGTTCAACAATTTCAATGTTGAATATATTAATCTTCTGTATGTACAACAACAACAACAACAACAACAACACATGCAAACATATACACAACACATATAGTGAAAAAAAAAAAAAAAGCAGACATACCAATATCAACAGAGGACTACCAAGTCAGCAAATATTATCATCATCATCATTGCCGACAACAACGATGAAGACCACGACCACGATGACGACGACAACAACAACAACGTCGAAATCTCTCGTGAAAAAAAAAAAAATTTCGAACCGAAACGCGAAATTTTTTCTTCTTTTTTTCTATTGAAACAACAACAACACACAGAGAGAGAACAAAATTTAACAAATGAATAAATTAAATGAATATAATATATTTGGCAAATGAGGAGGAAGGAAAAAAAAGATTCCGTTTTTTTTAAAGAAAAAAAAACATATTTCCAACATATTAACAATATATATATATATATATATGTTTGGTAATGGCTACAATTAATGTAATTTTGTTTACATTTTATGATAGTAGCAATTTTTTTTCTTTTTTTTTGAACAATAAACATAAACTAGAAAAAATGATAGCAGCATTAGTAACAGTGAATAATAATGTGAATGCAACAAGTATACAAACAAAAAAAAAAAGTGTATGAATTTTACATTCAGACTACAACCAAATCGAATCGATCGGTATAGTCATGCTTTTAACATATATTATAACAAATATATATATATACAGGAAACGAATGATTCGAATTTGACCAAAAAAAAAAAACACCAAAATGAACGTGTTGGTGTTTTCTTCTATCAACAAAAAAAAAATTAACCATAAAAGCATTTATTATATTGTATAGAATCAACATTCATGATGATGATGATGACAAAATGTCATTGTCAATGGTAAATTCTATCGTCAAATGAACCTACATGTTGATTTGATAAACGGAAATCGAATCAAACAAACAAAAACAAAACATAACATACAGACACATGGACACAAAAAAACAAATGGAAAAAAGATGGCTAAATTTAATAATTGCAAGCAGAATGAGTTCTGTTGATTCGCGAATCAATTTATTTGCCAAAATGTTCGATTTGATGGAAATGATTTTTTTTTCATTTAAAATGTTGATGTATAAATGATTATTCGAATTCAAATTTGATGATGATGATGAGGAAGAAGAAAAATGAAAATAATTTTTTTTTCACCTTGATTATCAAGTGCAAGGTATTTTCAAACGATTTGATCTGGTATCATCATCATTTGGATTTGTATTTTTTTTCTTATTAATAATTCGAATTAGCCTATGGCTACAAGAAGAAGAAGAAATTCACCATGACCAATATCATTGATGATGATCGTTGATGATGATAACACAGAAACAAACACACACATAAACATGTATAATAATTCAAATAGTACGTATATCGTATTCGAAGATAAATAAATTTTAAATGAATTTTCAAGTATTTGAAGCATCATCATCATCATCAGAAAAAATAAATTCAAGACAAGTTTGTTGTAGATGATTGGCAATGATCATCAGTGTCATCATTGCCAATAAATATACTCAATATATTGTATCATCAATATGATGATGATGATGATATTTGGCTGACTGATTCTTTTTTTTCAAAATTCTTGAGAAATGATTCGAATTTTATCATCAGAGTAAGACGTATGTAGAAATTTCGAATGTCTGTGTATGCGGTGTGTTCATAATCATCATAGGGTACTTATGGAAAAAAAACTCACCTGGAGATTTTTTTTTTTTTTTGTTTTCATAATCTCGTCAGCAACAACACAAGTCGAATGATAGCACTGAGTGGTAAAGTGGAGAGAGAGAGAAAGAAAAAAAATAGAGGACATTATTTTAAATCAGCAAAATCACTTTTTTTCGAAAAAAATTGACGAAAAAAAAAAACCAACCATCAACAAACTCACTTGATCGGCGTAAAAATTCATTTTCAAGTCGTAAAACATGTTTATTTTGCTCCCCACCACCACCACCATCATTATCATCCCTCTTTGCATTTAAAAAAAAATTACAAATTGACATTTCCAAAAAAAAAACACGCACGCTGGACATTTTTTTTTTTCGTCGTTTCAGGTCATCAACATTGGATATTCGAAGCACAAAAAAAAAGATTTCGTCGGTTCGAAATCAAAATTAATCAATCAATTTTAGTTTGATTTTGGAACACGATCCACAAAATTAAAACAAAAATTTACAATTTACATTCAAATCAATTATTTCTTGATTGTCTGTTAAATGGAAATAACCCAATATGATATGATGAATGTTGGAGAATAGAAAAGATATAATGATTATAAAAAAAAAATAAAATCAATCAATCAATCGATATCGATGAACTTTGATTTTAATATACTCGATTTTTTTTTTGATCACCGATAATGTCATATGAGTGATGGCATCATTTTTTTCGATTATAATATGATGATGATGATGATGATATGATATGATAATAATGCAAACATTGAAAAGATATAAACGACGTCGGCTATAATAATTTCAAGTACATCTTCAATTTGTTTTTTTGTTGTTGTTGATTTTATTAATTTGATTGAATTGGACCAGAAAAAAAGGAGAAGAAGAAATTGTTTGTAATTGAATATTAGTTGGGATTAGCGAGTTATCAAACGTTTTTTATTGATTTGACAGGTTTGAACCGAAAAAAAACGATTTCATATATATTTAATGATGACAATTATTAGTGATGATCATGGCCATCATTATCATCATCATCATCATTATGAAATTATCATCCATAAATCGGATTTTCATAGCCATTTTTTTGAAATGTTTTAGAAAATTCTTGCTGCCAAATACCACTACTAATAAATATGAGTTGATTGAACAATCAATAAAACAACAAGTGAAAAAATTGATTCAAGCAACACAACAGGTTGGTTAATTTCCATTACACAAACACATTTGTTGTTGTTGTTGCTGTTGCAAAACACATTTATTCTCATCATCTTTATGTGTCTTTTAGCGAAAGAAAAAAAAATCTTAAATAACCACTTGTTGTTTAAGAATAGCTGAATGGATAAGCAACAACATCAGCAGGAGGGGATGGATTGGTCGAATAATAATAATAATAATATTTAATTAATCACTATAAGCCAAGTCAATCGTTTTTTTTTCTTCTTTCAGTTGAATTTTCAGATTTCCAGGAAAAAAATTAGTTTTTTTTCTATTTTGCTGATGTAGCTCATGATGTATAATCAGGCTATTATTGCTATGATTTACCATTACCATTGCATATGGATGGCAAAAAATCGATGATGAGCCCACAAGAGAGAGAGAGATTAATCTTTGAGATATTATGATAATGATGATGATGATGATGATGCGGCAAGAAAATAAATAGCCGAAATCAGAAAATATTCAAAGAAAAAAAAAATCTAAAAGAAGAATTCGAATGAAACAAATCCTGCCAATTATGATCGGATTTAATGGTGAATCATCAAGAACCATATAAATGAAAAAAAACGGGAAAAATAATTCTCATCGATCAAGTTTTTTTTCACATTCTAATTTCTTTGAAAAAAAATTCGTCATCATTATCGATGAACATATTCTGGTACATTGTCCATACACACATGGTAAATTATTATCCACATCATCATCATCATCATCATAGAGGTGAGAAAATCCTCACATCAAATTGATGTTCTACGTTGCTATTAGAACAAAAAAAAACGAATTTTTTTATTATTTGCTTGTGACACCTATCTGTGACAATCGATGATGATGATGAAATATAAAAGAAAGGACATATATAGAAGCACATAAATTCGTCGATATGACCCGTATGACATTTTCAGTGATCATATGATGATTACTGAATTTCATAAATTGAAAACACAACATTTTTTTATTATTATTATTATTTTAGATTAGAAATTCATACACACAAACACAAACATAGACACAATTTTCACCCGTAGGCGAGAACACATATTATAATATTAATATTATGTAAAAAAAATATAATTTATAATAAAAAAATAAAAATAAAATCAATCAGGATCAAGGTCGAGAATGTTGATGTTTAGTTTAGAGTTCAATTCAGTTCATTTCAGCACAATTTGACAAAACGGTGAATTAATCAAAACTGAAAAAATTATCTTCTTGTCCACCATTACCACCATTAATACCACCATTATTATCGTTTCCGTTCATCATAGCACACATTTCACTATTATCACGATTTAACATATATGATTTGGCCGGAATCTTGTATGAACGTCGATGTATACGACGATGTAAATGATCAGAATGAACTTGTTCATATTTTCTTGTATTATGTCTGTAATTTGAGAAATAAAAATTATAATAATAATATATTTGTTAACAACAACAACAACAACAACAAAAAATGGAAAATCTATTTTTTTACAAACCTGAAAATAAATTCCGGCTGCGTAATCTGTATGCATATTCGATATGGTGATGAATAGAAATCAAAATCTGTAATAAAATTCAGCTGTGCTTCAGCACCGAATGAAAACATTTTTTTCGCTGATGTTTTTGTTCGATCGGTTGCTGCATAAATTTCCTGAGATCCTTGAAACAATATGGCACCTTTTGTCTGAACATTTGAATGAGAATTTCGATTCCATATAGAGATCTGTATTTCACCATTAAGATCAATGGAAAATACACCTTTCAATGTTTGTTCAACAAGAAATCCATTGATCAATGGTTTAACATCCAAATAATCGGCTAGCAATAGATTGGCACGAAAAACGCTTGTCGGTTCTGATCCAGTACCTGACCAAACATGTCCCATTAATTCAGAAGTCGAACGAAAAAATATTAATGGCCGTAATTGTTGACCCAATACATGTAACGTCATTCCGGCCATTGTTGATTCTTCGTCATCAGATGATGATTTAGTAGAAAGTTCATCATCTTCATCGCCATCATCCGATTCACCAGCAAATGATTGTAAACCTCGTGCAAACAAACCGACATTAATGATGTCTTGATACATTTGATTATCACGGCTAATGTCCACGTTGAATGATGTTTCTTTCGGTAGTTTTCCTTTCAATAGTTCAAGAAAAACTCCATAAGAAGCATTAGCATAACCAGTACCACCCATTACATATCTAAATGATGCAGAAGATCCAGATAAAATTTTTGAATGTAGATGCCAATTTTCGGATTTAACACCGGGTAAACGATTTTGGCGGCGTTTCAACAATACATTTTGTACGGCTCGTTTCCAGATCATTGTTGCCAATTCTGATGGAAATTTATCCAAATGTTTTATCAATTCAATGGTTATATCACCGTCTCGATCGACAACGTTGGCTAACAATTCCGATGCAATTAATCGTGTGGTTGTTTCCAAATTTGAATCATACAGAATACGGACCAATAATTGCCGTAGACGTATTGATAATTTTTCATTCATATCGAAGGCATTTGATTCAAATTCTGTTTCTACACAATCACGCATTGCACGCATTGCGGCTACCGATTCTCGTTTTCCACCATTGATCACATATCGTTTCAATGTATTCAGCATTCCAAATTTCGAAATAATACGAGTATTGCCTAATGCATGTAAATAAACAATTCGACATTCGACATCTTTACAGCTATCTAAATCACGTTGTAATTGTTTGATGATTTTTTCCTTGATGACCATTTTTAAAAAAAACATCATTATTATTGATTGATTTAGTGAGTAAATATTAAATTTTTCTTACCGATATTTGCAACAATTTTTGTTGATGATGTCGACGATCATGGTTTTGAGATTTTAAATCAGGTTTATCATCTTTTGCGTTTGATTCAGGTGAAACATCGACAAATTGTGTTGGACTAGAATGATGACGTAATGTCATACGACTAGATTCATATGGTATATGATCGGCAATGATTGATTGATTGTTAAAATTATCGTGTGATAAAGTTTTCACATATGTTCGATATGAATGCAATAATGTGGCAACGGTCATCGCAAATGAATTTCGAACACGGTGATCTGCCCATGATCCATTACTCAATAATGGAACAAATAAATCCAATAATTGTTCGACACTTAAGCTATGTTCAGCCACATAAGATGAGCCCATATTTGCAACGGTTGATCCGGAAATAGCTGTTACGACTAGAAATCGTTCACAATCACCAACACGATCATCACCTTGGCATTTAGGCAGATTAAGATGATCCAAAGCAGCAAGCATAGCATCACCATGACGGCTAGCGGCAATCGTATCCATCAATGTACTCCAAATATTGTCATCATTACGACGTGATTTTTCCAATTGTTGTAATAATTTAGCTACATCTTTACGGCTGATTTTGTGGGAATTTATACGAATATAATTCAAAAGACGAAGAAAAGCTACTGACATAGAGTTTGTAGCCAATGAATGATCTTCAGCTAATGAACGTTTATATTCCTGGATAAATTCAGACAATGATTGACAAAAATGTGGTTGACATGGTTTACGTTCGGCTTGAAAATGACTCGGGCCAAGTGAAGCCATCGATTTCGAACGTATATGATGTCCAAACAGATATACGGCTTGTGAAATGCTTTGAGCTTTTGATAATGTCGAAACGATTGCCGAAGAATGCTGGCTGATTAATTTCAATTCAAAATTGACAAACAATTTCGAATGTGCATTTGGATATATTTTCGATTCTAGGGTAACATTTTGCCATCCCTTTACATGTTCAGAGATGTCATGATCGATGGCCAACTCAGATTCAATTTCCCAATTATCCGTAATCAATGGTGCCAATAATGAATATTTACCAAAATCTTCCATTAATTCAGATTGGACCGATTTACGTCGAATTAAATGTCGTCCTTGTAGTTCCCATTCATATGGCAGTATCTGTATTCATGATAAATAAAATTTAAATTTATATTCTGCTGGTACAAAAAAAAACAAACCTGATTATCCGATTTTTGATCACGACGATTACGAAGTGCATTCATAATTGAAACAATCAAATTTAATTGTGTTGGTTCAATCAGATGATGGTGATTATCATGAGATTTTTCAACGAATAAATTCTGTAGATGACCATCATGGCCATTGATATGTACTAAAACTGGTGGCCAATTATGATCGACATTTTCAGCATTGGTATCAAAAAATCTTGTCGACGATGATGATTCACGAGGTTCAAATTTAAATTGACGCAATTCAATCAGAGCCAAATAGCTTCGTTTATCTTGCCAAACATTTTCCAATATGACTTGTCCTTTGACACGAAATCCGGCCGGTTCCAAATTATCATTATTATTCAGAATAATATTCGAATGATATTCATATTGATATTGGATACCAGGCAATGATCCATGACATAGACTCGATGGAGCTGGATGTAAATTAACATTAGTAATTAATAATGTAAATGGATAAATCAAAATCAATAATAATGTCCACATAATGAAACTTTGTCGAAACATCGTATGATTCAACTTGATTTTGTCTTTGTTTTTCTTAAAATCAAATCAACAAATTAATATATAGTCTGATAATAATGAAAAAAAAAATTGAATTCACAGCAACAGTCTTGACGGTTTAAATAACAATCGTATTTTTGAACTGGAAAAAAATGACATTTCTCAAGTTGTGTTTTGTCATTGAAAAGACAAAAATTTTTTTTTGTCTTTTTGAAAATGACTAATCAACCTAGTATCAAAGACCACCATCAGATGATCGATATGGCTATGATGATGAACACCCTTTTTTCTTTTTTTTTTGAAGGTATTTTTTGAAGATCATTATCATGAATATAAATGAACGAGCCGATGGTCAAGTCAGGTCATGTCACATTAAACTATATATAATTCACATGAGACAACTTTTTCACAGACACACCTTCTATTCTGAATACCAATAAAATACCAAACCTGTCCCATTATTGCAAACTGATTGATTGGTTTTTGTTTTATTTTGACTTTGTCCTTGATCTTTGATTCACTTTCTTTCTCAATTTTGTTTTTTTGAATGAGGAATTTTTTTTTAAACAACAACAACTTACCTTTCAGTATCAAAGCAATAACAATGGTGATGAGAATGAAAAATTTTGACAAAAACAGTGTTGATCGACGACAATGATAAATATTAGATTTGAATGACGATGAAGAATCAAAGACAAATAAATGTTTTTGTTTATGATGATGATGATGATCATCATCACAATGATTATTAATTGGTGAATGGTTTTTTATTGGTATTTTCATGACTACGATAATTGTTGCATATATATAGAGTTATTATTAATTATTCTACAAGTAACAATAACAATAAACTGGCTGAGTAGATATGTACTTTTCAAATGATTCTTTTTTTTCGACTGGTTTTTATTTTTTATTTTTTGGCGAATCAATATATTCAGGTATGTTACTGTTGTGGGGATATTAATGAACGGCATGAATGATGATGATCATGAACACGGTGGTGGTTAGAATTGTTGCATGACAACCTTGTGACTTTTTGGTTACAAAATAATAGAAAAAAAATCATTCATTCGGTCATCAACATTCAGAAAGTGAGTGTGAGTTTAAAATGTTTCTTTGAATAAAAAATCAATTTATTTACTTTTTTGTATTATTACAAATAATTTACATACCCAAAATTATTCAATGACGTGGAATTTGTCAAGCATTTTTTTCATCATCAATAATAATCATCATCATGATGATGATGATTAAGTTTTCAATGATAACAATGCTTGGTGCATGCATGAAAAAAAATTGATATCGAATCAATATCATCAAAAGATTCATTTTATAAATATGAGGAAACTAATTCCTTGGCCAATAGATGACAGTGTTGATGTATTGTTCATAAAATTGTCTTTGACCAGCTGATGCGTCATTTGAATTTGTTTCCATAATGCTGATTCCATTGGGAAGAATAGTTACAACAAATCTTGTAAAGAATAAAAATAGAATAAAAAATTTTTCAATCCGATTTCTATCATCAACGACATCAAAAACTGAAGATACAATAATAGTGGAAAATCGAACATCATATGTTCGATTAATAGGCATTAATAGACCGCAAAAACGAAATGCAATCAATCGTGAAACTGCTGCAAAACTACGACAAGCATTCGAAGATTTTGATAATGATCCAGAATATCGTGTAGCTGTATTGCATGGTTTTGGTGGAACATTCTGTGCTGGATATGATCTTGAAGAATTGTCAAGTGTTGATGAAATTTCAATTGAAAATATAGTCACTCCTGCTCCGATGGTCTGTATGTTGTAAAAAGATGTTTTAAGTTTTTTTTAAAACTATTTTTTTCGGTTGATTAGGGTCCAACATGGATGTTGACATCGAAACCAGTTATTGCCGCAATCGATGGCTATGCAGTGGCAGGAGGATTTGAGCTAGCCATGTGGTGTGATCTTCGTGTAGTAGAAACGACTGCCATAATGGGCGTATATTGTCGCCGATTTGGTGTTCCGTTGCTGGATGGTGGAACGGTTCGATTAAGTAGAATGATCGGGCATTCCAGGGCGATGGATTTGATTTTGACTGGTCGAGGAATCAACGGTAAAGAAGCATTTGATTTTGGCATTGCTAATCGTCTAGTACCGGTCGGAACGGCTTTAGGACAGGCATTTAATCTGGCACAATCTTTGGTAAAATTTCCAAATGAATGTCTACGTGCAGATCGTCGTTCAGCATATTATGCTACATTTGATTCTACTTCATTAGACGATGCTCTTCAGAAAGAATTTGAGATATCCAAATCCATTGTGGCCAAAGAAGCCATTCATGGAGCTAAACGTTTTAAAGAAGGTATAGGCAAACATGGTAAATTTGTACTTGATAAAATTGGTTACGATGTAGATGTTACTGTTTGAAAAAAAATCGCGGTTAATTTTTTTTACATAAAAATTTTGAATTCTGTTAAAAAAAACCTCATTTATGAATGAACATTCTTATTGCTCTTTCACCCACACACACACACACATGTGTCTGTTGGCCGGAATTTGAAGCCGAAATCTGCTCTGTTTTATAGACAACTCATAGCTTTTAAAATTTAAATTTTTCATCTTGGATCTTGGATTTTTCATTGCCATAATATCATTCTAAAAGAATAAAACTATTGCCTAACATCAGTAAAGTGTCAACTTCATAAAATGGACGGTGATATTGTTGAAAAACTCGATGATATTCTAGATGGAATCTATTTAGCACCGAATTTGCAATCAAATCATATAGTTTCATTAATCAACTATCTGAATAAACACGAATTAGGTTAGATTTGTCATTTTCGATTGATTATTCTATCTAAAATATTTTTTTTGCAGATGAAAATTTTTATCGACAAACGATAAATTTTTTATTGTCCATGTTTGATTCAAGAACTGATTCTAAATTTCGTAAAAATCTTTCAGAAGCTATATTTCTTATCGCCAACGAAAATGGAAACCAATTCATTCAGGCATTATTTGCTGTGTTAATTCAACATATTAATAGAGTAAAAAATTTGGTTCCAACCAAAACCGTATCGGCAAAAGTCAATTTTTTTGCCAAACTTTTGATCTTGTTTGAATGGGAAAAATTGAATGAAAATCAACGAAAATTGTTGATTGAAAGTCACTCAATCATTTGTGGTTATTATGGAAGATTTAAAAACACAATTTTTAATGATTTAAATTACAAGTGCCTTAAAAAATATATTTCATTAATGAAAGAATCATCGTTGAACATGTACTTGACCATCATGAAAGAAATCAGTTCTTCATCATCTAATGTAAATTATTCGATTCTTTGGGACAATCTGTTTCGATTCTTGATCAATACGAATCAAATGAATTTGATCAATTCATATAAACAAACGACGCTAGATTTGTTGGTCAAAAACATAATTTTTTCCAAAACCAAATTAACCGATCAATATGATTCATCATGTTTTCAGTATACATTGTCACAAATTAGTCGCGATGAATTTCAATCAATTCTTCTACCATCATTACAGAAAGCCATTTTAAGGAATCCAGAAATTTCTCTTATTCTCATGGTTCATATTATTGAATATCTAAATATGGATTTGTCTGATTTTACACTAGATATCTGTAAAATATTGGGTGCTCATCTTCATTCGAAAAATGAACTTCTTCAAGAAGAATCTCTAGAAGCATTGAAAATTATGTCCCAAAAATGCACAGAATACAATGCAATCGAATCTGCCTTAATTTATTTCGTCAAAATCTACAATGGCAGTGAAGGCAAATTGACCGTTCTTGGTCATCGACATACAATGATCAAATCGATTGGTTATTTATCATTTGCGAACGTAAATGACCCAAGTGGCAAGAAAAAATTATTGCATATTTCGATTGAAGAATTGATAAAAATGTTGAAACAAGAAACCTTAGAATCATCTTTTGTTTTATTATTTCAACAAATCAAGCTTTGGATTCGACAATTATCATCGAATCCATTACCGGATTCATTTTGGAAATTTATCAAAGAATTTGCCAAATCAAAATCTGCTTCACCACCAACATTAGCTACATTGTATGAATGTTTGATTGTTGCATTTGAATCTAACCTAAATGATCATATTGCCAAAATCGATGATTCCATTTTAACATTCATTTTGAATTCAGCAAAAAATGTTTCAACAGCATTGACCAAATTACCAATGGTAATTGAAAGTTTAAATGCTTCGATTGTATTGCTTAAGATTTATCATCATAAAAATGATTTTGCTGAAAAGATGAAAAATTTTCTTACATCAATGCATAATCTGGTATCCATTACATTTTTGACCGATAAATTTATTGCACAAGTTTCTATTGAAAATCTTGCCAATTTAATTGATTTCATTTTCAATCTTATGCGTGATGTAAAAACTTTGGATACAGATAATCAAAAATATCTTTACAAAGCTATCGTTTTATTAATGTGTCATTATTCACGAGAAATACGTGACAATGCTATCGGAAAATTCAATGATTATTGTCAAGAAAATGAATCATTTCAAATGAAAATGATTCAAAAATTCAATGATCTTTATCAAGAAAATCGACAAACGGAATTAGAACGACAACCTAATAATTACAGTGTTTTACGATGTGCACAAGCATTGTTAAATAGCTGCAATCAATATGATGAAGATAAAATGTTGAATTCAATCATTCATCTTTGTCATCATTCAATTGTATTTCAACAGAATCCTAATCTTTTCATCAAAGAATATCTTCATAAACATTTTTCTGAAACAATCAAAATCAATGAATTTATTGATAGAAATTTTAAACAATTAACACAAGCCATATTCGAAATACATTTTGGTCGTTCAACAACATTGAATTTATCACGAACATTGATGAAATGGAATCCACATCGTTTTGCCGAACATTTTGTTCTGACCATTCACGATGATATCATTAAACATCTAACTGAATTCAAATCAATCACTAAAGATGATTTTGAAATTTTTAAAACACCAGAAGACCATCTTTATAATCGTGCAGCAGTTATTGAAGCCGGTGGTATTCACGAAGACAAGAATCTTAAACGTGAAAGTAAACTATATTCACATAAGGAACAGTTGGCCGAAATTCAACTTCGTAAAGAATTGGAAGAGAAACGAAAAAATCAAGAACCAGAATTTGATCCATCAAAATTTTCAAAAAAACAGAAAGAAATTTATATACAAGAAATGGCTAAAGAGAAAAAAATTCGTGATCACTTACAAAGTCTTTATGAAGATTTTTTATTCAAAACTGATCTTTTATCAGCCATAATGGATACAAATCCGATTGTTGCATCTATCCATTTCAAAGATGTTCTGTTTACCTATGTAAATCTATTTGCTTCACGTTTAACCTTTGAAAAAGCTGTTGAATTTTTCAAATCAATCAGCTCAAAAATGATGATTTCACCAATAATCAAAGTGGATGGTGATTATTCTTCATACATTCAAATTATCACCAACACCATAATCAATCTGTATAGTTTAAAAGAAAATTCTAAAGATGATATTGATTTAGTGGAAAAAATTATCGATTATATCTACAATAGAACCTGTCCAAATATGGAAAATTATGATGAAAAATTGGTTAAAAAAACTGAACAAAATCGTTTGACAACACCTGCTTTTACATTCGTATTTCCAATTTTTCGTTTTGTTTTACTTGACATGATTGAATTGGAATCAGAACATTATGAAAAAATTGTCGAAAAATGTTTAATAATCATTAATGAACATGCAAAGATGCGTTGCTACACGGAAAAAGAAGATGACAATCTGAAAAATCCTGGAAATTTACCGATAAAATTAATACTAGAGACATTGTTTTCATTCATGGAGAATGAAGATGCCGATACTGGTTGTGATGAATTGGTAGCAAATACATTGATCGAAGTGGTCACCAGTGTTAATAATGAAATTGGTTGTGGCACAGCAAATCCTCGTGATATACTTGTATTGCTTAGCTATACATCACATCAAGATGATCTTATTCGTCTTACATGTTTCGAATCATTATTCATACTTACCGAACAAGTATTGATTTTTATGGACAATGAATATTGTCGTCAAAAATTAGCTCATCGTTGTTTTATTGGACAATTTGATATCTTGCCCGATTGTCAAGCATATTCGAATCAAATTTTCAAACTATGTCATTTCATAACTAATCGATTGTTTTTGAATGTTATACTGGATGAAGATTTGGATTCAATTAACTTGAAAATGACGCAGCCAGTTTCTGAAGCATTTAAAAATTTAGTGGAAGAATTTTCTGATGATCTACCCGAATATTATGGAAAATTGATAAAATTTTATCAAATAAAAGCCGCAGCTGCTAAACCAGTGCTTGATAATTTTGGTCGTCCAATGACCAAAAATCATATTGATCAATATGAACCACGATTGACTATTGCATATATTTTGGAAAAAATTGTTCATCTTTTTGATGATAATCTTTTTGAATCATTCATTAATTTTCTTATACCCGAAGCATTGGGCGATCAAAATGAATTGGTACGACGAGCAATGCTAGATGCTGGTAGACGTTGTATTAATGTTCATGGTGAACAAAATATCTCCTATCTTCTTAGATCATTCGAAACATTCTTAGATTCAGCACCGGATGATCATGAGACCGATATTGTTCGTGAAAGTCTTATCATTTTAATGGGCACATTAGCTCGACACATTGAAAGTGATAATCCGAAATTGAAACCAATTTTAAGCAAACTTGTTGAAGCTTTATCAACACCATCGAAAATCGTACAAGAAGCTGTAGCTAATTGTTTACAATATTTAATTCCAAAATTCAAAGATGATGCTCCAGCTTTACTTCAAAAATTATTAGCATTCCTATTTCATTCAGATTCGTATGGTGAACGTAAAGGAGCAGCTTATGGGATTGCAGGCATTGTCAAAGGACTGGGAATATTGTCACTCAATAAAATGGGAATCATGGATGCATTGACTCAGGCCATACAAGCTAAAGATAAATCAAATAATCGTGAAGGTGCTTTGTTTGCCTTTGAAATGTTATCACGAATGTTGGGCAGATTGTTTGAACCATACATTGTACATATTTTACCTCACCTGTTGGATTGTTTCGGTGATAGTAGTACACGTGTCCGTAAAGCTGCTGATGATACGGCCAAAGTAATTATGTCGAATTTGACTGCCTATGGAGTAACATTAATTTATCCAGCTATTCTGATTGCTCTTGAAGATGATTCATGGCGTAAAAAAACAAGTTCGATTGAATTACTTGGATCGATGGCTTTCTGCGCCCCTAAACAATTGTCACAATGTTTACCGAAAATCGTACCAAAATTGATGGATGTATTGAATGATTCACATCCAAAAGTTCAACGATCAGCAGGCGAAGCATTGAAACAAATTGGTTCAGTTATTAAAAATCCAGAAATTCAAGAGATTGTTCCTGTTCTTCTGAATGCTTTACAGGATCCGGCCAATAAAACTAACGAATGTTTGAATGTTATGATGAAAATGAAATTTGTTCATATTATTGATCCACCATCGTTGGCTTTGATTATGCCAGTGATCGAAAGAGCTTTTCAGAATCGATCAACTGAAACTAGAAAAATGGCCTCACAAATCGTTGGAAATATGTATGCTTTGGCTAAGAGCAAAGATCTTTCGCCATATTTATCGTCAATCATTCCGGGCTTAAAGAATTCATTGTTAGATCCAGTGCCTGAAGTTCGAACGGCTACTGCACGAGCATTGGGCGCTATGGTTCGTAGTCTTGGAAATGAAATACTTGATGATTTACGACCATGGTTAGAACGAATGCTTATCTCCGAACAAAGTTCTGTCGATCGTTCTGGTGCAGCTCAAGGTTTGGCCGAAGTTCTTGGTGGTTTAGGCAAAGAACATCTAGACAAATATATGCCCAAAATATTGGAAGTTACAGAAAATCCAGATGTACCAGCTTATGTCAAAGATGGTTTCATCATGCTTTACATTTATTTGCCATCAGTCTTTACTCAACATTTTGCCTCTTACATTAGTCGAGTTATCACACCCATACTGAAAGCATTGGCTGATGAAAATGAATTTGTTCGTGAAACTTCATTGCGCGCCGGTCAACGAATTGTCAACATGTATGCCGAAACAGCCATTCAATTATTGTTACCTGAATTGGAACGAGGATTGTTTAATGAAAATTGGCGAATCCGTTATAGTTCGGTTCAACTTCTTGGTGATCTTTTATTCAAAATTACTGGTCTATCGGGCAAGATGACCACCGAATCACAAAGTGAAGATGACAATTTTGGTACCGATCAATCACATCAAGCCTTGTTCGATGCATTGGGAGAAGAAAGACGAAATCGTGTTCTTTCTGGTTTATATATGGGTCGTTCAGATGTCTCACTACAAGTTCGACAAGCATCCCTTCATGTTTGGAAAGTTATTGTTCCAAATACTCCAAGAACATTACGTGAAATATTGCCAGTTTTATTCACATTATTATTGGAATGTTTGGCCAGTAATTCTCATGATCGACAACAAATTGGAGCTCGAACATTGGGCGATTTGGTACGAAAACTTGGTGAACGTATTCTACCAGAAATTATACCTATTCTTGAAGATGGTCTAAAATCAGATCGACCAGATCAACGACAAGGTGTTTGCATTGGTCTTAGTGAAATAATCGTTTCTACCAGTCGAGAAATGGTTCAAGTTTTTGCCGATAATTTTATTGCCACAGTACGAAAAGCATTGTTTGATTCATTACCCGAAGTACGACTAGCAGCTGCACAAAGTTTTGATCATTTACATACAGCAATTGGTGAAAAATGTTTAGGCGATATACTCAATCATTTGTTGAATCATATTGATGATCCTAAATATGGTGAACGTGTTCTCGATAGTTTGAAAGCAATAATTTCATACAAAAGTCGAGTAGTTCTACCTAATCTCATTCCAAAGGTAATTATCTATATATCTGTTTTATTCATCCATTTTTTACTTACTTTTTACTTCTGAAAAAACAAAACAGTTGACGACTAAACCGGTGAATACTCGAGCTTTGTCCATCATTGCCTCTGTGGCTGGTGAATCTTTTTCGAAACATTTACATCTTGTCATACCACCTTTGTTATCATCATTGAGCGAATCGTTTGATAATCCGAATTTTGATGAGGTATTGTTTTTTAATTTTTATACAAAAAAAAAGTTTAATTGAAAAACTATTATTATCTATTTATTTTTTTCCAATCAAAAATCATAGCAATTGGAATATTGTCAAAATGTAATTGTTTCAATCGCAGATGAAGATGGTGCACGCGCTGTTATTCTAACATTGTTGGATGCAAGTAAATCTAATAATTTAAATAAAAAACGAGCAGCAATTATGTTATTATCATATTATTGTACACAATCTAAGCCCGGAACTACGGCACAATTTAATTCAACAATATTGACAAATTTGATCGATTTTTTTGCTTCCAATGATGAATGTATTTTGTCTAAAGCAAGTGAAGCAATGGCTGCAATCATAAAAAATCTTGATAAATGGCAACAGGTTGACGTAATACCTGAAGTTTATCGAAAACTGTACAGTACATTGAATGAAAGATTACCGGATAATTATCGTCGAATGGGTGTTTTCACCTATTCATATTCACCATTAACAAGCAATTATCAATATGTTGATCATCCTGATTTTTATTTTCCTGGATTTTTTTTCAACAAAACCATCCAATCATTATTGAATCTTTTTAACAAAGCTATTACTGGAAATAATTTCGAGATTCGTGTTATTGGTTGTAATGCTTATCGTATGATTGTCATACATTCTAGTCCTGAAGCACTAAAACCATCATCTATGATTCTTTGTGGTTCTATGTTACGATTACTTTGTGATCATCCAAAAGAAGATGTAAAAATCATTGTCATAGATGTTCTTTCATTATTGTTGATGAAGATGAGTGTTTTTCTCAAGCCATTCTATCCTCAAATTCAAATGATATTTTTAAGATCATTATTTGAACCGGTAAAATCGCTTCGATTACAAGCGGCTACTTGTATTAGTCGATTTGCTCCATTTCATCCGAAACCAGATGCTTTTCTTAGCGAATTATTGACTTTAAACAAAAATTGTCCAATTGAACCACCTTATTTGAAAGAAACAGGATTTTTTGCAATCAGATTGGCTATTGTCACTGCTGGTGAGCGATTTTCTTCTGCTGTACATCGTCAAGTTTATGAATATGCCACTAACTATAAAGAGGACATGACGAATGAAATTCAACAAACAGCCGCATCGGTCATTGGATCATTATGTCGAGTTGTTGATGATGAATTATTTGATGAAATTGGTCATCAATTTTTATTGCAGGATGAAGTTAATTTCGTTCAACATGCAAGAAAATTTCGATCTATTGTTTTAGGAATTGCATTGAAAGATGCTGCACACAGAACTATTGGGCGAAACAATGATTGGTCAGCGATGATACATCAAAATGTTTTAAGCTTGATTAGTTCATCCATCACTTATCTTGCCGTTCATGGTATCAAATGTGCAGCTTATATTATTCATTATTCATTAAAAAATGATTTGGTTATCGATAAAAATCTTCTTCATGCTTTTGCCAAGGTTTGTTTTATTTATTTCTTTCTAGTTAATGTTTTAATTTCCTATTTGACCATTTATAGGCAATGAACCATCAACGGAATGAAGTTAAACAAGCCATGAATCAAGGTACAATATTCTGGGCAAATCGATTTCCTAGCAACAAAAACATACCGGATCAGATTTTACTTTTAATGGTACCACAATTGGTTAACGGTACAAAAGAAAAGAATTCTTCAGTACGAGCATTTGCTGAACAAGCATTAATATCATTATTGAAATTACGTGAAGAAAACTCATCTATTCTGGAAAAATGTTTAAAAATAATGGGTTCTGGAGCCGTTGAATCATTACAAGAATGTGTAGCAAAAATCAAGAAAAGTGTACTTAAAAATGAATTCAAGGAAGAAGAATTTGATGAAACATTAATTTTCCAAATAATAGCTTCAGAAGAGATTTGAATAATAATTTCTTTTTATTTGTAAATTCTTCTTTCATTTTTTCACTGTTTATCGTTCTAAGATTTGTTTTTTTTTCAAAAAAAATATGATGTTAATTTGCATAAAAATAAAAGACAAATTTACAATTTTTTATTTATTCATTTTATATCGATTTATTATTTGATTGATTGACTGATTGATTGATTGATTAATATACATCATGATGGCGCGACCTAATAGGAAATTTTCGTGATAATTTTTTTATGGTTTCCGATTTTGCCTAAAAAAAATTCCCAGAAAAATTATTGCCGCATGTGCAATGAATAAGCTCAACATCATTGTTGATTGGTGAATGGATAAATAAATGAATGAATATAAATATTTTTTTATCTGACATGGTCGATGATTTGCAAACAAACCGACAAATATCACACACATCAACGTGTTTGTGTTAATAACAGCCCCATAATCATTTCATTTGTATATCATCATCATCATTATCATCTTCATCATTAGTAAAATTCGGTACATTCGACCATAATTTTTTAATATATTTGTTGTTATGCTCAGCTCTTATATACATTGTACCTGAATCCGATGATGATTCGCTAATATATTTAATATTTTCATTAACAAAATGATCAATTAATTCATTATATCATCATTCATTTGATCATTCTTAAACATTCGAATATTATATAGCTGCGTTATATTTGGATAAAATTCCAAAGAATATAGATTTCGTTGTGTTCGATCAGAGAAAAATATCAATAATAATAATAATAATGGATCTGCCTGAAATATTGAAATCAAGTGCCGATGAATTAGATGTATTGGATTCTGAATTTCAACGTCTTGATTATGCTAATCGTGCCTATTTTAAAAGTTTAAATGAAATGCTAAAAAATCAGAATGATTGTTTCAAAGAGATTAAACATCAAAAGTATCGTCTTTCACAGATTAATGATCAATTGAAAAGGTATGATTTATATTTTATGAATTAATTAATTAGCATCATAAAAATAAAACGCCCTTTTTTATGTTTCATATTTTTTTCAGATATAAATCATATGCCAATGATAATGAAAAATTGTCCAAAATATTCAATCGTATTGAACAAAAATCCAATCAAGTCAAAGAGATTGAAGATACATTGCCAAAATCTAACGGTTTCTATTTGAATCTTGTTCTTGGTTCAATCAATGTTAATCTATTAGATCGTCGACAACAATTTGATTATAAAGAACAATATGAACGTTTTAAATTATCTGTCACATCGGTGCTACTGATCACAAGTTTCATAAACATTTTTGCTGAATTTAGGTTTGTTTGTTTTTTGTCATGAAATTTTTTTTTAAATTTTATTTCAATGTAAAATTTAATTCAAAAGAGCTCTAGATTCGATTTTGCATTTCATGTTGGTCTGGTATCATTGTACATTAACTATTCGTGAAAGCATTTTGGTTGTGAATGGTTCCCGTATCAAAGGCTGGTGGCGTGTTATACATTTCCTCACATCGATAACAACTGGTGTTTTGGTTGTATGGCCTGATGGATACAGTTATAAAAAATTTCGTCTTCAATTTTTAACATACATTTGTTATACTAGTTTTCTTCAATTTTTACAATATTATTATCAATATGGTTGTCTTTATAGACTTCGAGCATTAGGTGAACGTTATTCAATGGATATTACTATACAAGGATTTCATTCATGGATGTGGAAAGGTCTTAGTTTTCTATTACCATTCTTATTCATTGGTTATTGTCTTCAATTCTATATTTTCTATACATTATATCATATGTTTATGTATGATCCTGAAAGTATTGAATGGCAAGTACCTGTCGTATGTTTTATGTATCTGGTCATTTCATTGGGCAATCTGGCCACAACCGGTCTAGTTGTTTATCAGAAAATCAAAAACAAAAATCTAATCACACCAATCAAACAAATTACCAGGAAAATTAGCCGGGCTGTACTAACAAAAGAGCAATAATATATCTACAAAACAAAAAAAAAAAAAAAAAAATAAAATAATCATATCCAACCATTGATAATAATTTCCATATACAATCATAAACAATGAAAGTGAAACAAAAAAAAAATTCGATTGAGACATTTTCTATTTTTTTTTACTTCATTGTAACAATATAATTTATAATGAGATTATGATGATGATGATGATTTTATATTATCAAAATTGTTTTTTAAAAATTGATTTTTTTTTTCTTCTTCTCCATCAAATACTTTCGAGTATTTATGTGTGTGTGTGTGTGTGTGTGTGTGTGTTGTGTTTGTGTGTAAAAGTTTTTTATTGTGGACACTAGAAAAAATATATCCAAGTTATAAGTGGAAAAAAAATCGATGATTTTGAATTATAAATGAAATGATGAAATGAAATAAAATAAATTGATGATGTTCAATTTGGATTTTTTTTTTGATTGATTTTTTGAAAAATAATGACGGATAAATGGATGAAATCGTTCGACATTATGGCATTGAACGTTGATGTAAACTGGTATTGGTCACATTATTATGTATAAGATTGTGACTGGATTCACTTTGTAAGAATGGTACACGTCTTTCATCTTGATGATTTGCTGTATCTAATACATTCATCATCAATAGTCATCAATGACAATGATAATGAAGTTGTCAATGACGAATGAAATAGGAAAAAAAACAATAAAAAAAAATGAATTAGTAAAAAATTTTTATTCAAATTTAAAAAAAAAAATTAGTTTTTTCTTTCTTTTGTTCTTTCGACTTTCACTTTTGGTTTAATATAAGCTCAATATAGATAGATAGATATATAGATAAAATGGGTTATTTTGAATAATAATAATAAAAATTCTCTATGAATCATAAACTATTCATCATCATTATCATTATTATATTGATAAAGATTGTTGATGAAACCAATATCCACTTGATTTTGTCTGGTTCCTATATCTGTTTGTTGATTATTTGGAAATTTCATTATATTATCATTATCATCAACAAAGCTATTAGTAGTGGTAGTAGTGTTCGATATTGTTGTATGTTTATTATTATGAACAAGATCAATACCATCTGAATTACTGTCTGAATTGGTGGAACTTTCAGCTGAACCATTTGAGATCATTTGTTTACATCGATGTTCATCTTTTAATATAAATCGTGCACTAAGCCCGAAAAATAAAACACCAAATACAAGTACGAGTGGTGTTAAGTAGAGCGCATACGAAAGACTATGAAATTTATCAAAATCGCTGGAAAATGCATCAGATATCTATTGTAAACGAAATAAACAAAAAAAAATTATATGAAAATGATAAAAATAGAATAAGATGAAAATAGTTACCGCTCCGATGATGAATGGACTGGAAGCATCGCCAAGAATATGTGAGGTAAGAATCTGAAGTGATTGAGCAGTCGAACGTCGTTGTGGTATAATCACATACAATAGAATGTCAACAACTACCGACCAATTAGTCGATAAGAAAGTGACAGCCAAAAAAATGGCCAACCAAGAAATGGTAGGTGATTGATTTGCAAAAGCAATACTCAACACAGTACATGGAATTGAGATGGCAACACCGATAGCACAGACCCATGAATCAGCGGCAGGAAATTTGGAACGGAAATAGCGTGAGCATGAATAACCGATGAGAACACCAGATAATCCACCTAAGCAAGCAATGACGCCGAATATCAAACCGATTCTAAATGGAATTATAAAAGAAAATAAACAATTTAGAAATTATTTCATCATAATTGAGAAGTAAATAGAGCATAAAATACTTTTCTTTTGCCGTATCAGGATTGGCATTCTGCATAAAAGTGGGTGCCCACCATGAAACGGCACCGACAGAGAAACAAACACAAGTAAAGCCCAATGTTGTAAGCAGATATGTTGGTATCGATGTTAAATAGCGAACATCTTTGGTTAAACTTTCGATAATTAAACGGAATGAACGTGTTGTATTATCATTATTTGAATCTAGTTCAGAACGTCGAAGATTAGCTTGTTCAATAGCACCACGGGCAGGTTCGGTTACGAAAAGAAAACCAAAAACGGAAATTATTCCAAAAATAGGTGTAAAACGTAGAGCCCATGTCCAATGGCCAAACATTTGTGACATTAGGATACCAACAATATATCCAAGTCCGGAACCAACGGGTATTGCAAAATAGAAAACGGCCAACATTGTCGAACGTTTACCACCGATAAATAGATCGGCAATTAACGTTGGAGCAACAGTTGCATAGCTGGCTTCACCAATACCAACCAAGGCACGAAACATGAAAAATAAATAAGTATGATGTGGTTGCACAAAAGATGATAAAAAAGTCATTGTTGACCAAAATGATACACCGAATAGAATTATATATTTTCGTGAATATCTATCACCAAGATAGCCGAATAGTGGTGAAAATATCATATAGGAAACAATGAATGATGTCTGTAATAGGCCACCGGTAGCATCATTGATATCGAAATATGTTTGAATATCATTCAATACACCGGCTATGGTGAATCGATCCATATAATTGATCAAATTAATGACGACCAAAAGGGTCACAATAAGATAGGCATTCAACATTTTGGATGATGATAATGATGTTTGATAACGAATGATGGATTCGATGGTAAATATAATTTCTATATATTTGCGTTTTGCTAATCAAGCAAAAGTAAATAATAATGATCACGGATCAATATGATGAATGGTTGATTGATTGATGGTGATGAAAATGATAATTAAAAAAAAACGCTCTATCAGATTGATGTGTTTGTGTATATATGCCAATGGTTTAATGATGATTTATTATTTTTTTTTTCATGAATAAATGATGACGATGACTGTTTAAATTTAATATATAATTGAAGAAAATATAAAAACCATTGATAATGATGATGATGATGATGACGACGTAAACTCAACAGCGACACAATAAATAAAGTTGTAAGATGATAACAACAACAAGATGTTGACGACCGATTATAAAATTTAATAATAAAATATGCACACATCGAATAATGTCAATGATTTTGATGACAATGAATACATATCATCATGATGATGTTGATAAAAACATGGCATAAATGCATTTGAAAATTTCTTCTTTCAAATGTTTGCAGAATATTCGATTGATGTATATAAAAGGATTTGAATAAGAAAACGACTATTAATCAAGGTATGTTTAAAAAAAATAATCAAATTTGAAATTCTCAAATAAATTATCTTCAAGCACTACTTGTTTGATAATGTTTAAATCAATAATATCGATGAAAGATTTATATGTTTACAAAAAATTTCATTGTTGATATGCATCAATGATCATTGGATATGATGAATTTTTTTTCCAACTAAAATCGATAATGGTTTTATGATAGTTACGAGGGTGAAGATATATAATTATTAAAACATATACATGGATTGATGATGATGATGATGATTTAGTAGAAAACACTATTCGATGAATTGATTTGTCAGGATATTATCCAATTTCATAAATTTATTCATTTTTTCATCGAAAATGTCGTCGTTTTCAAATTTTCAATAAATCATTTGAGAATTCTAAAACGAAATATTTCTCTTCGATTATTTAATGTTGATTTCGCATACAATTTTGATTGATAATCTGATAAGATTACTTCAAAAATTTTGTTTTCGTTGTTGTTATTATTTTGTGTGATATAAACAAGAACGAAAAAAAAAATTTCATGCTAAACAACTATGTGGTCTGAGAAATTTGACGGTAAAAGCCGATTTTTCCAGGCGGAAAAGTTTTCTCGTAAATTTGAGAATAGTTCGACAAATGATTCGAATTTTTCGTTAAAATTGCGCTAAAATGATGGCCGATCAAAAATCATCTCTTCGTTTAATCAACAAATTAGATAATGATCTTGTCAAGAAAATATGTGCCGGTGAAGCTATTCACAGACCATTGAATGTTGTAAAAGAATTGATTGAAAATAGTCTAGATGCTGGCTCCACAATGATAACAGTTACATTGAAAGATGGTGGATTGGATCAAATACAAATTCAAGATAATGGTTGTGGTATTAATGTAAGTGATTTGTGTTTTAAAAGTGTTCTGAAAATTTCAAGAAATATTATCTTTTTCATAGAAAGAAGACCTTAAGATTGTTTGTGATCGATTTACGACATCAAAACTCAAAAGTCTTGATGATTTCAATTCTTTATCCACTTTCGGATTTCGTGGTGAAGCACTAGCTTCGATTGCTGTTGCTGCTCAAGTTACCATTATAAGCAAAACAGCCGACTCAATTTGTGCATACAAAGCCGAATATGTTGATGGTCATCTGAAAAATTCATCAGCCCCCATTGTTCCAATTGCAGCCAATGATGGTACAATGATTCAAGTGGATAACCTGTTCTACAATATGCCAACTAGAAAAGCTGCACTTTCATCAGAAAATCAAGAATATAATTTCGTACAAGATTTAATTGTCAGATATTCACTAATATTTTCTGGTAAATGTGGATTCATTTTTAAAAAATATAATGAAAACAGCCATGTTGTCAATACAAAATCATCGGCCACTCTTTTTCAAAATATTGACCAAATATTTGGAAAGAAAATTTCCTCAAATCTCCTGTCGTTTGATATTGAAAATGAAAAACTTGAGTTCAAAATCCATGGTTATTTTACCAAACAAAATATCAGTCTAAAACAATTCACATTTATTTTGGCCATCAACTCAAGATTAGTTGAATGTGAAACGTTGAAAAAATCGATTAAAGATTTGTACAAAGAATTTTTAATGACCGATGGCCATCCATTTGTGATTATATGGATTGAAATCAATCCGAAAAATATTGATGTCAATATACATCCGAACAAAAATGAAGTCTGTTTTCTTCATGATGATGAAATTATTTCGAAAATTATCGAATTTATTCGTGAAAAATTGGAAAATAAACTAGATAATGATATGATCAAGAATACATCTAGTACAAATATGGACATTTCATTTATAAGAAATCAGACCAATGATAAGAAACCAATAGACAATGAAAATTCGGCTGGTACTTCGAAAATTTCCACTTTGAAACTCAAATTATCTGATGCAGCAAAACAGACAAATTCTCCATCACAAACGATCGATAATTACCAAAAATCCTCTCAAACGCTACCAGTCGATGAAAAATGCGAAGATGTCCCAGTAAAAGAAATCGAAACACTACCACGACCGGCATCAAAACCAAAATCGTCCAATCCAAACCGAATATGTCGAATTGATTCTACGATTCAGCGTATTCAAAGTTATTTACAACAAGAAGTTTCAGAACTAGGCCCACGACGACGACGACGAATCGAACTAACGTAATTTTTAACTTAAACATAACAGAGATATTTAAAAATTAAAAAACAAACACTATTATTTCTATTTTTAGGAGCCTAGACAAATTGATGAAGGATCTAAGCTCGACGATCGATCTGAACCTAGTCGAAATGTTAAACGAATCGATATATGTTGGTTGTCTTGACGAAAATTTCTTACTTATTCAACATGAACTCGATTTGATAATGTTGAATATGCCAAAATTGAATCGTGAATTATTCTATCAAATTTATTTGATGGGATTCGGTAATTTTGATTATTTTCGTTTTAAACAACCTTTATCAATTCGAACATTGTTATCTACATATTTCGAAGTGAATGCACCTGACATGGACCCCGATGTTTCTACAGCCACCATTGAAACAATGGTAAAAACAATCGTTTGTAAAAAAGAAATGCTCGATGATTATTTCTCAATAAGAATCAACAAGGATGATGCCACCATTGAATCGTTGCCCGTAATGATTGCGAAGTATGAGCCAAATTATATCTACCTACCTGAATTTATTCATGGATTGGCTACGAATATCGATTGGAATCATGAAAAAGAATGCTTCGGAACATTAGGCCAGGAATTGGCTAAATTCTATAGTTATGCTCCATCAATATCAAATACAAACGATGCTGAATTTCGTGTATGGTCTGATCTTGTCGAAACTCAAATCTATCCTAGATATAAAAAATTACTATCACCAACTAATCAATTATCTGACGGTGCAATTTATGTCATAGCCAATGTCACTGAACTTTATAAAGTTTTCGAACGATGTTGAAATAATAACAAGATTTATTTATTTATTCATTTATTTGATTAAAATATGATTATATCGAGAAAGAATGCTATGAATTCCAACAGAATATTCAAAATGGTACGAGTAAAACTATCAAATTTATCATCATCGTTATCATCACCAATGTTGTAATTGTTGTTGTCATCATCATCAAAACGATCATTATCACTGTTGAACTGTTTACGATCATTTTGATTGGATATTTCTATACCGTCATTTGTAAAATCTTCAAAACGATTCAAATATGGCATTGAATTATTCAATTGTTCATAGCCAATCACTTCTAATTGATAACGGCAAACTTCATGAGTGAAATGAGCATAGATTCCTATGCAAAATGGACGACGAATATAACTATCAACATAAACTGAATCCTGTCCACAGGTAGCACTATGTATATCATAGCTATAAATATCAAAAATATTCGGTTTTTTGGGCGCTTGATTCGACGATGACGATTGACTCACATAAAGATCACAATCACCAACAATAGAGATTAGATTGAGCAATATATCATGTTCACTATCCATAAAATAATATGTAAAATTTTCTTTTTCCACTAAACCGGTAATCGTTTCTTTGAATACAATATTGCGATCTTCGAATCGGAATGCTGTTAATGAAGATGAAAAACAATTGACGACAATCATCGATGATTGATGAAGACATTGTTTTGCAACAAAAATGAGAATAATGTTGAAAATAAAATAATGTAGAATCCGATAAACATACATATGATCGATTTGAATTTAATAAGAGGATAATAAATTTACGATTACGATATATAAATGAATCCAAAGAAATTATTGACATCAAACAGATTGGAAAACATCACATGATAATTTAGCCACATTAGATCAAAAGATGGCGGTATAAATGATTTTTTTCAATTATAGTAAAAAAAAACTTTATTCAAAATTTATATAATTAGAATTAGAAATAATAATAAAAATCGCGATTATGTGGAAAAAAAATACATTATGAATGAACGCATAAAAATATCTATATATAAAAGAAATTCGTGGTTTAAATTTCAGTCGATTTTAAATACAGTGTTCGGTAATCATAATCATCATTGTTATTAAATGTCACGTTGAAGATCAATAATGGTCTTTTTTAAACGCAATGATGTTAGACGTGCAAAACGATTTTCAGTCCAACATTCTTGGATTAGATTAATTATTTTAAAGAGAATCTGTGTGGAGAAAACAAGAAAACATGATCATAAATTTGATGATTTAAATTATATAATAATAAAACTCAATTTACCAGATTTTCATTGGCCATCAATTGATGATTATGGCTAATAGTAGGTCGATGTTTATCAATGCACACAGTTTGGCATATATCATGAAATGTAGGTTCATCCGATACATATTCTTGATATGGCTTGCTATAACAATGAGCACTTCCATCATTCAATTGAAGACGATTGAGAATTTCCCAGTAAACCAATCCAAGTGAATAACTGTTAAAAATAAATGGAACGATTTACGAATACGATCACTAAAAAGGATCATGATGGATACTTACATGTCAGTATATAAAAATTCTTCAATTCGATCCATATTGATTGTATTGTTTAGAATTTCTGGGGCCATGTAACGAACAGTTCCAAAACATGGAATATCATATCCGGACAAAATTTTTGCATCATTTAATGCTTTAGTTGTGGCGGAAGCAAAATCCGAAATACAACAAGAATAATCTGATTTCATTAGGATATTTTTCGATTTAATATCTCGATGTGCAATACGTGGTTTTCCTTGTGTTCCGATTACTTCGAGATGTAAGTGTGATAAACCAAAAATAATCGAACGCATTATGCTAATCATTTGCGGTACGTTTTTGATTGGATTTAGATTCAAATAATCGAATAATGAACCAAGCTCATGATATTCGGTTACCAACCATAATTGTGTGCAACCATTATTAGAAATAATATCAGCGGCCAAAAATGTGACAATATTTTCATGCCGCATAATTATACCTTGATAGATGTCAACTTCACGTCGCCAAGAAGATTCATGTCTTGAAAAGAATATCTTAACAGCATAATGTTCACAATGTCGAACACCATGATAAACACGTCCAAATCGTCCTTCACCAATCATTCGTTTTAGATCAATCTGTTTGGCAATAGTTGATTGAACCATACGTGGTACTCCTGAACCGGAACCTGAAGTTATTGAATCTTCACTAACCGGTGGCAATGGACTGGATATTTTTTGTGATGATAAAACCGTTTGTTGAGTATTTTCACTCATAAACGATGATGTTGTATTTGATGCTACCGATGAAAGGCAATGATATGATGGAACATTTGATTCCATCGTATAATTACTGATATTTTGGCTTGTATTGATTGATGGATATTTGACATATATACCGCTACTTCCGCCACTATAATCACTAACATTGCTACTGATATTCAAATATGTTGGCGATGAATGAGCTGTAGTAACTTGTGATATCAAAAGTTTATGTGAAAATGAATCATTTTTTTGAAATTCTCTTGCTTTCTTCTCTCTGTGATATATTATTATTATTATGAGAATTTTGTTTTTTTTTGAAATAAAAGAATCAATATTTGATTAATTAAAAACATTATTATCAGAAAATTATTACTTACAAATATTTTCGATATTTATAATTGATAAATATGGCCATTACCATTAATAACAAAATAGTGACCAATAAAAAAGCAGCCATATAGATCCATGGACCAATTGTTTCGAAAAGAGAAAATTTCTCTTCATATACAATTTCACCATCATTAATTTGTGTTAATAGATGATCATTACAATAATCATGTGAATTACAACAAGAAATGTTTTTCAATACATCATGATATGATAAATATCCTTTACACTATAATCAATCAGAAAAAAAATCACAATTAAAAAATTATTAATTCAGAAACACTAGAAACTAAAACGAACCTGTAATAAAGTTCCCTCACCCGGTGAAAAACAACCGAATCGTTTTTCAATCGAACGTGTATGGCCACCTACATCGATAATTTCTTCAAAAAATGTATAACAATATCCTCCCGGTTTCAAATGACATGTACCAAAATCCGAATCATCCGGACATTCATTATAACGGCAACGACATTTTGTGGCAACTATTTAATTTTGAATTGAATACAACAACAAAAAATAGTTTGTCGCAAATCATCATGATGAATCAACAATCATAAAACAAAAAAAAAACGAAAGGCTTACCCATTTTCGAAATTATCAAACCTAAATTAATTAGATTTCATTATCAGCAAAATATCATCATTATCATCATATATATTGAAATTCATTAATCTAATTCTTTTTTTTAGTCGTCAAAACATAAACAATTTTTTTTTATTTTGATTAATTTTATTGATGATCCAGAAAATAAAAACAACACATACACACAAAAAAAAATACAACACTTGGCTCGTTATCAATTTTATCACTTGTTAGATAAATACAAAAACTTTTGGCTCAGTATACACAATTGTTGTTGTGTTGTTGGAACATAAAAAAAAACACTTGAAAAGTTTAATTTGGGGAGGGGTAAACATGCGTGATATTATGTGTGAATGTTGTGTGTGTGTTATAAGCACTTCCCAGTCCTAGAATAAGGAATAAGGGTGGCCATTTTTTTAAGAAACGCATGCGTTGTTTTCATGAAGAAATTTTTCATTTTCATTTTATTTGGATACCAGCCCGGTACAGGCGCTTCGCGCCTGCCCAGGCTGGCCCTGCGGGGCTTTCTCCTTGACGGTCAATATAACTGGATACCCGCAGGTGGGGACGGCTGCGCCGCCCCCCCTACTTGGCATCCAGCCAAAGGTGTCAATTTTTAAAGCTAAAACAATTTTAAAAAAAACATTATCAAAGCTACATCTCACCACTTCAGAAACATTTTACCAACAGATGGCGTTGAAAGCATTCTCAAAAAGCACTGCTCAAAGGCATTCCCTACTGTTGGATGTATACACACAAACACTAATTGGCTTACTCTTTTATATTATATATGATGATATACAAGCCAAGCCTGTTGCGCGACTTGTAATTGACCTTTAGGGAAAAAAACTTGCTTGACTTGGTTATACCCTCTCTCTCACAGTACACAGAGAGGAAAGTGAGCAGGGTAAACTGCAAGATTGAGTGCTAAAAAGCCTCCATATTTGCAGTTTACTATCCATGCTCACAGGCTACGCTTCTTATTATGAGGTTACGCTGCTTCGTTGCAATGTAAACTCCATACTTGGAGGTTATTTAGCAGGCTAAACTGCCAAGTTACATATTAACCTCCATCAAAGAATGGTAAACACGCTTTCTTATTGGAGGTTAACCTCCGATTTTGAATTTCATTCAGTTTTTTCGATATTATTCTTCATTTTTTTCAGGCTTTTAGTCAAAACTCTGAAGATGTAAAATTATCATCACGAAATTCAAAGGCATGTTTTGAACTTGGTCTTTTTTGAACGTTTTGATTCAATGATGCTACTTTTCGGGACAGAGATGAACACAACATTCTGGATGAATGGTAAATGATTGAATTTTCATCAACTCATATTCTAATTACCATTCCTTTTGTTAGACATTAACAAGTGCACGATCGCCGAATGATCAATCAGTAAAAGTCAATCTGGCCATCTCAACTTTTCGTCATCATCATCATTTACGAGAATATGGATAACCGAGTAAAGACCCTTGAAATAAATGTAAATTATTCAATTTGTATCAATTATTTATCAATTTTTACTAATTATCTTTCCCATTCACAGGCATCCATTGGATTATCCAAATTCTCTGGCTTTATTTTATAATTTATCTCAAAAATTCGACCGTTTCATCAATTTGTGGCTTTTAATTTGAATTTGAATTTGTATTTTTTATTTTATCTTATAATAATTTTTTAATTTCTGGATTTATTCAGAAAATCAATAAAACAATCAAAAAAAAATCTGGATACTATCGATTGTCATGATACTCACGTGATTTGTTTAAACTAAAAACAATCGAAAAAAATCGGGATACTATCGAATAAATCGTTCACCACCCGATTTTTGCTACAGCTCATGGTTCATTTCTATGCTTCCAACATTGTTACTTTGGTTGTACAAATTTTCTCTCATTTTTTTCGTAACTATTTTCTATGCTTTTAACATTGTTACTTTGGCTGTACAAATTTTCTCTCATTTTTTCGTAACTATTTTCTATGCTTCTTCTTCACTCTTCACTTCTGAGAGTGTTTACAGTATTTACAATATTTACAGTAAAACCCCGCTTAACGCGGGGTTACGTTCCAAAAATATTGAGCGTAAAGCGAAACAACAGCGCAAAGTGGGGTTATTTTTGCATAATTTACATAATGAATTTTTACTCTTCATATACAATCTAACAATGTATTGCAATGTAATGTAATTGCACAGCGTTATATCGAAACAGCGCTAATCGAGGCAGCGTTAAGCGAAGTATTTCTGTAATGTCGTAAAATATGATTGTTATATACGACCATAATTACGTTCTATATCATGGGGGAGGATAATGGTCTGGGGGAAAATTACCCCATCATTTATAAATTTGCCTCCCCCATTTACACACATTAACACATATACACGCATATACACATTCGACGTCGGTTCAAATCCCATCGCGGCCGCCTGGGTTAATATAAAAAATAGTCAGTGTTGGGGGTGGATAGTGGTTTGCGCATAATCACTTATAAATTTGCCTCCCCCTCACTTATAAAATCTATTTGTTGGGGAGGATAGTGGACAATCACTTATAAATTTGCCCCCCAATTATTCATATACACATACACACTTGCGCATAAAGTAATTTAAAAAATAGTCAGTGTTGGGGGTGGATAGTGGTTTGCGCATAATCACTTATAAATTTGCCTCCCCCTCACTTATAAAACCTATTTGTTGGGGAGGATAGTGATTCGGAGCGCATTGTCCGATCATTTATAAATTTGCCCCCCAATTATTTATATACACATACACACATACTTATATCTAAATATAAAAAAATAGTCAGTGTTGGGGGTGGATAGTGGACAATCACTTATAAATTTGCCTCCCCCTCGCTTATAAAACCTATTTGTTGGGGAGGATAGTGGCATGGATCATATTTGACCAATCACTTATAAATTTGCCCCCCAATTATCAAATACACATTTACACTTGCTACACATTTACACATTACACATAAATTAATTTAAAAAATAGTCAGTGTTGGGGGTGGATAGTGGACAATCACTTATAAATTGGCCTCCCCCTTGCTTATAAAATCTATTTGTTGGGGAGGATAGTGATTCCGGAGCATAATTGCCGATCATTTATAAAGTTGCCCCCCAATTATTTATTAAACAAATTAATCTCGAGTATCAAAATATGACTTTATTGATCGAACGACAAAAACGAATTTAAAATTACAACTATCATTTAAATCACACAACACTTCATGTGTTGACTTTTTCTACTCGCTGTCTTTGTGCAAAAATGCTCGTTTTTTCTCAAGTTTCGTCACTCGTCTTGTTCATTTTTGATGAAATGATCATGATTCTCAATTCTCAATTTTATCGGGTTATAATGATTATTTGGTACTCATCACAAATGTTAACCAATATTTCGGGTTTGTCTCATTTTATGATATTTCACTAACTTTCAATTTCTAGTTTTACTGATTTCTCATTGACATGAGAAAAATCCATAGCTATTTGGTAAGTTTGGATATTGTATACTTGATAACGCTTTGTTTTTCCAGATTTATTTCTGAAATTCGATTTTTCATCATGTTTGTTATTGATTTGGCGGTTTCTGTCTTCAGTGGCATCAGATTCAAGAAATGCTCGGTAATGTTCAACTTTAAGTTAGGAATAGGATAGGATAGGCTAGGTTTAGGAACATGATCTGAGCTTTTTCCTATTGGATTTGATGCTAGTTGAAGTTTTGAAACCAATGAAGCAATTGACAAACATGATTAATTTTCGAAGATTCACGAAATGAAACACATAGTTGAAACTGATAATGGTAAGCAAATGAATGAATTGATTAAACGAAAAAACTGATATTTATTTTTATTTAGGATCACCGGCGAACATTTTGGAAATTGAATTGATCATGGTATGTAAATTGCTCAATTGATTACCCAAACTAACAACTAATTTCTTGACTCGTTTTCTAGATTCATTTTGGAAAAGGAAAACTGAATGCCCATTACGATAGATTTTTATTTACATGGTATGTGATTTTTGATGGAAATGATTGAAATAACTAACGAATTTCTTTATTTAAGATCGACAACTAGTCTTGGATCATAAAGATTGGATTGGCGGACATATGCTCATGGTCATTGGTTAATTTATAAATGGATCACTATGGACAAGACAAAAATTGGATCATGTTTAATTTGTTTTTTTAATTATTGTCATTGCTTTATTAATTTACTATACTATATTGCGTTAATTAATATTAATTTTGAATAACATTTTTTAATCCTAATATGGGGGTCAAATTAATGAAGTGAATGGGGCAAAATGAATTCAAGTTTGCAGGGTAAACTGCAAAATTGAATTTTTTGAAACCCTGCAGTGTACACCGGAGACTTTCGTCTCTGTGTACTCATGGAGAAATTAAATGAAAAAAAAACTTTTTCGGGAATTTTTTTTCAAAATTTTATTTTTCGTTTTTTTCCAATCTATTATTTACACATTAGCCATTCGTCAAGCGTTTACATTCCATTATAAGCTGGACCACCGGCACCTTCCGGTGTAACCCAGTTAATATTCTGAGATGGATCTTTAATATCACAAGTTTTACAATGAATACAATTCTGTGCATTAATCTGTAATCGATCATCACCAGTATCGGTTTTAATATATTCATAAACACCAGCTGGACAGAATCGTTGTTCAGGTCCATCAAATATTTTTAGATTTCTTTCAACTGGTATACTATCATCTTTCAATGTTAGATGAGCTGGCTGATCGGCTTCATGATTCGTATTTGTTAATGCAACCGATGACAAAAGATCGAATGTAATCTGATTATCAGGTTTTGGATATTCAATTGGTTGACATTCTTTTGCTGGTTTTAAATGTTTTGAATCTAATGATCCATGTTTCAATGTCCATGGTTCCATTCCACGAAGTCCAACATAGAATAACCCAGTATAGGCCATACCACCATAAAATCCTAATGGTGTATTGAATGATGGCCGTACATTTCTTGCAGCTTTCATCTCTTTCCAAACCCAACTATTTTTCAATAATGTTTCATATTCAACAGGTTCAAAACCGTGTTCTAGTTCATTACGTTCAAATGCCTGATAAATAGCATCGGCAGCTAACATTCCACTTTTCATTGCATTATGAGTTCCTTTTATTTTTGGTGTATTTAAAAATCCTGGACTACAACCAATCATACATCCACCAGGAAATGTTAGTTTGGGAATTGATTGGAAACCACCTTCATTCAAAGCTCGAGCACCATATGCAATACGTTTGCCTGTTTCAAAATATTTTCGGACAGATGGATGTAATTTGAATCGTTGAAATTCTTTAAATGGTGATAGGTATGGATTTTCATAATCAAGTCCAACGACAAAACCAACAGCTATCAATGGTGAATCATCAGCTAAATGATAAAGAAATGAGCCACCATATGTTTTATAATTTAATGGCCATCCAACAGTATGTTCAATACGTCCGGGTCGATGTAAAGCAGGATCGATTTCCCAAAGTTCTTTCAATCCAATTCCATACGTTTGATGTTGAGCACTTTTACGTAGATCATATTTTGCGATAAGTTGTTTGGCCAAATGACCATGACAACCTTCGGAAATAATTGTACATTTAGCACGTAGTTCCATGCCACGTTCGAATGAATCTTTTGGTGAACCATCTTTAGCGATACCAACATCATTAGTAGCAATACCACAAACTTTATCATCATCATACAGAATTTCAGCAGCAGCGTAACCAGGATATATTTCAACACCCAATTCTTCAGCTTGTGCTCCTAGCCATTCAACTACATGGCCTAATCGAACTACATAATTTCCATGATTATGTAATGGCATTCCTTTAAATATCGGAACCGGTATACGACCAGTTTTTGTAAGAATTGCAAATGCATCTTCAGTGACAGGAGTTTTTAATGGTGAATCTTTTTCTTTCCAATCTGGAATTAATTCATCTAAGGCACGTGTTTCAATACAGGCACCGGATAATGTATGCATTCCAATTTGAGCACCTTTTTCCACTAATGTTACTTTCAATTCTTTATCATTAGCAATGGCATGTTTTCGCAATTGAATCGCTGCACTAAGACCAGCCGGACCGCCACCAACGATGACGACCTTTATAATAAGAAATTCAATTAAAATTTATACTTGGTAAAAAAATTATTACATTGATTTTTTGTTACACACATACATCTGTTTCATCAGCGACACGTTCCATATCAATTTCTTTCCATCTTGGATCCTGTTCACGTGGATATATTGTAAAATGTGTAGTAATTTTCGGTTGGGTCGATAAAAATCTTAATCCATTAAATGATGATCGATATAATAATGTAGTCGATGATAGAAATCGATTCATGTTTTTCTACTTCTTCTTTTAGATGATTGTCGTTATAGAATAAAATATTGTCACAAAGTTTCAACAATTTCCGATTACTATTACTTTAACAAATGAATTAACGGGTACATTCGCCACACATGCACAGAATAATCAATTTTTTTCAATGATTAATTCATACCATCGATGACCTTCACATACATAAACAAATTGACGTCAAAAAAAATATGTCAAATCAATTGAATTTAGATTGTAAAATAAATGGAAAAGTAATACTAAAAAGTAGTTAAATTGAAGGAGAAAAAATTTCACCAATGTTATTGATAATGATCATAATCAAATGTGTGTGTACATTCGAAATATACAACTTTGAATACGACAACAAAATCATCATCATCATCATAATACAAATTCTTAATCGCCATCTTTTGATTATGAATCGAATTAAACACAATACATGATGTCGATGATGATTATATCCACATAAAGCTCAATGACCAAATTATGAAAAAAAGAAATAGAATATATATAGGCAGCGCATGTGGGTCCCTCATAATAATTATATTTTCAATGATTATCATCACCATCATCATCATCATACTGTGATGTTTTACGACATAGGCGACGGATTTTGATGCATCTGCAAATATATTGAATTACACAAGCGCAGCCGCTGTCATCGTAAAAAGGAAAAGAAAAGAAAAAAAGATTTCTGGATACACTATATTCACGGAACACCTTCGATTGGCCTATTCGGGTAAAAAAGCTACGATTGTAGTATTTTGGTTTGAGATATATCTTCTTTATAGTTTGTTATAACTGTACTTGTGTGTTGTGAGTATGTTTATTTTTTTAAATATATAAACCAGAAAGGCCAAAGATTCTCTTTCTATGTAGCTCTTGTACTATGTATATTAGATCTATAGTACAGTAGATTGTTTTACATTGCTCTATGTCATTTACTCGCAGAAGAAGATCCAACGAGTTTCTCCTGAAAAGAAAAATTTTTTTTTTCGTTCTGGCTCAAATACGATCCACGAGTTTTTTTTTCCTTTTTACTTTTTCACCAATCGGTTTCAAAAGTTTCTTCACGTTCCAAGAAAAATTTTATCTTCTTCATTTCATATTCTAGTCTTAACATCTCTAAAGTATAAAGTGTTGAATTTTTCATCATCATCATCATATAACCATCATGGATTCGGTCACTACACATGAGGTTTGTTTGTTTTTTTTTCTTGCAAATTATTGCAACATTTTTTCCGGTTATAATTAAAATCGGTTTTTCCCAATATAATTTTACCCATATTTGTCCCATTTCAGATTGCCGGTGATCATTTGCAATTATATGAAAAATTCTATCAGCAGGTAATTCATTTTTGTTGCCACATACATTTTTCACTTAAATAACTTTTTTTTTATTTGATTCAGATAAATCCGACCAATTCTGATATTATCAATGCAATGGATGCGGCAAATTTTCTACGTAAATCCGGTCTCAATCAAATGACATTGAAAATTGTAATGGCAAATTTTTTCAATATCTAAATTTTTAAAATCTAAATTATTGCTAATCATCATAATAGATTTGGGATTTAAGCGATCCAAATGGTCTTGGTTATCTGGACAAGAAATCATTTTTCGTTTCACTCAAATTGATTGCCATGGTTCAGAATGGCCGTGAACCAAATCATTCGATTTAAAAGCAACGTTACCACCACCTAGAATTGTGAGTCAATTTTTTTTAAAGTGATGGATTGTTATAATAATAGAAACTTTTATTCTTGATTTTTATAGAATGATGATTTTTTCAAATCAATCGATTGGAATATATCAACGGAAAATGCTCAAAAATTTGCCACCGTATTCAATTCGATGGGTCCAGTTGAAGGAAAATTAGCTGGAACAAAAGTTAAACCATATTTAATTAGTTCTAAATTACCGGTGGAAACATTAACAAAAATCTGGGATCTAAGCGATATCGATCAAGATGGATTTCTAAATCTAAAAGAATTCATTGTGGTATGTATCGATTATTCGTAATTGATTATGTGTCATTCATCTGGATAATCTCATTCAAAAAAAAAAAAAATTCTTTTTAGTGTTGTCAATTGATAGCACGAGCCAGTCAAGGTTTTATATTGCCAGCCGTATTGCCCAATGAATTATTAAACTTTAATCCAGCTGATCCATCTGCTCGTTCATTTTCACGAACATCATCAGTATCGTCACAATCATGTGTATCACCACATTTGAATCTGAATGAAGTGAGTTTGTTTTGATACAATTTTTACCATCAATTAATCGTTTTTTGTTCATTATAAGGCCACAAAATCAACTTCATCAAATCAATGGATTGTAACAAATGAAGAGAAAATAAAATCTGATGAATTATTCATCAAATTAGATAAAGATAATGATGGTTTAGTTAGCGGTTTAGATGTTAAAGATACATTGCTTGAAAGCGGTCTTCCACAACCGGTACTTGCTCATATATGGAATTTATGCGATATGAAAGAGACCGGAAAATTGAATGCCGAACAATTTGCATTGGCACGGTATTTTATTCAACAAAAACAGAATGGTATAGAACTACCAATGAAATTATTGCCGAATATGATACCACCGACGTTTAGGCCTAAACCTATGGTATAACGATTATAACGACGGAATTTATTTGATGAGATTTTATTTTCAATTTTTTTGTTTCTCCTATATAGGAATCTATAAGTAACGAAAATATCAATGGTTCAATGAATTTATTACAACAACAACAACAACAAATGGGAACATCACCTACATCTTCAACATCATCAACTGGTAATCGAGAATTGGATCTTTTACAAGAAGATATCAAAAAGATTCAATTGTAAGTGAGAATTATTTTGATTTATATTTATATTAATTCTTTGTTGTTGTTGTGGTTGTCATTTTATAAAGAGAAAAAACCAAATATGAATCGGAAGTAATTGCAGAAGAACAATCACTTCGATTAAAACAGAGCGAAGTAAAATCCATACATAATGAGATCGAAGCATTGTCACAAATGTTGAAACAATTGGAAAATCAAAAGAATGATGCCAAAAAACGTATCGATGATCTCAATACACAGGTTGGCCAAAAAAAAATTTCTTAAAAATTTAAATTTCATGATTTTTTATTTCAATTCACCATTTACTAACCCATTTGTTTTTTTAAATTTTCAAATTATGATTTTGGCATGGTTTCATTATTTTCAGTTAAAATATTTAGAAAATAATTTGCATGATATTTCAGTTAAAGTAAGCATGTGATCAGTTAATGCATGTAGTTGTTGCAAAAAGATTTTATCATCATTTTTCATATTCTCTTTTCATTTTGGATCATTGGATTTAAATTTTTGTTTATGTAATTTTTTTAAAATTAATTTTCTAGGTTGAAAATTTAAATAAACAATATAATGAACAAAAAAAGAATATCGATGATCAAGAATCGGATTTAAATTCAAAAAAACAAGAATTTGAACAATTAAAATCTGAAGAAACGGTATTGGAAACAAAAATTGAATCGGCCAAAAAAGAATTAGAACGAACAACAAAATTAGCTGCCGATACACAGCTGGAAATTAGCCAAATCAAAGCAAATACTGTGGAATTAGATGAATATGAAAGACGGTTTAATGAAACAATTTATGATTATGATAATGCTATTTCGAATGCCGATTATGCTAATATCACTTCATTGTTATCGAGATCAATTACTCCTCCTGTATTATTGACCGAAGAGCAGCATGGCAAAGTGTTGGATTCAACTTTAGATGAAGATCAATTCAATTCGGATCCATTTGCCGGTGAAGATCCATTCAAAGGTTTGTCAGAATCATCTATTTTATTTTTGTATGTAATTGACAGCTTGATTTGAAACAAACATAGATGATCCATTTGGTTCTAACAAAACTGCTAATGACGCTTTTGGTTCGGATAATTTTGCAAATTTCGATGCATTTGGCACAAGCAATACTGCAAACAATAAGGTAATTTTTAAAATTTTCAGCATTTCTGTAAATTTAAATATAAAAAATCATCATTCTAATTTCAGGGCGATCCATTCGGATTCTCACCATTTGATTCGAACCAATCAGCCAATGATCAATTTCGATCGGAAAGTCCAACACCAGCATTGCCGCCCAAAAAAAGCAAAGCTCCACCACCACGGCCAGCCCCTCCCAGTAAATCTTCGGCAACCAACAAAACACCATTACGAGCGGCACCACCACCACCATCATCATCAAAAGATAAACCAGAAAGACCACCACCATTGTATGCAAATGCATCATCTAATTTTGATCCATTCACTGATCAGAATCGTGACCCATTTGGTTCTGATTCAGGCTTTTCATCCTCTAATACACAGAATTTCGCAAATTTTGCCGATTTCGATAAGGCACAGTGATTCATTTTGAGAAAAAAAACAAAAAAAAAATAATTCTTGTCTTTATCATCACTTTTTATTGTCTTGTTGCTGTGTTTTTGATTCCTAGCGTTTTTTTTCCATACACTTGAACACACATACCGACATTTGTGTTTTTCCCATTTATTCTTTGGTGATTTTAATTCTATAGTCATTCCGTTTCATTATCGTTATCATTCCTATTTTTTTTTTTTTAACATCAACACTTATTATCACACATGTTCATGATTCTTAGCAATATCAACATACACACACATACAAACAAAATATATAAATCATGATTCATTACAATCATAATATATACCTGGAAATACGAGTATTGCCTTAATTTTATTCTGTGTTTTTTCTTTTCTTCATTCATTCATTCATTCGTTTGTTTTTTTTTCATTGTTGATCTTGTTATAATAATAATGATAATTGTTTTGTAAATAGTATCAAACACTCACACATACACCCCCACACACACACACAAAAGATATTTGCACTCGATTTCTTGGATCATTATCATCATCATCATCATCAACATCATCATCGTCAACAACAAGAGCATCCTATTTATTAATTAATTAACTAATTATAATTGAATACATTGATCATCCAAAACCTTCTATACAGTGAAAACAAAACAGTCAAAAGTTTGATGTTCAATAGTAACGTGAATCTAAAAGACTCGTAAATTTTCTTATTATAGTAAGCAATACATTTTCAAATATACACACACACACACACATAAATCTATCGGCAAAAACAAAAACAAAAAATCTCATTTCTTGTCTCTTTATTATCAACACACACACACAAAAAAATCTCCTTATTTTCATCAAAGTGTTTTTGACTCTTATCGTGATTGATGTAATGCGAGTGTTTTTTCTTTGTTTTTTCTTGATTCTTTTCATATATATCATCATTATATAAATAATAAATGCAACAGATTGAATTATGATTAGTCAAAAAAAAATCCAACTATAGTCTGTTCTCATTTTTTTTCAACACAATTTTTTCATTGATTTTTATTTACAATCTGTGAGAAGAAATTTGATAAAGAAAAAATGTTCGGTTTTCATCGATTTTCAACGTTGTTTTTTGTTGTCGTTGTTTTCATATCCATTTTTCAACTCCATCCATTCGAAACAATGACAATGTCGTCAACATATTCGACAAGAATTAAAACCACATGGAATAATGAATCTATTGCCGCCGAACAATTTATATCAATTTCTATGCATTATTCAGGTGAAGATTTGATCATATTGATTCATGCTCCATTCTACAATGATCCAGTATTACCAGATTGGTCAAAAAAACCTGGAACATTTGATAAACTTTATGAATATGAAGTTGTTGAATTGTTTCTATTGAATTCACAAAATGAACATTATCTAGAAATTGAACTTGCTCCTCGTGGTCAATATTTATTACTGGAATTGAATGGCTATCGTAATGTAACACGAACACCGATTTCATTGAAATCATATGATGTAAAAATTCAGCATGACAAACATTGGTCAGGTCGAGCAATTGTTTCAAATGATGATCTTCCTTATGGTATTGATAAATTTAATGCATACGCTATTCATGGTTCCGGTTCAAATCGAACATATTTATCATTGTTTCCGGCTCCTCATAATAATCCAAACTATAGTGAACCGGATTTTCATCGACTTGAACTTTTTAAACCAATTTCCTTGTTCCATCCTTATCATTAACATTCATAGGTTCGAAAGGTTCATTGATTCATTGATTTTGCGACTAAATTTTATTTTATTTTATCTGATTTTTTTTTTGTTAAATTGTTGTTGTTGTTGTTGTTATTATTATTATTAGTAGTAGTAATGCAAAACAATCAATTATAAATCGCAAACAAATAAATAAAACATTACAATCATTTAAATCATTCAAATGAATTAATTGAATGGCTCTCTATTGATTTTTTTTTTCATTTAATGTTTTCTATTCCTACCATAATTGGATTCATTTATCTGGCATGTGCTTTGCAATATGGTCGTCCACCTTTAGCAAAGAAACTTTGTCCTTCCAGATTATTATGACAAACAGTACAACGGAAACAATTTGAATGATAATTTTGATTTAATGCTTCTACCCAACGATCACCAGCAGCAATTGGATAACCACAGCCAACACATTTTGTAGTGAATAAATCATTCCAATCTTTTTCACAATATGGAAACGAATCTTCTAGATAGAATTCTGAATTACCAAATGGTTTACGACAATGAGTACAGGTAAAACATTCTGGATGCCATTTCTTTCCCAATGCATTCAAACAATCCTAGATTTTCAACAAAATGATTTCAATATATAAGATATGATGAGAAATTTAAAAAAAAACAAAATTGAATAAAAATATTTACCCCTTTGATCCTTTGAAAGCATTTAGCACAGCTAGGAGCAAAATGTGTTTCATAACAATTTTCGCAATATAAACGATCCTGTTCTTCAACGAAACCATTTTGTTCTAATGAACGTTTGCAAAGATTATTGGCACAGATAAAATGATTTGGACACCATGTTTTATTCAATGCCATAATGTATTGACCACTGTTAATGGAAAATGATTTGCTGAAATTGTTTTTTTTTTTTCTTAAACAAACAAACAAACAATAACATACCGAATCGGTTGTGAACAATAACCACAGAATGGAATCACACCACCGGTAAGTTGATTCTGTAGCATACCTTTACCACGTTTTGGTGCCATACGATTCATATCGGTAGTCGATGTTTGTTTATTACCGAATGATGTTGTTGTTGATGATGAATTCACCGCTGTTGTTGTTTGACGTTGTTGTTGTGTAGCATTATAGTTGGGAACATTTTTTGCTGAATAAGCCGACGGAAGCGTTGTCATCGGTTGGGTACCAGCTGGACCTGCCGAACCAATCGGTGTCGAATAAGTTGTCGTTTGGCTAGAAGCATACGTAGCTGTTTTTGGATAAGGCAAATTATTTGGATTAACACCACATGGGCTACCAGGAAATTTAGTAGTTGCTGTACGTGTTTCATAAGTATTAGTTGTTACTGAATAATTGCCTTGTGTTTGTGGTAAGCTTGAATAGCATGATTTTGGCCGATTCATTTGTTTAGCTAACGATGCTAATTATGATTAATTTAATTAATTTTTTGTTTTTGTTTTCGTTTTAAATGCGTGGGTGTAAAGTATTGGAGAAAAGATCACGATAACACGAGATCAAATCATTCAACTCAGAATCGTACATGCACATACACTTACATGATAAATAATCAGCGGCCGGATTGGATGGTGCCATTGATGGCTGTATTATCGGCTGATTAAGATTTCGTTGCACTGAATGGGGCAAGTGTAAAATGCAAAACAAACAAAAAAAAATAATAAAATCATGCAAAAAAAACCAAGGAAAAAATTGTAAGCAAGAATCATCAAGAAGACAAAAAGTCAACCTACCAGTTGAATGAGTTTCTGTTGTATAATTATACGATGATGGTGATTGCGATGCCATCGATCCATACATTGAATTACGATTTGTTTGACTTGGTGACTAATTATTTTATTTAGAAAAGAAATTTTCAGGTTGTTTCCATAATTCCTTAATTATTTACAAACTTACAAAATTTGGTTTTGGTGGTGCAATCGGTGAAAATTTTTTTGGCATCGTATTGAAATTTGGTGACGATGATTGAAATCCGTTCTGTGTTTGTAAATTAGTAGACTAAATGTTTTTTTTTTTTTTTTGATTTATTGATGAAAATTCGAAATGTTTAAAATTCAATCACTTACCTGATATGATTGTACGGGTATTGAAATCTCTCTTGGTTGTGGAACTGTTTGTGGTGATTGAGATAATGGTGAAATATGTTGTCGTTGTTGTTGTTGTTGTTGTTGTGAGAATCCTATTGGTGCCGGTTTAACATCCGGTGCACTTGGAAAACCTTGACCACCGGTTTCACCTAATACGGCACGCATTTGTCTAGCATGAATATCGCAATATAATTTATCATTGATATTAAAATAGCCAACATTTTTCAATGAAGTTCCACATGTAGCACAAACAAAACAATCAGCATGTAATGATTTATTATTGATTCTAACAAATACGCCTCTAGTTTGTTTATGGATGAAAATTTGAATTGAATTTATTCATCAATAAGAAAAATCAAAGCTATAATACATACACAATCAATCGTTCACAATGTGCACAAACATTACGATTTCGTTCATCAATTTGTTTTTGTGGACACGGTCCACTTGGAGCTGTTACATGACGTATTGGACCATCAATAGATGATGGATCATGAAAGCCATTTTTTTCAGGTGAATCTGATAAACCTATTATATTCGGATAAGAAAATTGATTGAAAATTAAATTGATTATTATATTATTCAAACCTTTAGATTTACGCATCTCTTCTTCTTCTTGAACTAATCGATATACAGCCGAATCTTTATTTACCGGTTGTTCCGGTTTTATGAAATTTATTCTATATGATATCAAAAACAATATTTTGTTTGATGATTTATTTATTCTGGATCAATATTCTGGAACACACTTACCCAGTGGCACCGGTTGCCAATACTTGTGAATGTGCATTCAATGTTTCTTCCAATGCTTTATCCGAATATAAATTGATTGGCGAATTAAATTGTTTATGCACCAATTTTGGCCCATTAAATGGTTGGGCTGTTGAATTGTGGCCACTTCCGATTCCGGCATATTCCTATATATCAATTGATTCAAATTAATGGAACATTAAAAAATTTATTGATTAAAGAAGAAAAAAAATACCTCAGGATTTTTAGCCAATGATGTTTTAGTATAAATTTGTGGCTCCATTGATTGTGCTTTATTATTTTGACGGATATCGAATGAACCGACAGGTGTAACTGTTGGTTTCCAAGTGTTCATAGGACCTCTTTGATTATAACAACAACAGCCGAAGCAACACAGCAATATGATAGTGATAGGATAAACAGACAATGGTAATAAATCATTTGAAATTTGTCAACTACATTATTATTCATTATATGATATACGGATGTGTGATTTTTGGGGCGGGACAATTATTGGTAGGTGTGTGTGTATCTGTTTGTATTTGTTTATAAAAAGGATTATTACATTACATTACATTACCTTTCTAAATACAATTCAAGATAATTGCCAGCATTCAATATTTGATCCTGTGCATCTTTATGACGCATTTGATCACATTCTTTTCCATTTATCTTTAGTATAATATCGCCTAAACATACACCAGATTGTTCAGCTAAACTTCCTTCCGATACCTATTTAGAGAGTTAGTTAATGAAAAACAAAATCAAATAAGCCACAATAAAACATTAATGATGATGATGATGATGATGATGGAGGTCATGGGCGAAAAATTTAGCCAAGAAAAATAAGAAAAAAAAGAATTTGTGTTTTAAATTTCATGATTAAAATGATTAATTTTTTTTCTTTATTTTTTTTCTATAGAATTTATGTTTTTCAGATGAATTGTAACAAACATTGGTTGTTGATGTTTGTTTGTGTTTGTGTGTGTGTGTATATGTTTCTAAATGAAATGCCATCATGGTAAAGAGTTATTTTTGGCCGAAAAGAAAAATTCTTTAACCAAATAGAAAAAAAAACATTCCATTCCATCAGAAATGAAATATATAATGAGAATCTTAGCCAAGAAAAAAAATCACACAGTAAGAATCACAGACATTTATTGGTACAAGGGCGCCAAAATCAGATTGAGTGTTTCCTATTATTATTTTCCATGATTATGAGAATGAACGAAAAAAAATTTGGGAAACACTTGTACGATAATGCTGACTAGGCGTGTGTTTAAGCCATCAAACACTAGAATATTCTTTAAATGAATAAAAATGTTGGCAACGAATCCCTTAGAAAAAACAAATAATTTGGACATGTCAAACGCCATCCCTGAATTGAATGGATTTGCTCCAAATCTAAAACTATTTAGCTAAAGCTCATCCATTACATTTATCATGGATGAATTTATCATCGAATTTTTTCGGGTTGTCTATGCGTTCCATGAAAATCGTTTTTTGATGAACTGTCACAACACACATCGTAATCATATTAAAAGAGTAAAGAAGAGAAAATAATACGGAAATAGATAATGAATATTGACAAAAAAAATCTGGCTTCATATAATAAGCTAATCATCGAACAAACGACACTAATATTGATGATGATAATGATAATGGCTAGATGCATCAAAAATAAATAGAGAAAAAGATTGATGTACATGAATCAAACATTGGCATCATTCAAAGAATCATGCCAACATTATGATTTTTTTTAAAAAAAATTTGAATAATGTAGTTCACTCTTTCTCTCTCTCTAGTTGATGTCGTTTCCCTCATGAATTGCAATTGGTTAGAATTTTATTCATTCCATTGTTTCTTACACAAGTATTATGGCCAAGAATAGGCCTGAATTCGGGTCATCGATCACATACTATTGATAGTAGCAGTAGGATGGTGTGTTGTTGATGATGATGAATATATGTGACTGGCAATCAACATAGAGATTCGATTGTAAAAAAAAAACATTTTCATCAAAATAAAACATAAAAATGTGTTTAAACAACCGAAAATAACAACAATTTTTATATGTTTTTTTTTCTCTCTCTCTATTCATCGTGATGGATATATCACATATTGGAAATTTATGGCAAATCAAAATGGTTTATTTCGTTTGTTTAAATATTGCATATAAGTAAACACAAAAATTTATTCGATTCATTGATAGCCAATTTTGGAGAACAAGAATTCTAGCCTATAATAATGACAAATGTGCTTACCTTGGCCATAGATAATGGCATCTGAAATTCTTGTCCACCTTGAAGACGAAAACCCCATGGTGTTGATTGATCAGATCGCATTAATTTTGCTGTTATAAATGTTCCTGTAGCCATCGTTGTTTGTTTGTCGTATCGTTGCTAATAAATTCTCAGATTTCAAATTGTATTTTTTGTTGTTGTTGTAGATCACTGTAGTAGTGGGCGTATTCCGGAATAGAATAACTTCAGAATCAATCTATTAATAAATCAATTTATAAATCAACAGACATCGAAGCTAGTGGATTCGTGCGTAACAAACAACAAATTTTCAAATGGAGAATCGTATAGATTGATTGAAATTTTTTTTTTTAATGGAATAATCAATTATGATTCTCGTATCATTCAATATTCGAATCCGTAGTCACTGTTTATGAATATGAAAATAATGATGATGATGATGATGATGATGTTGATGGCAATGAAGATTCGAGACGTTAACGAGACAGAATAAGTTTATCACAGACACACACACACACACACATACACATTCAATTGAAGAAACTGGATCAAATCAAAAAAAATGAACTGATGAACTTTATCAATGTTGTACAATGTAAGCTATAATCAAGAATGGCATCTTGAATAAAACGATTCTACATTCAACGGCATCATCATCATCATCATCATGACGTCGACTTCATTATTCATTGTTGATGATTGAAAATCAAGACATCAAACGAAAGAATTTGAAAGAGTTGCAAAAAAAAATTAAAGAATTCGTGGATATTCGCGCATGAATAATGAAGAAATGAACAATCAAGGAATCACCACCACCACCACCACCACCATCATCATCATCCAAATTGTTGCGCTTACACACGATTTCGAACAATAATGTTGACTAAATGTGATAAATATATACGAAGCGACACTGTTGCAAACTTTCAAAAAAAAAAAAAAAAAAAAAAACCATTCGAATCCTCACATTGCCTCAATCCAACAGATATGAAATGAATAAAAAGTTGTAAACCCAAAAAAAGCCTTGTTATATGTTGGATGCTATTGAAGAGAGAGAGAGAACGAACGAAAATGAACAACAACAACAACAACAACAAAAAAAAAGAGGAAACATACAGACACACACGATTACCAGACAATATTTCTGGTTTATAAATTTGAATATATATTATGAATCTGATTCGGCGTCATTTAATTCATATACAAAGATTTTTAATGTCGATTAAAATTTTTATTATTATTAATATATATAGATCCTAATGGCATGATTTCATCGATATCTATGTTGATATTGTTGATTCATTTTGATGAATATATAACTGTAAACTGATTCTTTCTTTTTTTTCACTCTTTCTCTCTCTCTCTATTGAATGAATAATTGCAATTCAATGAGAATATACATGATGCCAATATGGTAATATTTGCACCATGAACCAGATCCATATTCCATCATATAACACACACACACACACACACCATTTATAACCATTTGAAAACAATTCAATTCAATTGTTTATTTCAAACTCTTTTTATTTCTTCTTTGGCTGGTTATATATTATTGTGTTTAATGTAAATGTATGTATAACTATCGTTGCTTTTCTTTAATTCATTCGATTTTTGTTTTTTTCGCACATCATTTTTTTTCTTCTTCTTCTTCCAGATTCACAATTCCGACAATAAAAACAATTTTTGTTGTTGTTGTTGTTGTTTGTTGTTGTTTGATTCTTATCATAGACATGGAAAATGAAGAAAAATCTCAAATATGATGTCAAGGGTGAATGGTGAGATGAGCTAGATGGAATGAACTAGATTTTTTTTTTGAATTTCTAATCTAGTTTCTATAGAAATAAAAAAAACAGATATCTTAAGATTTTGATCATGATCATGATCATCAATGAAACAAGATTCCAATGAAACGTGACATTATCCAATGGATCAACAACAATCCCTTGTAATATATAAAATCTCATTTGATATTTTTTGAACATTTTTATTTCATTTCATTTCATTTTTTTTTATTATTATCAACATCAACATCGTTGATTTTTCTTGTTATATTATCAATATAATCATAATCAGAATCGATTGTTAATTTCTTATTTTGTGTGTTGATGATGAATATTGTAGGATAAAGTTGAAATGGGCAAAACAAAAAAAAGGTGGTGGTGGTTGTGATTAATTGTGTGTGTGTGTGTGTGGAAAAGATAAGTAGATATTGGATCTAAAATTTTGTTTTTAGTTTAGAATTTTTATGATTAAAAATCCTTTATCAATTCTGTTTGGGCAATATATTGTGTTCCAGGTGGTGTACGATAAGTAATAGGCACATGTGAACTAATCCAACCGGGTGCTGGACTTGATTCACGGCTTGGATTATATGCATAATTTATATCATCATTTTCATCCGGTATAAAACCAGATCTACCGGCTGGTGTTGAATTACTTGGTGGTGGCCAAATACGTGTTGATGATCGTACACGACCATAATTAACGAATGGTGAATTAGGTCGATCACCATAACCAAAATCACGATCAACTGATTGTGCACGACTTGGTGGCCATGCATATTCTTGATTATGTGGTGAATCTAAATATAAAAAAAATGAATTGAATTATTCAAAAAAAAATCGATTATAATATTGCTTACCACGACCTTCAACATATGCACCTTTATGTACATTTGGTACTGGTGGTGGCCATACAGGACGAATTTTTCTACGTTCAATACCAGATAATGATGGCCGTAAATTTTTAATTGTTGGCGGTGTTTGATTAATATATGTTTGCATCTGTCGTGTTTGTGATGGTAATAATTGATCAACATTAGGAATATTAACAATAGGTAATGGATCTTTCCAATCACGATCAGAACTAATTGAATTAAATCTTTGACGATGATTGACACCGAAATATTTTTTCTCATTATTCACCGGTTGTATACCATGATTACCAATTGGTACAATTGATTTGACCATTATACGATTTGTGTTGGGCAATCCGAATATTTTTTTATTTGGATCAACACGAATAGGATTGTTATTGGAATCATTAAAATCAAAATTACTGCCAATTGTAGGTGTTGATGGTGTTGATTGTGTGACTTGCCGTGATTGTTGTTGCATTGGTTGTTGTTGTTGTTGTTGTGTTTGTTGAGGAAAAGCCGGTGATGATGGTGTTGTCAATGAAATCGAATGATTCAATTGCAATCGATTCGGAGATTTCGATGGTGAACGTGGATTCAGGCCAAAAACACGCACATCTTTTCGTGGTTGTCCTGGTTGTGTGGCTTCTGGACGTAAAAGTTGTTGTTGTTGTTGTTGTTCATCAGATCTAAATATTGTATTGTTGTTGTTTGGTTCAGGACTTTGTATTGGTTTGAATTGTCCAATTGAAGAATCAGGTGAACGACTATTAAATGATTGTGGTGAATGAATGGCTAAATAAAATGTATTGTAAATTCGAAAAAGATCATCACAAAATCATTTATTCCATACCTTGGTTTCCATTTTGCATTGTTGGTGGTACCATCATTTGCATTTGTACCTGTGTTGATCTAATGACATTTTGATTATCTCGTGACATTATTTGATTTGGCTGCTGCTGCTGTTGTAATTGTTGTTGTTGTTGTTGCTGATGTTGTTGTTGTTGGTGTTGATGTGAATAAATAGGTGGTTTAAATGGAACTGGTGGGAAATGAGCCGGACGTTCCATATACGGGACATCTGATCTTTCAGAAATTATTTCCGTGTTTCGTTCGATTCGTGGTTCAACATCTCGGCCATCATCACTTTTTAGACAAAAAAAATCTGTATGATCAAATGATCAAACCAATAACGAAAAAAAATGGCTCACCGAAGAATAAATAGATCAATACAATGTGTACATCGGAGAATAATTTGTTGAACTTCGTCATGTGTTAGGCCACGTAAAGAGATGTTTCCGATACGAACTAATTCATCACCTTCAGAAAGGCCACCCAAATATGCTAAACTATCTGATGTAACCTAATCAAAAGAGAAAAAATGGACAAATTTAACATCAATTTTTCCAAAAAAAAAAAACAAAACATCAACCTACTTTTTGTATCTGAAATGGTTGACCTATTTCAGCACCACCACCTAAACGAAAACCCCATGCTTGGCTTGGATTCTGGCGGCGTAATGTCACCAAAGTTGGTTTTTTAAAAGGTGGCATATTCTTGTTTACACACAAACACACACACACACACACAACGATTTATGGCTCTCTTCACAAATTAGATTATTGAATCAATCAAATTTGATGAAATTGAGAATATTAAAAAAAAAAAAAAATTCACAATAATTAAACCATACATATAATAAATAATAAATTATATGAAAGACAAATTCGTTCGACGTTCAAGTTATTTTGTCTGTCTTGGAAAAGACCTACAGGAAAAGAATCAATATTCTGTATATCGTAAATGGTAAAAATGTTTTCTCCTTTTTCGTATAAATTGCAATAATAATAAAGCCAATCGTTGTTATTGTCGATGATGATGATGATGATGATGATGTTGATATTTTATTTTTCACTCAAGTCGAGCAATTCTTTACAGTAGTAGAAGAATTTCAATTTTTAAATTTAGAATCAACAACGATGATGATGATGATGATGATGATGAAACTGTGTTGACGTGTATGATGATGTTTCTTACATTTGTCACCGACACCGATTTCTTTTTGATTATCATACTTGATTTGAAGAATAAAAAATTTTTCTTACACTTTCGACCGTCATCATCATCATCATCAAATAACCATGATTTAATTGAAAGAATTTTTTTTCATAACAACTACTACTACTACTACTACTACTACTTTTTTCAGATTCTTTCAGCCATTATTGTTTTTAATCTTGAAAATATTTTTTTTTCAATTTGTAAATACCGATTCTGATTCTCATAAACATTCTTTTCTTTTCATTGATCTACACATGTAAATTAATATTTTTTTTTCAAGAAAAAAATGGGCAAAAAACAAGTAAGCCTACATACATTACATTTGTGGAAAGAAAATTCTTGAATCAACCGAATAAAGTAGAATGTGAATAGCTCTAAACGATTCTAATATGTTGTTGTTGTTGTTGTTGTGTTGCCAAATTTGTGGGCAACATCCCTAAACAATTTTTTAACGTTTTTTTTGATGATGATGATGATGATTATTAGATGGATCTTTTTTTATTTCAAATATTACCGCTGTGCATACATCTTATTTTTGTTTCCGTACATCGTATTGTCATTTATATTTAAGAAAACAAAAATTTTGTAATTGGCCCAATTCCAGATTTATGGTTTTTTTTTGTTTCATTGATGATGTTGATGTTTATTGAATTCTAATCGATTCCAGATCAGCCAATAAAATTATCGAAGGTCGATTTTTTTGTTTAGGAACAAGGTTATAATGATCATGATAATTTTTAATGTTAAAGTCTGGATGGAAATAAAATATTGGATTTGTGGCTAATTTGAAAAATTTTTGAATTTTGTAACTCGTTCTGATAATAAAAGGTGGCAGCACAGATGTTGAATGATTTGAAGTTCTTTTTTTTCCAGTTACAGCATTGATGAACGCAAGCCACGTGTTTTCGCATATATTGCATATATTTCGCGTCAAGACGAGCATAATTCGCAGGTGATTGATTTTCAATTATTTCGAAAACAATTCAATTTCGATAATATAAATAAAATTCTACTACATATTTCAAAATGGTCACTGCTGAAGCGGAAAAAGTTGACATCACCGATAGTGAAAAGAAAATCATTGATCAAATCGAGGTAATTCATCTATTGTGACTGAATGTATTTTTTTTGTATTAGAAAAATTAATCTTGATGATTCTTTATTCTTAGTATTATTTTAGTGACATTAATCTGCGTCATGATAAATTTATGAAATATCAATTGAGAGAAAATGATGGCTGGTTTCCATTGGATAAATTGATGACATTCAATAAGTTGAAAACATTGTCTACTGATAAAAATGTCATCATAGATGCATTGAAAAAATCATCAAATGGTCTAATTGAATTGAGTGAATGTGAAACAAAATTGCGTAGAATTAAACCATTACCAGAATATACACCTGAATATTTTAAACAATTGAATCTTCGTACACTACATTTGAAAGGATTTCCTAAAGATTCTACATTTGAACAATTGAAAATTTTTTGCAGCCAATATGGTGAAATTGATTCAATCGAAATGCGTAGACGTGATGGTAATTTTAAAGGCTGTATTATGGCTGTATTTAAGAATCAAGAAATTGCCGATAAAATTCTTGCAACTGATGGTCTTAAATATAATGATATGGAATTATTGAAAGAGAATAAGGAACGATATTTTGAGCGTAAAAAAAATTTTCTCGAATCAATTCGTAATAAAAAAAAGAATAAAAAATCTCATGAAGAAGTAGCAATCAAAACTGAAGGAGCAATCATGAAAATTACTGATTTGTCTGCCGAAACCAAATATATTCAAATTAAAACAGAATTGACTAAACATTCCAAAGTTGCATTCGTAACGGCTATTGGTGAATCACGACAATGTATGGTTCGATTTGATGAAAAAAATGGCGCAATACAAGCATTGAAAGCTTTGCGTGACCAATCTACCAAAAAAGATGAAGATAAAACCAATGATGGCGAAAAAAAAGATGGTGATGATGCTAAAGTTGAGGATAAAAAAGATGGTGATGATTCTAAAGTTGAAGATAAAAAAGATGGTGATGATGCTAAAGTTGAAGATAAAAAAGATGATGACGATGCTAAAGTTGAGGATAAAAAAGAAGTTGGCAATGAAAAGGATTCCAATGTTGAAGAGAAAAATGTAAAGAATGACGATGAAGATTTGACAAACGAATTTATCGTTAAACTTTGTGGACAAAATGTCAAGGTTTCATTAGTTAGCGGTGAAGAGGAGAAAAAGTATTGGGTCGATTTCAACCAAAGCCGACAACAATCCAATATTGGACGATCAAAAAAGAATAAATGGCAAAGTAAGTTAATTTTCTATTTAAAAAAAAATAAATTTCTTATAATCAAATAAAAATTTTTCACAGAAGGTAAAAAACGTCATTTTGACAATAAAGATAACGACAATGGCAATCAAGAGCCAAAGAAAAAGTTGGCAAAAGTGGAAGGATAATAACTAATCCACAACGTCCATACATCATCAAATCTTTTACCAGAATATTTTGTCAATAATTTGAAAATTTAAATGGCACGAAGTCCGAAGACTCTTGTACCGATGATGAAATGAAAAAATAATTGCATGAAAGAATATTTTGTCAACAGAATTTCAAATAATTGTTTCTTTCACTATAATTTCATTCTATATTTAGTATATAATATAACTGCATTATTATTCTAAAATATTTGCAAATAAAGACAAAATACTTCAAGTTTTATTATATGATAGTCATGATTATTTGTTTTTATTATTATTCATTAAGTATGGCTTGAATTTTTGTATATAATGGATAAAATTCAATTGATTTTCGTACATATGTGGTATTCAATGTGGATAGGCCATCAGTAGATATTCGATCTAAAACATTAGCCAATAATTTTTGTCTTTCAACATTTGATTGTCCTTCATGACCATGTTTGATCATCGTACATCGAGCAACATTCTGTGGATATCGTTCAATAAGACCAAAATTATGTTTAATTCGTTGATAGAAATCATCATCTTCGCCGCCCCATCCACTATACAGATTTGAATAACCGTTTACATGACGAAATTGTTCCTTGCTTATTGTAATAACACCACCAAACAATGTTGGATAAATTAGAACGAAACGAAATTTATCCAAATATGAGCACAAATGTTTGGGCAATTTTGTACAGGAATATGTTTGCTCAATATTCAAAGGCAATATATCAACATCATGAAATATGAAACAATCAATTTCATGTTCAAGACCAAGAGATTCTTGAAAACCAATGTTTAATAAATTGGCTCTATTAAATGGTTTATCATCAGCTTGTTCAATAATAAAAATCTGATAATCAATTTGATTCTGTTTGATAAGAAAACTGTGCATATGTTGTAGGAATATTGTTAAATGCTCGGTTCGATTACGAAAAGGCACAATAATTGCAACTCGTTGTTTACGATTCGAATCACAGTGTTTATTATGATATCGGCCACCATAATCAACAGTGGCTAATTGTTCAGAATTGTTAAAATATCCATTAGCTATAAAGATAAAACAGAATGAATGTGACAGAAATATTAACAACAAATTAACAATCACTGAATCATACCATTTCTATACAAATTAAATTGTTTGTGCGGACATAATAATTTTGGTGGACGAATTTCAATATAACCAAAATGATAAGAATTCGGTAAAGTAAGTGGAAATAAAAAGGCGACTAGAAGTGCAAATATGATGAATTTTTCAATAAAATTTAAACGATCATTCCATTTTCTTAATATTATTCGTAAATTGGTCCATATGGACATTTTATCAGTATATCAAAAAAAAAAAAAAAAATCAAAACAAATTCCACACTGAAACATTTTCTAAATGGAAAAATTTTCTGAATACAAAATTAATTTGCGAGCATATTATTACCATTCATAAATTCAATGATGATGATTGAACTAAACGAATGATTATAACGGATTCAATTAGAATATATAATAATCATTGATTTTTTCAATCGATTAATTTTTTTTGTTTTGTTTTGTTTTGATATTCTCCTATGATTTTATCATTCCAGAATCATGTTATTATAATGTTCAACATTCCATTTGAAACTATATCCAGTTTAAATTCAAACGAACAAAAAAAAATAAATAGTAAAAGAATCCAATAGATTTGACAATCTCATAAATGTTACGAATACACGCGTATGCGTGTTAAAATATTCTTGAATTGGAAAAAAAAAATTTCCCTTTTTCTTCTGTAAATATAACTGTCATCATCATCGATAAGAATATGATGATGATGACAGAGACATGGAATTTTCATTCCGAATCATGATGATGATACATGAATCAGCAACAAGAGTATGGCAAAAAAAAAAGAAGTGAGTATATGAATGTGAGGAAAGAAAAAATATGTACTGAACACACACACACATACAAATCGAGTTTGAGAACTGAAATACAAAAAAAAAAAAAAACTTTCTATACTGTGGTCTATAATAATGATGATGATGATAATTGTGTCGAAAAAAAACCGATTCAAAAACCAATGGAACCCGAACAAAAAACACACACACACACAAAACGAGAAAATGAGTGAGAGTGACACACATTTAGGTTCGGTACAAAAAAAAATCTTCTGACTCCCAAAACCATACACACACACACACACACACAACATACGGGTGGAATGCTGTTCCATTTACCGCTACTTTTGTTATATACTATTTTTTTCGGATATCCATTTATTCGATCCAACATTATATAAAGTGGAAAGTAAAACTATCTAGAAGAGCATGGCGAATGATCGTCAACCAAACAGCGACAATGATAATGTCGGTCGGTCGGTCGGTTGGTCGGTTGGTTGGTTGGTTGGTTGGTTGGTTGATGGTTCCAAAATTTGTACCGCTGCCTACCATCATCAATAGTTATGGTTTTGTTGTTGTTATTATTATTATTATTATTTTTATTGTTGTTCATTGATGATGCGCATTTTTCCAACAGTGGTCCACTGATCCATTAGTTTTGGTTCGTCACCTAATTTCTAAAATGTTCCAAAATATGTATGTGTGAGTATTCTCTCTCATACAAAAAAAAAAAAATTCAATGTGAATTGTAGTGCGTGTGTGTGTGTATGTATGTATTATATAATCAAGATAATTGTTACAAGTGGAAAAATTTCACAATACTAAGCTACGGGATCATCATCATCATCATAATTATCAATTTTTGATCTCTAAAAAATTCTTAATTTCAATAAATTTCGATTCTATATACGTTTTGTATATTCATCGCTTGTTGTTGTTGTTGTTGTCGCTGTGTTTTTCTTTTTTCTTAGCTTTAGTTTTTTGCTAAATGCCTTGGTCCATTTGATTGTGATTTATTATCTCTCTTTTCTCTCTCTCTCTCTATATTCATCAAAAAAGTTAACATTCGATTTTGTGGATAAATTTTTTGTTGTTGTTGTTGTTGTTGTTGCTACACACACACACACACACACACTCCTACACGCTACTACGAAAATAGAACGCCCGCGTTGTTTTTAAAATCTGCCATTGTATTCCTCTTCTTGATGAACATAAAGTTTGCTATAGAATCATCAATTCATCAATACAATTTTTATTTTTTTTTATTGTCCACCGAACCAATAATATAAAAAAACATGTAGTGTGTTAACGAAAATTAAAACAAAAACGTGTTATAAAAAAAATTATTAGTTTTCAAAAATTTAGATCACTAAAAATAGTTTGTAAAAAAAAATATCTGCATCGTTACAAACAAAAAAATCTTTAGCCTGATCCAATATATTTGCATAAATCAATCAAATGAATCCATTATCCAAGTAGGAGATATTCGTTATCCACACATGGATTGGATTCAAGCGGTATGTTATTTTGTGTAAAGAATTTTTTTGGCTCACCTATTTATTATTCTAATTTTTTTTTGAAAAAAAAAGGATTGCAACGATTCAAATTACAGTTTTAGCGAACCATTATCAGATACTGATTATATTGATGAAAAGAATTTGTCCAAACGTGAAGCTGAAAAACAAGCCTTAATACAATTAGAGAAAGCACAAGTAATGTTCAAATATTGAGATTTCTAAAAAAAAAAAATTCAAATATCTAATGTATCAATCTATCTATTCTGTCTGTCTGTTTAGATAAAGCCTGTAGCGTTCGCTGTACGCACCAATGTTTCATTTGATTCAACAATTGAAGATACTTGTCCTGCACCCGGTTATGGCCTTTCATTCAACGCAAATGAATATCTCCATATTAAAGAGGTAAGTTATCGATTAGCATTTTGATTCATTTTGACTGGATCATTTTTTTTTTTTTTTTTTTGAACCATAGAAATACAGCAATGATTGGTGGATTGGCCGTGTGGTCAAAGAAGGAACGAGAATCGGTTTTATACCCAGTCCAGTTAAATTGGAATTATTACGTTCACAGCAACAATCACATCAACATCATCCACACAAAGGTCGTTCATTACTTTTACATCGATTTAATTCTTCATCAAAAATGGATGAACATTCACGATCTTCGGGAGGTTCGACTCCAGGTCTCATAGAATTTAGATTCTTTTTTTCGAAAATGAAAAAAAAAATATTCTTATTGATTGATTTCTAATATTGATGATCTTTTTTTTATGATTTCAATTTTTAGATGACGATTCCAGAGGTAATAAATCAGCTGTTTCAACACCAACAACACGTGAAAGAAGAAAAACTTTTTTCAAAAAGGTTTGTATTCAATTATTAATTGGAAACGGAAATTTTTGACAATTTTTTTTTTTGTTGATAATAGGCCGAAAATATTCCACCTTATGATGTAGTGCCTTCGATGCGTCCAGTTGTATTGATTGGTCCATCGTTAAAAGGCTATGAAGTGACCGATATGATGCAAAAAGCATTATTTGATTTTATTAAACATCGTTTTGAATCACGAATCATTATAACACGTGTGAGTGCCGATATTTCACTTGCCAAACGTCCGTTAGTTAATTCAAATAAAAAAGCATTATTGGATCATGGTCGAATCAATTCAAGAGCATCGACCATATGTATGTGAAACAATAAATAAAATAAAATGTTTTAATTCTTAAACTTTCATTTTATCCTCCGGAAATAGCCGATGTCCAAGCCGAAATAGAGAGGATATTTGAATTAGCTCGAACTATGCAATTAGTTGTACTTGATTGTGATACAATAAACCATCCTTCGCAATTGTTGAAAACTTCATTAGCTCCAATCAATGTTTATGTGAAAATTTCTTCAACTAAGGTATTAAACTTAATTTCATCAGCGAACGTGATCCAATCATTAATAAATTCTCATCATATTCAATGTATGTAGGTCCTACAACGTTTGATTAAATCTCGGGGAAAATCTCAAAGTAGAAGTCTTAATGTACAGATTGTTGCTTCCGAAAAATTAGCTCAATGTCCACCGGTAATAATCTACTGATTCTTTTTCTAAAATTCTAATCATTGTTTATGATTTATTTAGGAAATGTTTGATCTAGTATTAGATGATAATCAATTGGATGATGTTTGTGAACGATTGGCGGAATATCTAGAATCCTATTGGCGTGCCACACATCCACCAATCGTAGCATCATCAGCTTCAACTAAACGTGATACAAGTATAGCAACTACAAGTGGAAAACGATCAATGAAACCCGGTGGAAGTACTAAAAATCAACAACAACAACAACGAGGAAATCATTTAAGTGACAATGTAAATGCTCATCAAACTAATCCGATGAATATTATACCACAAAGATATCCACAAGATGAAACTAATCTAGAAGAAGATATTTTAAATAATCAGATTCCGCCACAACAATCACAACAACAACATTCTCATCATCATACACATCCACAACAACAACAACAAAAACAACAACAGCGTTTCGGTGATCACGCACATGTGATGTATAATAATTATGAACAACAACAACAACAACAACAACAATTATATAATTATGATGATAATATTCAAGATATTGATCCATATAGACAACAACATGGTCATCTATATGATCCAAGTGTTGCTTCAACACATCAAATCATACATTCACGCACATCGCGAGATTATCATCATCCATCGGCATCATCAAATACAACAAGAACATATAATGTTAATGCAACACCACCACATTCATCTCGAACACCATACACGAATTCTTATGGTAATAATCAAACATCAACGAATCCATATTATACAGATGAAGTTTCCGGTTCTAGTCCTCATCATATTGCCAGTTCATCATATCCACCAATTGATCATCAACATCATCCATACAATTATTCATTAGATGCATATGCCGGAATCGGAAATGGTCCCGATGATATTGATCCAAATGGTTCCGGTAATAATATAGTTTTGGATAGCCGTTTAGAAAAAGAATATCGTGATCGTAGTGAATGGCTAGCTAGCGGTGTCGGTGTAATGTCCGGTGCAGCTAATTCTTCGAATTATCGTCGACAACCATTACCACCACAAACATCACAAAGTTATACGGATAAATCAAGTTTTCATCAATACTATAGACCATATTTAAATTACAATCAAGGTGTTTCATATAGTTTTGATGAATCTGATTATAGTGGATTTGGTGGTGGTGGTGGTGGTGTTAGACGGCCAAATAAAAGTGATAATAATGGTCAACAACAACAACAATTATATGGTGGTTATCGTGCAAATACAATCGAATCAATGTCATACGGCAATTCTGGTGGTAATGTTGTCTGTAATAACCGACAATCATCCACAACTGATAATGATACACAAAAAGCAACAGCATCAATGGCCAATTATAATAGCTATCATTATTGATTTGATTCGATAAAATTTTTTGTTTTTTTTTTTTTTTTTTGAATTTTTAAAATGATTTTTCCAGATTTATTAAAATGCCGCATTCACACCCACACTGACACATCCATCTGATGATACAAGATAAAAAAACACTTTTGCGAATCCCAATTAATTACCCCCACACACACACACACATTATATATGATCATAATTCTTGTTCAAACGAAAGAAAACAAAACAAAACAAAAAAAAAAAATTCAATCAATTTCTCTCTTCCCCTTTTATGTTGTTTATTATGTTTATCGCTTGTTTTTTGTTTTGAATGAATTTTCACAACACAACAAAAAACAAAAATTGTTTAAAATGTTATATATACACAAATTTCCCGAAAAAAAATGATTTATTAAAATGCCGCATTCACACCCACACTGACACATCCATCTGATGATACAAGATTTTTTTCCATTTTGTGTTTCCAAAAAGAAAAAACACTCAAAAAGAATCTAAATTCTTCCCAATTAATTACCCCCACACACACACATTATATATGATCATAATTCTTGTTCAAACGAAAGAAAACAAAACAAAACAAAAAAAAAAAATTCAATCAATTTCTCTCTTCCCCTTTTATGTTGTTTATTATGTTTATCGCTTGTTTTTTTGTGTTTTCCCAAATGTGCATATTATATATTGTTGATAATTAATAAATGTCTTTTTTTTGCGGTTTTTTTTTAGATTGAACAAACGATTGTGATCGTACAAATATAAATATTCACAACACACAAAAAAAAAAAAAAAAAAAAATAGACCGCCCATCCAAAATCATTCCTAGGCACATCCACCCACCCACTGCATTCATCATTCTCTCTCTCTCTCTCTCTCTCTTGCCATCATCCATTAATTCATCCAATATTCTGGTCCACCATTGACATTTGTGAGAAAAAAAAACAAATTTAAAAAAAAATTATTTATTAAATTGATTGATTGATTGATTGATTTAAAATCAATCATGACAATGTTATTGTTGACATTTCATATTCAACATTTTATTGATATATATAATGATTTAATACTGAGCAATTGAAAATGATAATAATAAATTCTATATATACAAAAAAAAGTGATTAAATGACTTGAGATTTTAATTAATTAACAATTCTAGAATAATAATTCTGTTGTTTGTATTTGGTCGATTGATTGGAATTGATTTTGGTTTTGTTGCTGATTCTTATTTTTTTCCCACCAAAAAAAAAAAAAAAAAATTCGTGATCGCGATTTTCTTTATTGTCTTTTTTTCCGTTTCTCAAATTCCGACCGTGGACATTCTCGAATCTCATTTTATCATTCTTCATACTCAACATTCACAATTGAATTTATGACAAGAATTGGATTTGAATTCAATTTATTATTTATACATTCAATTTAAAAATGTTTACAAATAAAATTTGAATTTTTTTCTTTCATCATGAAATCATGTAATTCTATTATGATGACGATGATATTTGTGTGGTGACATTTGTAAGATTTGATTTCTCCTTCCTTTTTTTTCATATGGATGATGATTGTGAAAACTTGTGTCCATGCAGAAAAAAAAATCCTTCACATGGCTAAAAGAAGGAAATCAACAGATTGATAGTTTGATTTTCTGATTTTTTTTTTTGAATTATTATAATGATTTCAACAACAACAACAACAACAGAAAATTTTTTTTTTCAAATTCCCATGAAATTTAAATCTTGGTGATGATGTAATACAAATAATAAAAATTCATTATGAATTCCATTGTGTGATTCAACAAGCTCGATGATGATCGGCATATAAATTTTTTTTTTTTTTTTGAAACATTATCATAAATCACATCCAAGTAATACAAATCGAATGGATTTTTTTTTCGCAACCCAATCTATTTATTTACGAATAGATTGGCTTTCACAGCCATTATTGTTCACACAACTTGTTGTTCAAATTACAAATTTCAAATTCCAATTTTGAATGAATCAATGAATGAATATTGTGATTTATTCATTCAGTAAGTTAGAAGGAATTTATTATTTCAGGTTTTGATATCCACACAAATGCTATTGTGAAAAAAAAACCGTTACACTTGGTTTGTTTTTCTGGGCAAATAGAGTGTTAATAGTTATCAACAACAACAACAACAACAACAACAACAACAACAACAACAACAACAACAACAACAACAACAACAACAACAACAACAACAACAACAACAACAGCAGCAGCAGTATTGTTATTATTACTACGATCTTCATCATTTTTTTCAACATTATGACGTCAAATAGTGACAATGGTATTGTTATGTTGTTGATGATTATGATGGCCAATTATTATTATGCATAATTTGACGAATATATTTCTCTTTATGTTCAAAGACCAAAATCCATCTTTCTTTCTTTCTTTTCTTTTCTCTCTTTCTTTCTCTTGGTTGATTTTTTCTTTTTTACATATCTGGATTGCTGAAAAGAAGAAAAGTTGTTTCTTTTTGTTGTTGTTGTTGTTGTTATTGTCGTTCGAAATAAATAACAACAACATGTTCCGCTCTTATGAATCCAGGATGGTTTTTGTTTGAATTTTGATCAGTTTTGGTCAATATATTTTATATATTTCTTTGGGTTGCATAATACAAGCAAATGACGAAAAAAAAAATACTGAACTGGAAAAAAAGGTATCGTGGTTGAAAGATCCAGAAACTAACCAAACAAAAAAACGGATGAGAGAGAGAAAGAGAAAAGAGAAAATGGGCGAAAGAAATAATGAATGAAAAGTAAGAAATGGAAACACGATCATCATAATCTTTCATGTGTAACGACATTCGATTTGTTTTTTTTGTACATAAAATATAAATTCATGAATCGTTTATTGTCTTATTGCTGTTTTTATTATTATTTTGAATCTTTTGGTGAAACCAATTTTTTCTTTGAGTCAAATAACACTTTTTCTTGTTTCAATAATAATTGTTAATAGTTCAAACGATTTATAAATAGCTCATTGATAAGTGATGATTCATAGACAGCGTAATTCATCATCATTGAATTTAATTGTGATCATCATGAATTCATTGTTATGGTCTTAGTTTTTTCTATAATAATGAAATATGTCACCACCAACAACAACAACAACAACAACAAACGATCATTCAACAATCGAACGTTCACGTCGTAATCGAAATCGTTCGAAAAAAAATGGCATCAACATTAATAATGTTAGTAATGGTCATATTTATACGGTAACACCGATTCCACCAACATCATCATCATCATTTTTGATGATTAATTCACAACCGATACCACCTCCACATATTCATCATCTTCAACAACAACAATATCAATCTACAAATTTGACAGGAACGATGACGCCCATGTTTCAACAACAACAACAACAACAACAGCAGCCAACGATACAACAACAACAACAGCAATCAATTGATATGAATAGTATAATAACGGTTGGTGATCCAAATAATAGTTTAATCATCCCACAACAGCAACAACAACAACAACAACAACAACAACAATCGTTACAGGATTTTAATCCCATCGAATTCATTGAACAACATGGACACATACGTTGGCCTAAGAATGAATTCTGTACACCATGTAATTGTATGTGTTTTTTCATTGCATTCATCTTTCTTGTTACGGCATTAATGTCTGGAATCTATTATAATCGTAAGTTTAATTAAATCATAAGATTTAGAAAATTCATTTTAGGTCCAAATATTTTATGATTTACTTTGTTCCTTATTTTTTTTTGTTCTTGATAATATAGTGAACTTTTTCGATGGCAAACATTTAAGAGGTTTGTATGAGAGAATTAATTATGATTATGATTATTATAACAATGAAAACATTTCTTTTTTTTTTTTTTTTTTGTTAGAACGTGTATTTAAAGCAAAATTTGTTGTACGTAATCAGGATTTTCTTTTGAACGAACTTGAAAATGTTGATTCAAATGAATTTCGTCAATTCTCCAATATGTTACGGAAACGAATCGATAGTTTATTTCAACAAAGTATGATTAGTGGATCTTTTGTAAAGACTGAAATAATTGCATTTGAACGAAAACGGAATTCACCATCCGAAACAATTATACATTTAAATGTACATGTTGCTTCCGATAAATCTTCAAATGTCGAAACATCGGATATTTATTTAATACTTGCTGAAGAAATTATCAATAATCGTTTGAAGATTTTTGACAATTTAATGGTCGATCATAATTCGATTGATGTTCAAGAACGACGTTGGCATCCATTTCATCGGATTGGTGGATCCAACATCGTAGGTGTTGGTGGTGGTGGTGGCGGTGGTGCTGAAAAATATTCAATGGATTTATCGGCTTCTGTTTCAGGAAATCCATGGCATCATAAATCAATGTTTCCTGGTATGCTTGAAGGTCTACAAATGGAACCAACACCACCACCACGTAAATGTGGCCGTATCAATCTTCAATATTGTCGTTTTTTGCCATATAATCAAACATCATATCCAAATTTTTTCCATCATTGGAATCTTAGTTCAATTGAAGAAGAATTTATACAATTCAAAGAATTGATCGATTCAGAATGTTATTCATTGTCGAAACAATTTCTATGTAATCTATTACAACCAGAATGTCAAAATAATAATGAAGATATAATTATATTACCATGTAGAAATTTTTGTCAAGAATTCTTTGATTCTTGTCACAGATGGTTACCAGAAAAATTGATGAAAAAAATTTCATGTTCTACATTTCCTGCTGCTGCTGTTGTTGTTGACGATGATGAAGAAAGACAAAATGATTTTGGTATATGGAATCAACAACGTCGTCAACGTAGAAAAATATGTCATAATAAACCGGATTGTGCTACACAGCTTCGTTTACAATCACAACATTATAAAATCTGTGATGGTATATTCGATTGTTTAGATGAAACGGATGAATCAAATTGTACATATTGTTCCATTAGTAATGGTGGTGGTGGTGGTGGTAGTAGTACAGCCCATTTCCATTGTGGTGATCGACAATGTATATTATTGAATCAAACCTGTGACAATATAAGAGATTGTAGAAATGGTGCCGATGAAATTAATTGTCTTCGATTAATGGTTATGGTACCGCCAAAATTATCTCATACAACAACAACAACAACAACAACAACAACAACCAGAACAAAATTGATTAAAATGACAACATTGTCCATAATGAATGAAGGATATTTGGACGCCATATCGAGGGGTAAACATTCATTGGTATGCAATGATCATTCATCAACATATAATTCGAATCAAACACAAAATAACAATGGTGCCAATGGTGGTTATTATAATTATGATAATCATACACCAATATTGGGACATAATATTTGTGAGGAAAATTATTTTGAGTAAGTTTCCATCTCCACCCCAAATCCGAAAATAACCTGATAATATTTTCGATTTTTGTTGTTGTTTTGTTTTGTTTTGTTTGAAAGAAAATTAATACAAATTGAGAGCAGATATTTCGCTTCCGGTATTGTTTCAGATGCATCATCAATTGGTTTCACGCGATTCGTTCCAGGAACAACATTACCATCACCGTAAGTTAGTTGATTATGGCACATATTATTTGGTTTTTATTTTTATTTTTTTCTCCATTTTTCATACATCCAATTTCATCATATATGACATTCATTGGTCGACGAAATAAAAAAAGTTATCCAATACAATGTAAAAGTAAACAAGTTTATTATATGCAATGTTCGGATATAAAATGTGGCATCAATCATATACCAATGGATTCTTTAATATTCGATGAAGATGTTGCTATTATTGGTGGAACTACTATTAATAATGATTATGATAATAATAATAATAATAATGATGATGATGATGGACAAAAATCCTATCCAGGATATTGGCCTTGGTATGCTAAAATCAACATTAATGGACATTATTATTGTGATGGTACATTGATCACATTGGATACGATCATTGCACAAACAACATGTTTCAATGTTGGACAAATTGATCCAAAATCAATGATGGCCAATAATAATAATATAACTGTAATACTTGGTTCTGTTCGTCTAAGTAAAGATAATATCGAGTCAAATGAATTTCGTGTTGGTTCAATTAAACAACAAATCATTGATGATCCAAAAAGAAAACAACAACAACAACAACAACAGCGACAACGATTAACATTATTGAAATTAGAACAACGTATACAGACGGATAAATTGAATCTAATCAGACCGATTTGTTCACCAAAACAATCGACTACTACTACTACTACTACTAGTACAAGTAGTTGGACTAGTTCACATAAATGTGTCATTGTTAATTTAAATTATGAACAAGATATGTTAAATCATCGACCCGTTAAGATTATAAATGTGGAACAATGTCGACGGCATTTAACAATCCCATCATTTAATCATAACATTAATAATCATTATCAAGTTCGTTTAAACGAATCCATAAAATTGTCAAACCATTCTCAATATTCATCATCAACAATTTCAATGAATTTTGAGAATGAAATAAATTATGATGATAAACTATGCGTCAAATTGCGGCAGAAAAACGACGACAACGACAACAACAACAATCATCATTGAATAGTAATTCTCATTTTAATAATAATAATAATAATAATGATGAAAATTTTATGCTGATGAATATAGAATTACAACAACAACAACAGAATTTTCCAAATCATCATGGTCGTCATTTATATTGTTTGACTAAACAGCAATGGAATCTATTGGCATTTGAATATTATACAATTCAGTCATCATCAATGTTGTCGGAACAACGAACAAATGAATATGAAAATTTAATATTATTCCAAATAATACCAATCAGAATAGTATAATATGAGTTTTCATTCTGTTGATGACACTTTTTTTTGGAATCTACGAATATATGTTACACACACACCATTCAACATCAACGAAATGTTGTTTGTTTTTTTTTACTCATTTTTTTTATCTGGTTGCCAAATTAATAATAAAATAATTAATATCATTAATTATTTTTTGTTTTTCTCAATGCTGCCGATGATGATGATGATAAAGTCGTCATTTTTTTATTGCTGAAATTTGGATAAAATCTTTATCTTTAAATGAAATGTGTGTATTGAGTAAATTGGATTGGATTATATATAATCGTTATTATTCTTTTTCAAAGAGATCACCATTCGAAGTAGAAATAGATTCGAATGATTTCATTTATAAATACGGCGGTAATGCCAAACATAAAGTTTTTGGTGATGATCAAGTTATAATAATAATAATAATAATAATAACAAAATGGAATGAAAATATTGAAAAAAAACGAATAGCCGGATAAAAATCGAATAAAAACTTTGATCAACTTGGTTATGATGATGATGATGATGATGATTATTGAGAAAGTTGATGGCCTAAATAACAGAAATAAAAACTTTTACATCATCATCATTTTATATATATATATAAAAACCAAGTGAAGAAGAGAGAAAAAAAAATGGCCAAAAAAATTTTTTTTTCCAGCCAATTCACACAACTATTGTTGTTGAGAATTCATTTTTACATCATCATCATGATTATAATAATAAACTCTCTAGAACTTTTACATAGAATTTTTTTCTATTCTGGATAAAAATTAACCAAAAAAAACCTTTCGTTTTATTTCACAGAGGATTCTATTTTTATTTTGGAAAAAAAATTCTATTTCCATGACCGTTTCGTTTATTGTTTTGTTTATTGACAAAAACAACAACAACAACAACAAAAAAAATGAAAACACAAGTGAGCTCAAACACACACACACTCAAGAATCCAAATATACAAATACAAACAACAAGATGATTTCTTGGGGTCACATGAGATGATTGTTACAAAAACATTTGTTGTTATTCAATTTTGTCGTACGAATAGAAATGGTAAACATAAAAACAAACAAACAATAACAACAAAGTCAATGTATGTGTGTGTGTGTGTGACTGAATGATGATGATGATGATGATGATAAACAACAACAATTTTGGCATTTAACAACTCATGATGACTTTGCGATTGAAAATGAATCAATTCTAAGGAATTGGTGTGTTCCAGAATTTTTTCATTTATCCAACGAAATGATGAGATAATTGATCTAAACGCAACACACACACACACATCATGGATGACAAAATTTTTCTTACGAATAAATTGCTTAAAGAAAAAACCGAAAGAGTGAAAAATTCATTTTCTTCAATTTTGCATATTTGCATTCAAATGAGGAAAAGGTTGCAAAAATTTGCATTTTTTTAAACAAAAAAAAAACAAAACAAAAAAGTTGGTTTTGTCTAAATTTGCTGTAAAATCACGAACATGATGAAAGTTAAGAAAACAAACATTTTTTTTACACTGTTTTGTTCCATAAATGTTCCAGAAAATTTAAAACACCACGATACACGCACACCAAACACATTTGGGGAAAAAAATATTGTCTATTGTAAAGAAAACTATAACAAAAATGACGAAAAACAAAATCTGACTTTTATTGATAAAAATGAAACACGTCTATGTGTTAGTGTGTTTAGGGTTTGGTGGTGAACCAAAAAAAAAAAAAAAAAAAATAGAGAAAAAAAATTTATCAACCCATATACCCATATGGTCTGTGTTCAGTGTGTGTGTGTGTGTGTGTGTGTAAAAATGATCCAAGTATCCAAATTCTTAATATTATTACATTGCTACGAAATCATCAGCGAAAGTCGGTCATGTTGAGTAATCGAGAAACAAAATAAAACAAAAAACAATATATATGGTTCCAGATATAAATTCTATAATTCACCCACTTTGCAGAATCTGTTGTCATCAAGTTGTGTTTGTTGTTATTGTATGAAGTTTTTTTTTGGAATTTTTCTTATGAAACGACAAACCCAGATGAGAATCATCATCATTATAAACGTAATATGTGTTCAACAAACAGTGAAATGAAATGAAAAATGTTAACGAAAAATCAGAAAAAAATGGATTTTTTCATTCATTTTTCCTCGCTTTCAGTTTTCTCATAGATAGATAGATTCCGTTTATCGATATCATTATCGTTGATGTTTGTTGTATATAGTTTTACAATCAATTTTGTTTGATTGATTGTAATTACCTGAATGAATTTTTGAATATTCTGGAATCAATCATTTTATATTCTGCTGTTTATGATTAGCGATGCATGACTAAACAATGGAACATTAATATTCATATAATGGATCTGAAATTGATTTGAAGACAATCGACTTATTTACTAAATACATGCGATGTGTAACGCAAATGGCCACTGTGTAATGGTTAATGCATTTGGAAGATCACAAATTTTTTTTTCTTTCTCCTTTGACAAACAACATGTTCCAGAAGTAAACAAAAAAAATCCCTCAATAAAAACCATAATCATATTTTGAAAACTTTCTTACGGTAGTAGGAAAAAAAATTGCGAATAAATATTCATTCATATTGAATAATAAGATTTGGGTTCGATGAAAAAAAAAAAAAATTTCATGTTTCATTTACGAACGGTGGAAAATGTTTCGTTTGGATTCCAAAAATAGAAATATTTTAAATGAAAATGGAAAATTCTAGCATTATGTTAAACTTTATTTTTAACATTTTTTTCCCGGTGATTCGTGATTCTATACTTGAATACAAATATATCCGAGAAAAAAAACTGAGGCCGGAAATTCAAACATTTATTCAATAAATTCAAATAAAACGCCCATTAATTCTTATTCACAATGTTAACAAAAAAAAAAAAAAAAAAAATGTCGAATGTGACAATGAAAAATGAATAAAAAAAGATATAGAATAAATTTCATGCTGAGAATATATTTGATTTCAATGATCATTTGATTCAATAATGCCTGTCTGTGTTTGTAATAATAAATTCAATATAAATGAATGAAAATCATTTTTTGTGTGTGTGTGTGTACATATTCTCTGTGTTTACAGAATATTTTTGATGCGTTTGCATCATATGATAATGATGATGATGATGATGATGTGCAACATTAACGAAAAAAAAATGAATCTGCCAATCATGACATCAATATTTATAATTCTCATCATCATCATCATCAAACATTTCATCACAATTCTTCTTTCATGAAAATATCTGTATTGTAAACATTCAATAATACTGTATACAGTATAAACAATATAATAATTTCTAAATATTACGAATTTTCAATTCGTTTTTCCATCATCATCATCATCATCATCAACATTGAGATCATTGATCAATATTAACATTGGTGGATAGAAAACAAAAAATCGGTGATCATTCTGTCGATCATCATCATCATCATCATCATCGTATTATTATAATTCGAAATTATTAGAATATGAGTTTTTTCTTTCTCATCATCATCATCATCATTCTGTCCTGGATTTCATTTCCATCATTTCCCTCGAACGGAATATTCCTGATTCAATAATCATGTATTTGCTGATGATATAGTCGAATTATCACATATTAATAGTATAATGATATATTAAATGATTATTATTTGCTCTTTGAAATGTTCTTTATTATTATTATTATTATTTGGTACTCGAAATTTTTTTTGCCCAGATTTTATCATCATCAACAAAATTGATAATAATGTATGTGCTACGAAATCAAGTGGATGATTTCAGTGATTATGACGATGATGATGATGATGGATTCGAATAGGAAATTTTTTCAAGTATTCTGTTCATCAATAATTGAGGTCATATATCATATCACATGTGGATTCTGATTCAGAATCGAAATCATTGATAATGAAAATGATAATGACACATATTTTGTGAAAGTTTTCAAATGAATTTCATCAAATATTTTGCCAAAAACAAAATTCCTTTAACCAGATCTATACACCGACATTATGAGGTTTGCTTACACACACACACACACACACACAAACGAACGTTGGATTCAAAAGAATCGTAATCGTTAGCCTTTTTTCAATTGTTATTTCATCCATTTATTCTTGTTTCGAAATAAAAGTCAGCAAAAATAAAAACGAAAAAAAAATCAATCGAATCTTTGCATCGATTGTTGTTACGATATTATTGCCTTATTTACCAGACACACACACTTTTTTTGTTTTTGTTTTCCATTTCAATTTTCTTCATAACATCATCAGCATCTTTTTTTTCTTTCTTTCTTATTTCTTACTTTTTTCTGCTCAATTTTCTTTCATTTGTGTGCTAAATTGTTCATGTATTATACTGAATTGCTGTTGCTTGGTCATTGTTTGTAGATTGGGCGGTGAGTCTTATTAAAGGAAAAAATTTTCTCGATTGTTGTTGTTGTTGTTGTTGTGTGGCCACACACACTGAACAATAAGTAAAACAAGAAAGGGAAAAAATAACGAATTTAGCCAATCATTTTTATATATAAATGTCGGCGGTCCAAGTAAATATCAATCAACCATTTCAATAATTCTTTCGTTCATTTTTTACATTTGTTTTACCCAGATGAAACCATCACTGTTTCTAGTAATGAAGCCCGTTTTTTTTAGTTGGTTGGTCGGTCGGTCGGTTGTTCCTCGATTCATTTGATACACACACACACACACACAAAATTCGTCAAGTAAAAGAAATATGAACGTTCCAACATTATGTGTCCGTATGTTCATAACTCTCTATTAGATTGTGCCGGCCATTTTGCAAACACAAATAATGTGAAAACAAAACAAAAAAAAAGGCGAATAGAACCCATAATTGAATGAACCGATGACGATATCAATTTCATATTTTTTTTTTTTTTCATCATTTCTTCATCTTTTTTTTTTTTTTTCTCATTTATTCACCATGGTGCAGCGCGGTATATTTTTCTTTACTCAGATGTTTTTTTGTTGTTGTTGTTGAAATTATTTTTTATTTATGGCTTTGGCATTTTTTTCTATTAAATGTAATGAAATAGCAAAAAACAATCAAAC